TTGTGGTACACACCAAAACGTCGGGAAAATGCATTTAAATATAAATTTTGAAATATATATGCAGTATGTGTGTAAATAAGTTTTGCTATGTTACTTGGAAAGAAGCATAAACATTTGATGAAGAATTACGGACATTGTGTTTTAACAATTTAATAACTTTTTAAAGCAAGCGTTTATATAACATTCAATTTAAACTTTACACTTAGTACAATAATCTTAGAATGTATAAAAACTGACCAGATAGTTAGTTACCCACATTTGACTTAACATTATACAGCTATCTCTAATTAAAAACAACTAATATACATGTATTTTAACGTGTGTGAAGCAATTCAAGATTCAAGATCAAGTTTAGGTCTGAAAATGACCATCTCTTGACGAGTCGATGACGTAACCTGCACTCAGTGCATGTGCACTGTCCCAATTCTGCCTTTTTTGCACACTTGTAACCTGCGCACTCCAACCCTGGTGTGCACTTCGACCAAATGCACACTTCGTAGAGGTGTGTAGGGTGCAGTGTGGGTATTGGGACTGGGCCTTAGACAATATCTGTATTACTAAGCGTGAGTCATACTAGAAAACTATGTAGAACACTCCAGCTAACTTGTTACTTGCTCCCAGCCCCAATGTGTAAGTGTGAAAAAGATTATACATTTTCTCAAAAGTATAAGGAGATTGTAAGTTGTGGTCTGAATTTTCTCAAATATTTGCTTTTTCGGTTTGGAATCAATATTTTTCCCTTTTAAAAAGGAAATTCTCAACCTCCGTTTACTATCAGTGTTTTTACAAAAATCTTGCTGTAGCTTAATCGTTCGCACTATGTGACTTGAATGCATTTGTCTACGTATACCTCATACTATCTAAAAAAAAATCTAAAAATAAAACAAAAAAAAAAAGAACAATATATAATTAATAATAAATTGGGCATGAACTAAATAGATTTAAAGAAATTCAGAGGCACTAAACAGTTCCAATATACACACAGAAACAAGATAGTAAACCATACATACACAAAAGGACATGGGGATGGAGAGAGAGGGCCACCCCATGAATATCAGCAATGTTTTTGTGAGTACTTGATGTATTTCTGAGTGCTCCATAAAGATTTCATTAGTCAAATATTCAAAGTACCCAAATTATTTCTTTCAAATCTAAAAGTCTGTTTTCTTGCTTCAAACTGAAAATTTAATGAATAATAGTTTGTTTAAAGATCATCTAAACACCTGTGCCTTGCCTCACTCCGCTCACATGAACATTTGAAAATTGTCTCTAAAAAGGTCATTGCTTGAAGTACCAGGGGACTGGAAGGTCGGCTCAGAGTTAGGTGTGGTCTGGGATGTGATTGACACTTGTCACAAACAGAAAAAGACAGTTGTCATTGCTGCTTAAAGAAAGACACACACTAGATATTTGAAGAGCTACACACCTGAACCACAGAATTATCTCAGCAGTAGTGGCTATCAACAGATGTAATATGATTTTAAACCACTAGATGTCGCCAGAATACAGCAACTCCCTACGGGTGTGTGTGAGACTTGGATGGGTTTATTCCATAGACTGTAAATATTAACGGACGTAATCACGCCTATCTCCTCCGTTCTAACTAATGTGCCATCACTTCCGTGGTCTATGAGCAGTTTCAAAATGGCCGCGGGGGCTGGAAAATATGAAAAAACGCATCTGTGCATGCGTCATCCGGCACGAGCCCCATTCATTTAAACGAGGGACTTCAAAATTTCACAGCGACTAAACTAGACTGGTCCAAAAACATTCACTCCCCTCAGCATTGACACAAATGTGGAACGGAGCTTTGGACCAAGAGCCGACTTTTGGACCATCCTGTATGGGGTGCCGTTTGTAAAAAATTCTGTTAAAATTTTTTAGCTGAACATTTTTCTACATTTAGCTCACTTTCCTCACATTTAGCACATTTTCCTCACATTTAAGACATATCTATATCTAAATATTATATCTATATCTAAATGTTAAATGTTATATCTAAATATTATATCTATATCTAAATGTTAAATCTAAATGTTAAATCTAAATGTTAAATCTAAATGTTAAATCTAAATGTTAAATCTAAATGTTAAATCTAAATGTTAAATCTAAATGTTATATCTATATCTAAATGTTATATCTATATCTAAATATTATATCTATATCTAAATATTATATCTATATCTAAATGTTAAATGTTATATCTAAATATTATATCTATATCTAAATGTTATATCTATATCTAAATGTTAAATCTAAATGTTAAATCTAAATGTTAAATCTAAATGTTAAATCTAAATGTTAAATCTAAATGTTAAATCTAAATGTGTCGCCAAGTGTAAAGCTAAATATATAGAAACCACGCCCACTGCAGTGGCTTCAAATCCAGTGGGCCCGCCTTCCGTGCCGTGTGGTGAGAACCCTACAGGATTACACAGGAATCTCACGGGACTCCACGTGGCTTAGTTTACAGTGAATACACTCTGGCTCCAGCAAATAAGCAAGAATCTTCACAAAAATGCTAATTTTGTGCCGTGGCCAAGGACGATGGCGCCGGAGACCCAACATGCCTTGAGCCGTGACGTCGGTCCACGTGTATTCCTATGTTCAAAACACGCGGCACCGCCCCCACTCACCACACGGCACGGAAGGCGGGCCCACTGGATTTGAAGCCACTGCAGTGGGCGTGGTTTCTATATATTTAGCTTTACACTTGGCGACACATTTAGATTTAACATTTAGATATAGATATAACATTTAGATATAGATATAATATTTAGATATAACATTTAACATTTAGATATAGATATAATATTTAGATATAGATATAACATTTAGATATAGATATAGCATTTAGATTTAACATTTAGATTTAACATTTAGATTTAACATTTAGATATAGATATAATATTTAGATATAACATTTAACATTTAGATATAGATATAATATTTAGATATAGATATGTCTTAAATGTGAGGAAAATGTGCTAAATGTGAGGAAAGTGAGCTAAATGTAGAAAAATGTTCAGCTAAAAAATTTTAACAGAATTTTTACAAACGGCACCCCATAATCCTGTAAAGACGTTTTTGAGAGGTCAGAAGATGCTACATGTTAGCATTGGCTAATTCTTATTCCAGGTCCACCCCCATCGGCCCGGGGTGGTATTGCAAGCATGTCAGCGCACATCATTTTGGCCACTTTTGAGCCGGGATCCGCCCCCACTGGTTTATGTCACTGGCGCAGATCACACAGTACCAACTGACGTCACACATCACTCCAGAGCCAATGAGAGGCCAGGCACCAAACCCAAATGTAGTGCCACAAAAAAGGTAGAGAGGGCGCCACACAGACGGTTTTAGGCTCAAAAGTGAGATTTTATCTAATTTGCACTAAAATGTCAAAAAGATGACCAGGACACGTAGAGAGCACTATAAGAATTGTTTTTGCAGTTTGAGTTAAAAAGTTTTTGGGGTGTTTAGTTGTCCTATAAAATGGTGTTTTCAGTGCGAGTCCCAAATCTAAACCAGAGTGGTCCATGGATCTATAAGTCAAAAAACAAAAACACAATAGAAAAGAAAACTTCAGACAAACCTTTAATTTCTCCATTGTTTATTGCAGTTCCAAAGGCCTCCAGCAGGGGCAGACTTAAGGGAATGATGCGGAAGTACATTCAGCAGAGACGGGGCCAAGAGGCTGCATACTTTTACAATTCAGCTGCAATTCAAACATTAGAGGAAAATCTCCCCAAAAATGACGCATGCAAACGTCAGGAGCAGCAGAAAGCAATCGCACTGACAATTTATTTACATATTAAAACAACAGGAAGTATTGTTGCTTTGGCGAGGACCGGGAACAGAAGAAGGTTTGACGTTTTTGGTTTTGGTTAAAGAGGCTGGAGAAAAGTTGGAGCCCTGGAGTTGTTTTGTTCTTTTTGTTTGAGCTCCATTCACGTCAATGACTGTAACTTCTGACACAAATATGTAGCTCCGCCCCTTCTGTCTACAAGCTCCAGTCTCAGTCCTGTAACAGTATGTGACGTCATAGAGGTATCACTCAGTTTTCTGATTTTTAAAACATAAGTCTGTGTTTGAACAAAGTAGATTTTTTATATTTGATTAAAAAAAAAAAACATTCTACACCTCCCTCTGCTGGCAGCACGTGGAGTTACAGTCAGAATGCATTTTTAACCCTTCAAACTTTTTTCACCTGAAGATACTATTGAACATTCTTAAACCTGAAATGACAAATTAAATAGTCGCATTATCTTTGTCAATGGCCAAAAATAATGCACCACACATAGAAGACGTTATTACAAAATATACATATGTTTGTATCCTTGCCCTTGATTTAATTAACTAATAACGGCCATTTTGCATTTTACATTAGCACAATAGTTGATTCTGTAAAGATAAACAAATGACTCTCCTTTAGAGGTAACACCAACACGCTTATGGAGAACTTAGACATTTACAATCTTCATTTAGTTTCAGTGTCTTCAATATCGAGTGACCGATATTATTATTACTTTCATCAAGGCTTTGGATTGAAAATCAATTTCTCTACATTTTAATTAAAGGAATGACAGCGTTTTTGGTCCAGTGTTTGGACTGAGAATAAATAACAAAGCATTAGATTCTTGTCACACTTGCGCTCCACTTTTCTGAGGTTAAAGGTCACATTATTAATAATTAATTATTACATTATTTATTAAGGCGCTGAACCTGATTTTTACTGACTTAAGGAGGCGAAAAAGCAGGAGGAGGTCATTTGAAACAATTTGCAGCAGCACAAACGTAAACATTGTGAAAATATGTTCTGGGTGTTCTAAGTTAGCTTTGCATTACCTTCAAAACAAAACAAATGTCATTTTTAAATTCAGACTTAACACCTCAGAATAAACACATAATCATTGAGATTATGTGTTTAAGATAACAATCATTACCTCATATTTGATCATATTTGATCATATTTACAGCACATTCCTGTTTCTGTACAAACTCTAGAACTCCTGAATGACCCTGAAGTGATTCTCGATTGACGCTGGTTCGTCTTCAAAGTGCAGCTTCTTACTGGGACAGGCTCCGTACTCCTCCAGAGTCTTGACGAAGGCCTCGTGCTCGCGGCCCACCCAGGCCCTCATGGGGTCGCACACCTCGTAGGGCGTCACATGGGCGTGCACCGATATCCCGGACTGGGCCAACTCCCTCAGCACCTCCCGCTCCGTCACCCAGGTCTCGCTGCCTCCCGGGTGCCCCCCGTCCAGCCAGAACATGTCCGAGATCCGCCGCACGAAGCCAGACATGGGGGGGTCGAGCCGAGCCCCTGGGAGCTCGTACAGCAGCTGGTTCAGGACCACGCAGCCTTTACTGAAGCCCACCAGGGTCAGGGAGAAGTCTGCGGGGAGAGGGCTGTCAGCGCCATCTGCTGGTGAGAGAGGGAGAGGCGGAGAGGCACGCTGCATGGCGTTACTCAGTAGAGACCTGCGAGAAGCAAGAATTTAAGACACACAATTCTACAATTGTCATGTTTTTTAATAAATCCTCATATCAAACTGAAAAATAAGTCAAAAAGGTCTCAAATTTGTCAATGTATCTTAATTTGAGCACATTCTACAACATTCATGGACATTAGTTTCTCACTATGGACACATAAGTTCTATAATTTTTGTGTCTTGACTGTTTGATTCTCTGATCTGTGTCTGCGATTTCAACGGTTTTGTTAAGTCCTTTGAGAAAACCCCTGTGATTTAGGGAAATACAAGAATAAATGGAATTCAATTTAATTTAATTTAAAACAATATTTCCCAATGGAATTATGCAAAATGATCTTGTTTTAAAAAGATTCAGAAATGTCATGACTATGTCCGTTAATATTTACAGTCTATGGTTAAGACGGTAAAAGTCGGGACCTTGAAGTGTAACGGCCTTTACCTGAGATGGCAGAAGGCTCCTCTCCCGGCGACATATCCAGAATGTTCTGGAGCTCCGAACATGTTGCAGTGGACAAAGTGCTGGTAGCAGCTGAACTTGTGCAGATACATCATGGAGGCTCGCACCACCCACACGTCACTGTCAGGGAACCTCCGCCCCAGGACCCTCGCCGCCCACTCCAGGCTCCAGCAAGACCAGGGGGCGGCGTCCGAGTGCAGCCGCATCTCCTCCTGGAAGTTCTGCAGAGACACCATGAGACAGTCGCACCATGAGACAGTGTGAGATGACAGTAGAGGGCACTTCCACTTGTTTCTAATGAAGGGTTTGGTATCAGTATTCTAGCATTTATAAAACAACTGTAATTGGTCTCTCTCTGGTCTCTCTCTCTGGTCTCTCTCTCTGGTCTCTCTCTCTGGTCTCTCTCTCTGGTCTCTCTCTCTGGTCTCTCTCTCTGGTCTCTCTCTCTGGTCTCTCTCTCTGGTCTCTCTCTCTGGTCTCTCTCTCTGGTCTCTCTCTGGTCTCTCTCTGGTCTCTCTCTCTGGTCTCTCTCTCTGGTCTCTCTCTGGTCTCTCTCTGGTCTCTCTCTGGTCTCTCTCTGGTGTCTGGTCCCTTGACGTCAAAGTTATCCTTGGACACTTGGAATTCCCTGAAAGAGCTGAAAGCAGTGAGAATGAAACGGATAGAAATCTGCAACAGGGAATACTTACTAGAGGCAAAGTTCAGGTTAATCATAAAACATTTATAGCTATTTTCTTCAAGTGACAAAGTTATAAGGACCTTAGGAAACAGGAGCAGAAAAGTCCATGTGTAAACAAGGTAATTATCCATGTGTGATAGTTCTACAACTGTAATTGGTGGTCTTTCTCAGGTCTCTTTCTCTCTGGTCTCTCTCTCTGGTCTCTCTCTCTGGTCTCTCTCTCTGGTCTCTCTCTCTGGTCTCTCTCTGACAATATTGTTATTATTACAATATGAAACAGGAGGAAGTCGATCTGTAAACAAGGTAATTATCTATATGTGATAGATCTATTATACTTACATACGCACCAATCTTTTGAAACAAATGTTTTGTCAATTTAAAACATAAATGCAATGTTTAAAATAGTCAAAAGTTATGCTTATTATAAATGGTCTTCTGATTAAGATGAAGAGATCCTGTATTTGTCCCACAGTGAAATGTCAGTGTTGCTTCGCCAGTTACAGAACAGTGGGAATGAGAAGCACACAGCACAAGATAAATGATCAATAACTATATTAAAACAAAATCTCAAACTTTAGCATAGTAAAGAAGCAAAATCACATCTATAGCTTTAGCATAATAAAGAAGCAAGTCTAAAATCTCTAACTTTACTTTAATAAAGAATAAAATTATGTATATTCAGTGCAATAAATATGGAGTAGTATGTTTGCATCTGTACATAGCAGCATGAGGCTCTGGGACACAGTATTGTAAAATGACAGTGACAGATGTGGTTCCATCTTTCACATTCTGACATCCCACTCATCCTCACCTGAATATCTCCATGGAAGAACACCACATGTTTGGAAGCACTGCTGCGGTGTGGTCTCAGCAGCAGAATGTCATTACATTTGCTCGGGTCACATCCAGGCACTGCACCCAGCCTCTGCAGCCCCTGAGGTGGACTCTCACACCCAGCATCCCCGCTGCTGCCCGGAGCTCCCAAACCCCGACATCCAGAGCACGTCTTCCCCGACAAACTGCTCATGGCTCTGGCTACGGATAGATAGCAGATAGCATTTATATGAGGCCAAGTGAATGAGTTATTTTTAGCCTGGTCGCTGCATCCAGAGCCGTGCTAATGCTAGTGCTAATGCAGAGGTAGCTAGCAGAATGCAAATCAAATATAAGTAGCTATTTAAAAAAAACTCTATATTTTATCTACATATTCACATCCCTTCATATAGTTCCACGTATCTCAATAACGCGATTTTTTCTCTAAATTTATTTTTGGTAAATGTTTTTGTCCACGAAGAGGCGCTGTCGTGTGGTCTGTTCGGACGCAACAAATGCTAGCAAATCGAATAAGAGAATGTTATGAATGTACTTCCTGGTTAGTTTACGGTGCAAAAATAATCACATAGCTGTATCTACATATAATTTCACAACGGCATTTAATCTACTTATGTGATACAATTACTTTTGTATTAGGATTAAAGCGATATGGTTGACATAATTGTTATAATTACTATTTGCCTCGTGTTTCACTCAGGATACCGATCCTTTTTGCAGACTTTGATATCTATCTTGCAACCTACGGCTCTTTCTCTCCCAGGCAAAAGTCAACTTTACATGCTGCACAGCCACTACTTCACAACAAAAATATATATCTCCATTCCTCATGTGGACCACGGAGTAACTGCATCAAAAGAGTAACGTAAATTAAACATAGCCACAACACCCTTTGATTTGCATGTCACTTTGTATAAATGTGGCTTGTACTTTGGACTTGGTTTGGATCTGTTTACTCAGCAGGCAGCCTGAGATATGAACTATGTTGCATATGGCCAGCTGTTAAAATGCAGTTATTGCATATTTTTTACAGGTTTACATAACTCAGTAACTATCTAGTTTATAGTTTTAGCTCAGGCCTGTACTTATGTGTTCAAAATTTACAATTTTCTCAAAAAGCCAATGATTTGAATCTATAGAGGAGTTTATATAATTGTATAAGTAGGCTCAAATTAAAGCTCAACTTTCAGGGGCAAAACAAGCTATGCTATAAAATCCAACTGACAAGTGTCTAGCTTTCAAAACAGTTTAGTTCCATCACTGGTCTCTTTCACATAAGATTAATTGGAGAGAAAAGCGAAAAATGGAGGATAACCCACACTCAGCTCAAAGCGTTAGATAAGAAATAACAGTAGGCAAAATACATAGACTGCATGATGTGTGATTTGCTCACTAAATGTTACTGTTACAAGAATGTGTTGGAACAAACCATATGTGTTACTGATGACAACCCTCGCTTTTCGACTCTGAGGCAAAAGCACTGTTTACAAATCATAGCGTTGCACAATTCTTTTGTTGCATTTGCCTCTAATCAAAATACTGTTTGACTTTGTGTGGCAGGAGAATGGCATCCACATCTGTAGGCAGACGCCTCGTTGCTTGTCTCCTCAACATCTCTGAAGCTCGAAGGAAAGACTTGGTGGAAACCGTGGCTAAAGCAGCTCTTTACGATCCTAAAGGTAAAGTTTAAAGATGGGGTACCTTTCCACCCGTAGTAAAACCTACAAAATTCCTAGATCTCCAGCAGTATTAGTACTATCACTAGATTGTCAATCAATCAATTGACTTTTTTGTATTGGCCTCTCCTACACAAGGAAACACAAAGTACCTCACAATCATATCAGACATAAATCCATCCATCCATCCATTTTCTTCCGCTTTATCCGTTGCCGGGTCGCGGGGGCAGCAGTCTAAGCAGAGACGCCCAGACTTCCCTATCCACACACACTTCCTCCAGCTCGTCCGGGGGGACCCCAAGGCGTTCCCAGGCCAGCTGAGAGACATAGTCCCTCCAGCGTGTCCTAGGTCTTCCGCGGGGCCTCCTCCCGGTGGGACGTGCCCGGAACACCTCCCCAGGGAGGCGTCCAGGAGGCATCCGGAACAGATGCCCGAGCCACCTCAACTGGTTCCTCTCGACGTGGAGAAGCAGCGGCTCTACTCCGAGCTCCTCCCGTGTGACTGAGCTCCTCACCCTATCTCTAAGGGAGCGCCCAGCCACTCTGCGGAGGAAGCTCATTTCGACCGCTTGTATCCGCGATCTCGTTCTTTCGGTCATTACCCAAAGCTCATGACCATAGGTGAGGGAGGGAACGAAGATTGACCGGTAAATCGAGAGCTTTGCCTTTCGGCTCAGCTCCTTCTTTACCACAACAGTCCGATACAGCGACCGCATCACTGCGCACGCTGCACCGATCCGCCTGTCAATCTCACGCTCCATTCTTCCCTCACTCGTGAACAAGACCCCGAGATACTTGAACTCCTCCACTTGAGGAAGGACCTCTCCACCCACCTGTAGAGGGCAGGGCACCTTTTTCCGGTCGAGCACCATGGCCTCAGATTTGGAGGTGCTGATTCTCATCCCAGCCGCTTCACACTCGGCTGCAAACCGTCCCAGACATAAATCATAAACAGTAAAATCTACATAAGCTTTAAAATTATGATTTAAAAATATGATAAAAAAGCAAACATTAAGATCAAGTAAATAAAAACTATTGTACATGTTTTTTTAGTTTTTTTTTTTTTTTTACCTCTGTCACATCTTTGGATCAGCTTTTTGGACAGAAATGTGACCAATCCAATCAGCTCTTTGTCCAAACTATCCAATAACAAAAGAGAATCGATTTACATAGTCTGGCCTAGTGTCTCCTTTTACCCATGCAAGAGCCGTGCAAGAGCCGTGCAGAGCCAGGTGTGTCCCAGTTTTCCAGTTTGAACATCAGGTCACCCTGTTAAAGTGGCCTTCTTATTGTTTTCCAGTGGTGGTTGAAGCTGTGGAAAGGTATCCTCCAGGCCACAGTCTACCCCAGGGCAGCTGCGGCTAATAGCTTGTCATTTCTAAATGCAGGAATAATGACAGACGACCACAGTTTTGATAAAACCAAAGCCAAATTGTCTTTCAGATTCTCTATTACAGCTATTATTGTTAAGTTTTAAAGGTCAACTACGAAGGCAAGGCAAGTTTATTTGTATAGCACATTTATAGTACATACACAAGGCAACTCAAAGTACTTAACAACTCCCAGCAGGAGGCCAGTCCCTGTGCTCATCAGAGTCCCAGGAAGAGGCCAGTCCCTGTGCTCTTCAGAGTCCCAGGAAGAGGCCAGTCCCTGTGCTCATCAGAGTCCCAGGAAGAGGCCAGTCCCTGTGCTCATCAGAGTCCCAGGAAGAGGCCAGTCCCTGTGCTCTTCAGAGTCCAAGCAGGAGGCCAGTCCCTGTGCTCCTCAGAGTCGCAGCAGGAGGCCATCCCTGTGCTCTTCAGAGTCCCAGCAGGAGGCCAGTCCCTGTGCTACTCGGAGTCTCAGGAAGAGGCCAGTCCCTGTGCTCCTCAGTCCCAGCAGGAGGCCAATCCCTGTGCTCCTCAGAGTCCCAGTTGGTTCATTTGGCACTAACCATGGAGAGACTTTGCTTACATTTCTTTAAAGTCTATTCAATTAATTCTACGTTCTATTTTAGGTTTAAAAGTCAAGTACCCCGGCTTTGGGGACATCATTGATTTATTATACTCAAACTATAATAGAAAAAAAACAGGCCTGGGTCTAAACTTGACTGAAGCAGATCTATGCCAGAAAAAAATCTTTCTCTTGTGCTTGTTGGTCATTTGAATGCAATTAGTAGAACAGTTGACTGGATTATTGGCCATATATATAATTATTTGCTTATCTCTCTGTAACATAAGTTCATTAATCATAGTTTGAACTCCGCAGGCGTCAGGAGAGAAGGCACCACCGTCCTGAACATCTTTAACGACCACGACTACAACCGCTCCGTCATCACCATCGTGTCTGCCATCGACTCCATCCGTGAGTATCGATTTCTCTTAAATTATGGATGTCACAAGCAAAAAATCCCCACACACGTACTGCTTTATGTATATGTATGAGTTTAATCCCCCCAGTCCTGTTTGAGTGGTTGATTTTAATATGATTTTAAATGATTTTCTCGGTTATTTCTACAGAATCAGCGCAGGTTTCAAACATGATCAATTAATTACTTTAAAACACTGTCCTGCATTTTAATTGGCTCTAAAATGAAATGAGTTCAAGTGATAGTGGAGCAATGTTTACATATAAAGCTGATGGAGGCCACGTTACATTTAACTCATTCACTGCCCATGACGACAAAAGTCGTCATGTTGAATAGTGACGCTCACTGCCCATGACGAGTATGACGAGTTTTTCGTGTTATTACACGGGAGGCTGCAGTAATGTCTGGCGCACCTTGTGAATGACCCACAACACTGTATATAGTGCAAATGTACCTGTAATGATAAATCAACACCAGTAGGATGCAGTATTGCGCCACAGGAGAGGTCATAAGTCAGTGGAGAGAAGGAGGAGGAGTGTGGGAGTGTTTGGAGAGCGTGGTGCTGTAGCAGAGCGATGATAGCGTAGCATTGAGACGGATCAGCGATCTAGTTTAGCGATAGTATAGCAAGAGTGATGGCGAAAAAGAATAGTTACAAGCAGCTGACACTGCTTCAGAGATTGACTCGCGGATCAGTGAGTGAGGTCGAGAGGGGAGAGAGCGGAGACCCGGGTGGAGGTCCGTCTCTGCAGCCATATTTGCGCGGAGCAAGAGCCCCGAGCAGAGACACACCTTCCGCCTCTCGCAGCGTATCAGCTGCTGCTGTTACTGATGCCTCGGATTCGTTCAGCAAACCTGATCATGATTTATCGGACACACTCACAAACACTCACACGCACTCACTCACTCACTCACGCACACAGACACTCACTCGCACAGACACTCACTCGCACACTGACATTCACACACACACACACACACTCAAATTCACATGCTTCATTCTATTTTATACATCTATAGTTTTATTGATCTTTGTGTTGTTGTTGTTTGACGTTTTGGTTAAATTTTAGTTAAATTTTCTATCTGTGAATAAATTGCCAACAATTTGCCATCAAAAGTATTATTTCAGAGTCATGTTTTTATAATTTTTGTAATGGAACAAGTGTGAAGATGTTTTGAGTTGTCACTAAAGCAGCAAAAATGCATCTAAAAGTCTCTTTTCTGCTTGATATGTTCCTGTTTACATACAGCTCGTTTTCTCTGTTTTCTTGGTGTTATGGGTGAAAGTATGCTTTGTTCTATGGCGAATAACGCAAGAACGGTAAGAGGTAGAAACAAACTGTTTTTTTCAGAGTAAAGCAGAGAGGTTAATCTTTAATTTGGTGCCCTTGGTGTTTACATCGTCTAAAAAATGAATATTCTGTGGCACTTCAAAGTTGGGTCAAATCACCTGAAATTGCTGGCAGAATGCACTTCTCAAATCTGAAAATGCCTGGCAGTCAGTGAGTTAAAGCTTGGGTACACAAATAATGAGGATCCAGAAGAAATGTAACTACATTTATGGACATATATTAACTTGTATGGACACTGGCCATCCGCCTCTAATGTCTCCATGTGTTAATTATTGTTGTCTGTGTAGGCGAATCGTTTCTACTATTGTTGTGATTTAGGGCTATACACAAATTAGACCACAACCTGTTGTCTTCATCTTCATCTGAAAGGTCCCATACTATGCCTTTTAGCTTTTTTCTGATTTAAACATTACAGTAGCCTGGTCGTACCACACCAAAGTACAAATTAAATTTCGTACCAAGGTCTGGATGTGCTCCATTGAGCTCCGTTAACAAGTGGGAGGGGTTAACTCCTTTTGCAGATTGAAACGATTGGATCTTAGTTTACCGTGACGTATGTAGTGCGCCCGAGTGAGTTGTTAGCATTTAGCCTAGCCATCTCCTTTGCCGCTAACGGAGCCTTTGGGGAGTAGCACCACAAGCTTTGTCAGAGATTACATTTGTTAAACATTCCTCTTGCTCAATTTCTTGATAGAACCTGACCAGAAAACGTTATAATTGTATTCTTCGCCATTGCCAAACTAGAAACTGCCCGTTCAGCGCAAACTCTTGACATCACCCACATCTAACTACAACACCCGCCTCCCGCGCTCGCTGATTGATCGGACGGTCGCAAACACAGGGACCAAACCAAGACGTTACATGCAGAGAAATGAAGATTGTTCGGAGTGTACGGATGGCTAAAGCCAGGCTATTATTCCATCTGTTTAACCAGTCGTTTTTTCACTGATTCCCTCAAGCTTTTGTTAGAGAGCGATCTTTCTCTTTCATTCTCGAAAGGGACAAAAACGACTAGTTTCAAATCTGTGACGTCAAAAGCCTGCCTACCAAGAGGTGATTGACAGCGGGGAGAAACCAGCGAATCAGAGCAGTCTATGGTCAGCCCATGCAGCCTCTCTCCGAGTCCAGTGTCTGCTCCATAGACTGCTGCTTTTTTGAGTTAGCTTCATGTGACTTGTTTTTGGTGTAAATATGTGACGACAATTGTTGGCCTGAAGACATAGCCATAGCTGGAACCATAGCCTTAGCTGTACCTGTAGCCGTAGCGGTAGTTAGAGCCGTAGCCATAGCTGACTCCACAAGAATATAAAAGTATGTTAAGTGAATGTTATTGTTGATAAATGATGTAACAGTGTAATCTGAGTCTACAAAAGTCTTGAATAAAAAGCTGATTTGTTAATCCCCGGAGGCTGCGCTGGCTGCTGTGCCATGGTCCTCTGCTTTCCTCAACCCTCACTGAGCAAAAGTCAAATCCTGTAAGAGTCTTTGTCAAGGATTTAAACACGAAATACTGAACGTTTTCCATCAGCGTTTATCAAATGTGGAGCAGACGGTTCTATTTACGGAGCCTCAAGAAAGACTATGTAGTAAATACATTTGATTAGATTTCATGGCTTTAAATTGTCAAAACAATTTCTCTGTGAACGAGAAGATGTCACATGGTTTGGTCTCTAAAAAATATGTCTAAGTTAACTCTTCATGGTTCATGGTACAAGTGCTGTGATAATGATGCATTGGTTTATTTATATAGCGCTTTTCTGGACTCTCAAAGTCTCTTCACATCAATATTCATTCACTTCAAACACAGTGGGGATAAACTACTACTGTAGCCACATCTGCCTTGGGGCGTACCGACAGAAGCGAGGCAACCAGTCTGTGCCATCGGCCCCTCCCACAACCGCCAACCATTCACACACACATTTGACTCATTCTAATGTGGGGGAAGTGTCTTGCCTGAGGACACAACCACAGTTTGGCACTTTAAAGCCGCAGCCGCCCCTTGATTCTCTGGGGTTGTGTGTGTCTTCAGTGTGATTCTCTGTTGTGTGTGTCTTCAGTGTGATTCTCTGTTGTGTGTGTGTCTTCAGTGTGATTCTCTGTTGTGTGTGTGTCTTCAGTGTGATTCTCTGTTGTGTGTGTCTTCAGTGTGATTCTCTGTTGTGTGTGTGTCTTCAGTGTGATTCTCTGTTGTGTTTGTCTTCAGTGTGATTCTCTGTTGTGTGTGTCTTCAGTGTGATTCTCTGTTGTGTGTGTGTCTTCAGTGTGATTCTCTGTTGTGTGTGTGTCTTCAGTGTGATTCTCTGTTGTGTGTGTGTCTTCAGTGTGATTCTCTGTTGTGTGTGTGTCTTCAGTGTGATTCTCTGTTGTGTTTGTCCTTAGTGTGATTCTCTGTTGTGTGTGTTTCTTCAGTGTGATTCTCTGTTGTGTGTGTGTCTTCAGTGTGATTATCTGGGGCTGTGTGTGTCTTCTGTGTGATTCTCTGTTATGTGTGTCCTCAGTGTGATTCTCTGTTGTGTGTGCTCAGTGTGATTCTCTGTTGTGTGTGTCCTCAGTGTGATTCTCTGTTGTGTGTGTCCTCAGTGTGATTCTCTGTTGTGTGTGTCTGTAGGGGAGGCGGTGTTGTCGGCCTGTGAGAAAGCGTGCAGCCTCATCGACATGCGCGCTCACTCAGGAGGTCACCCGTGTCTGGGCGCCGTGGACCTCATCCCCCTTTACCCCCTCGGAGAAGACGTGCTGCCCCAGGACTGTGCCAGCGAGGCCAGAGGTGCAACACACACTCAACAACAACAACAACAACTGTGTCTCGGTGTCTCTGTCTCGATGTCTTGGTATATCTGTGTCTCTGTGTCTTGTATCAAGGTGTCTGGTATCACGGTGTCCCTGTGTCTCTGGGTCTCTGTGTTCTCAGTGCAGGAGTGGGACTAGAAGAATCATAGCTACACACACATCGACATTACTACAAGGACTCACATCAAACTACGAGAACTCATAGAGCCGTCATTTTGACTGCTCTCATTCAAACCAGAAGAATTCTGAAAATATCCCCAAAAATTTACTTTTCAATCAATCCATCCATCCATCCGTCCATTTTCTTCCCCTTAATCCATTTCTGGGCCGGGGGAGTGGCAGCCAGAGCTGCACCCAGTACAGAGAGCACCAGCCGCTCACTGATCCTCCTGCAGGTGGTGAGTCCACAGGGCCCACTTTGCTTCAGGCAAAGTGGGGTTAAGTGTCTTGCCCAAGGACACAACGACAGCAGACATCAGTGGAAGTCGTGAAGTAGGTCTCGAACTAGGGTTGCCAACCGTCCCTTGAAATACGGAATTGTCCCGTATTATAGAAAAACTGTGTGTCCCGTATTGAATGGATACGGAATGGCTTTTGTCCCGTATTTTCAGAGTCGCCTTAAATGCATCACTCACTCACTGCCTGTCAAACGCGCGACACACGCAAACACAAAGTAATCACGCCTTTCGGCCAATCAGAGTCAAAGGAGGCGTAGGATTGATCACATCCATGGGTTTAATGTTGACAAGCTCCAGCGTGGGCCGTGCCCGCAGCATCATCACGGCAGAAGTTGGGTAAAGTAGTATCAGATTCCCAGATTCGGACTTCCGCGGCGGAATTAACCGCTAATTACAGTAACAAATAAGTGTGTATTTTATGTCATTTATCTCTTGATATTTATTAACCACTTATTTTACATGCCTTGTTCATGTTGTTCTTGTGATAAAACTGTCCAAAATGTGTCGGCTAGAAAAATGAACTGATTTAACTTATTGTTCCCTATTGCTTTTTAACACTAGTGTAGTGTGAACATCTGATCAAAAGGAAATGGAAACACGGTGCCCCATTAAAGAACATTATAATGTTAATGATTAGAGTTAGTGTGATGTGGGGATAGTCTTTTTTCTAAATATCCAAATTTAGAAATAGACTGGAAAATTTTGGATATTATCCAATAAAATGTTGTTGTGTGTATAGTCCTAAATCACAACCGAAGTCATATCCTGAGGAGTTTTACACAGCTGTCAGTTCACAGACACCGAGAAACAACAGTTAGAACACAGGACACAGGGGGCGGGAATGGTCTATACTGTAAATGTAACATACATGTCCATAAATTCTCTTAAATTGTTCTCGGAACATCACTGTCCATAGACCCTCCTTCATCGGCATAGCAACAAGGAAAAAAACCCATGAGCGAGGGATCCGCTCCCAACAGACGGACCGTAGACCCAGCTCTGAGCCAATCAAAAATAAGGCTAGTATATAAGAGGTCTACCGTAAGATTTAGACTCACCATTGAAGTTGAAAACAGAAGTAAATACACTTTGAAGGATATCTACTTTTCTGAGTTGGACTGTATGTAACGCAGTCAACACAGTTCTAAACCATCATTCTTTTGTCTGAGTTATGGCGCCAGATTGAAATATTTTAGAGTATTAGCAAAGAGCTTTCGTGCCATCTGCTCCTGGAGACGTTTGTCAGTTCCCCTCATCTTGAATAATGCCTGAAACAAAACAGAATCTTGAGGCAACTACTTCATTTATTTATATGAAACAACAAAACAGTATTTCTTTCTAGCAACAATGGAGGAATTGATAAGACTGAGAAAAAAACTGACTTCATTTACATCACAATAAAAAGCATAATAGTAGCATTTTAGAAAGAAAATGACAAAGGTAGCTCTAGCTTTTATCAACAGAGGAGTCAAGTGTTCTAGATAATGAATGTCAGATTTCCTAGTGTCTGTGCAAAAGGAAGTGCTATCAAATGAGGAGGTGGAAATTTCAGATTTAAGCACTAAAAATCTGGAACGGTCATCCTAAAATGTGAACAGGCTTTTACTCTGACAATGTTCAAAGCAGGTAGAAAAAGCTCTGTTTAGCAGCAACAACTGAAAGGAATATCTTTTTATTCTGTCGTATTTTGTTAATAAGTAATGTTTATTTCTCTAGCACATTTTACAGACCAAGCGCTTTACAATGTTCAAAATCAGATATTTTTCCATATACACACGGTGATGACGAAGTGAGACGCAGACACACTGGTCCATCAAAGCCTTCGACCACACCCAACCATTACACACACTCATGTACATCATCGTGCTTGTTTATAGAGGTAGGGGAAACCGGAGCGCCCGGAGAACCTACGCAACACAGTGAGAACATGTAAACTGCCACTCTGAAAGGCCCTGTTCCGACCGGGATTCTCACCTAGACCTTCTGCTGAGAAGCGAGCCAGTTAAGTACTTTGAGTTCCCTTGTGTATGAACTGGCTATACAAATAAACCTTGCCTTAATTAAATTTAATCAAACACATGGAGCCAAAAATCCAGGGTTATCTAAGATGCTATATGTATTTGTCCTGTCTTAGGCCATTGTGTTAAAAAAGCAACAAAAAAACCAAACCATCATAATTAATGATTCATATAATTAATAGGCATGTTTGGTGGGCCTGGGTAGTGCTGTGATGGAGACCCGTCTGGAACCCACAATTGAACGACTCAAAACTCTAAAGAGCTAAAGCTAAACGGTTTGAATCCTCTTCCCTTTTATGTACTGTTATGAATGTCTGTTTTGATGGCCTTGTTTTGCACACACTTTGCGTTGCCTTGTGTGTAGAAACTGTGCCATAACAAAATAATCCAGCCTTTGCATTATCACATGGAGGTATACATGCACCAGACGAAAACATTATTCCACTCTCTCCCGGTGTTTGTGTGTCACCCAGTTCACACTCTGTCACTAATAAAAGCAAGAGCGTCAAAACAAGTCTTTTCAAAACTTGTAAAGAAGGCAGTTGTGGCAGGTCTGATGGCAACACTTTACTGATGAGGAAATTCAATAGGAGATAGCTATTTCAAACATGAATGTGAGGAACTGAATCTATCAGTAAAACAACATCGGCAAACGATACAGCCACAGAATTTACAGTAAAGGTACTTTCGAAGAAGTCTATATAATATATAAGAAATCCAATTAGGTAGAATAATGGTTGGACTCAAAACACTCCGAGACAGATAGTCATTAATACCACTATATAGTAACTGTCACAGAAACAAAAGACCAATTATGCTGTTGTCAAATAAATGCTGGGTAACTAACTTTGCAAACCAAAAACAGCCAGTATTCTCTCATCTCTCAAAACAGTTTTGGTTCCATCAATTATAGTATTCACATATATTTTTTTGCCTCGGTGTGTGTGTTTTTGATCTCTTGCCATTGTGGTGGTGTGTGTGCGTGTGTTTGTATTTTTGGTGTGTATATGTGTGAGTGTGTGCGTGTTTTTTGTATGTAAATATATGTGTGTATATGTGTATTTTTGTGTGCATGTGTGTGAGTGTATGTCATAATTTTATATGTATATATTTGTGTGTGTGTTTGTAATTTTGTGTTAATATGTGAGTGTGTGTGTGTGTATTTTTGTATGTATATATATTGTGGTATATGTGTATTTTTGTATGCATGTGTTATGTCTCCTTTTGTATGTATATATATGTGTGTGCTGTGTGTGTGAATTTTGTATGTATGTACGTATATGTTGTGTGTGTGTTTATGATGTATTTTTGTACATGTATATATGTGTGTGTTTGGTATTGGATGTATAGTATAATTATGTGGATTATATTTTGTATGGTATACAAATATCGGTGTATGCGTGTAATGTATTTAGCTTTTTTTTGTATTTGTGTGTATTTATATGTATTGTGTGTGTGTGTGTGTGCCTATGTGTGCGTGTGTGGGTCATTGATTTGTTGAGGGTATATGTAGTTCTTTCTTTGGTATTCTTATCGTAGTTTGTGTCTGAATGCGTGGAGGGATTGGATTAAAAAAGGTTTCTTGTTTTCTCATATTTTTCTCATGATTAAAATTATTTTTTGATGATTATAACTGTAGTTTATAATTGCAAAATGAGCATAGATATGACAACCAATTTTCAAAATTATTTGGAGCTTGTCAAGATTTAATAATAACCCTTTCTCTGAAATTCATGTCAAAATTAAGAAAAAGCATGATATATATATTTAAACAATATAAAAATGACTACTTTTTAACATATATAAATCTTCAATATTATATTAAAACATAAATTCCTATAAATCATGTTACAACTCATTGAAGAGGTAACAGTGATGTGAACATTATCATATTCAATCCAAATATACATGCAGAGCATGGACACCTAAATAAATAAGCTTTTATTCTCGAGGAATGAAGTCACAATTAAATTTAAGATCAAATACTCAATTTGTGAGAAAGTAAATCAAAAACATCATCTTTTTGAGGTCATACACATGACATCCAGATTTGGAAACTTTCTACACCAATTAAAAGCTGTTTGTTTTCTTTTAGATAAACTTCTTCTGTGGGTCCATTGCAAATGTGGTTCTGATATAACTCGTGTGTCTTTGGGTAGATTTCCAAATAAAGCTTAAAAATGTAGTTTTGTTTATGGCGCACCACATGATATTTTACCTCAAATTGACATTTTCCTCGGCTGTTAAGAGGAAAATGTCATTACAAGATAACTGGTAATATCACATGAGGTTACAAAACCTTCAGAAAAAATGCCAGATAACATTTTGAGTGATAAGATACTTTTTAAGGCAAATGTCCAGAACTGGATTCAAGTACGGACGGTCCTACACACAATTTTGATGACTTTCATTAACAAAAAAAATGCAAATTCGTAATGCCTTTTTAAAAAATATATCTGGTTGCACATAGAGAAGAGGATTAAGTCATGTATGGTCTGTTTTGATTTTATAGAAAAATATTTAAACAACAAAAAATTGCAGTCAGACAGTGATTTGACCTATGTACAGCTTATGGCTCCTATATGTTTGTTATATTGCATTTCCTGTGTTTGAACTGTTTGATTTCTCGTCATCTGCCTGGTAAGGAATCAACAAGAAGTCCTACAGAGAGACGACTGCGGTTGTTGATTTATGCCTATACAAAAAATGAATGGATAGATGTACGCACAATCTGAATGTAAGGTTGCCCTTAATGGGGTTAAGAATTGTGTTATTTAGAATCTAATCATAATTTTGCAACCTCCTGCTTACTGTTCAACCCCTTTTTAGAGCACATACTGTATTGTTTACTTGTCAAGAAAAAAAATAAAGGTAAATAATAAGGCTTCCACTCATTCAATGCATGATACACGTGAAAGTATGTGTTTTGCAGGTTTGAATCTAAAAAAACAATAAAGAATACCTACACTCTTGGATACTTGCTCAATATATTTCTATAAAACACAAAACAGTCTTGCTTTCGGCAACATTGGACGAATTGAGAAAACAGTGACAAGGATTTGTCTTCATTAACCTCCCAATAAAAATGTAATCGTAGCATTTTTGTCCAATACATTAATTTCGAAACCAAAATATGATAGTAATAGATCTGGCATTTATCTATAGATCGTCAAGTTTCTAATACCATCCTCTGAAGATGATGTGTTTTAGATGCAGGTTCACAATCTAAATACAGTTTACAATTCAGCGACCTGCAGATTGATCCATGCAAATTCAGGCTACAAGGTACTTATTTGCGTTAACTCATTCTAATTTAGGCTACCGGGTGCTAACTCATGCTAATTTGGGCCAACTCTCAGTCCAAGCCACCACAATGTGACAGGAAACTGATCTTGGGCCTGACATTTACTAACTAGCTTTGTTCAGACTCTTATTCACCAAACACTTGACGGTCCCCGATCACAAATGCATCTCGTGTGTCGTCTTTGGCTGAAATGCGGAGCTTATAGTCGATTATAGAGAATGTGGCAGTGAGCATAGAGCTGCTGGTTTTGCACCGTCTGAAAGTGCGTATGACAGGTTCCCAAGACTTTCAAATTGTGACTTTATTTGGCAGTATTTGATATGACACCTGCTGGAAATATAGACAATAGTTTTGCACCAATCAGGAAGCAGCTTGCAAAATAGAGATGGAGGAAAAAAGAGGGAATATCAAGATCAAAAACAAGGATAAGGAGAAGCAGAAATACTACCAAATGAAGGCACAACTTAAATGTATTATTTTGACATTTAAAACTCTCAATCAATAACAAATATTCTTCTTGTAATTGTCAATAAATATCTGTTCACCCAGTTAACAAGGTGTCTGTGATGTCATCATTTTACAAGCAGGAAGTGGAGCAAGGTTTGTCAAATTTTGTGAAATCTGAAACATAAAAGTAATTTAGCAACAAACAAAAATGTTTGCGTTTCTAATTTGAGTTTTGAATGTGTCATTGTCCCTGAGTAACAAGTGCTAATTTTGGCTAACTCATGCTAAATTTAGATGATAACACAAGCTAATTTTGGCTAACTCATGTTAACACGTGCTAAATTGGGTTACTTTATACTAATAATTCATGCTAATTTGTGAAAAGTCATGCTAATTTTGGATGACACCGCAAGCTAATTCAGGCTAAATTGGGCTAATTTTGGATCCTATGTTTTTGAAATTTAGTGAAATCTGAAATATTATAGCAATTTATCAAAACGAGTCGTCCATACCTGTCATACGCACCTCACAATATTGACAACAACAATAATAAAACAATGTAAAAGCTGGTAGTAAACGCACACAGATTTCAAAAGTCCCCGTCTTCTTCCAGCCTGAACTTTTTGGCGTGTGCGTGGGGAGACTCCAGCACGTTCTCCTTGTCCTCGGTGTCCTCCGGGGGAATGGCCCACTTGGTTCCACAGCTGCGTTCTCTGACTGGTCGCAGGCCACAGGAGAAATCGCAGCTCAGGGACAGAGGCTGCTGCCACAACCAGGGGTGGCTCATGCACTCGGCGGCACTGGGACGGTCCCTGGAGAGGAGCAGTGTGTGTTAATACATTTATACAACTATATATGGACTTAAATCTTCCTTCTGCAGCACGGATTTTAAAAGCACCTGAAACTCTAATGCATAAACACTTTGACTTTGGTTTGGAACAGAGCTGTGGGAACCTCCTATAACTCACTCCTTGTCCTGTCATTACTTCTCCTTTCGTTATTAGTGAAATATTCTACATTTGAGAAATACCTTTTTGCTGATTAATATGTACTATTATTGGTGCATGGGAAAGTTGAGTGTGTTCTCGATGCTCTGCGGAAATCCTGATTTTGAGAACTTTTATTGGCGTAACATAGCCTCCGAGAGACACCATTTATTTTACCATCTAATAATCCACAAGTCAAAGCACAGGGCAGGTCTTTTAGTGGACTTTAGGCTTCATTGACTTTAAGATTCACTTGGTATTTGAAAAACTAGAAACCAGAGATGTCAGCTAAATCAGCCTCAGTCCATCTCTATCCATGTATGTCACTGTATATCTCAATTCAATTCAATTAATTCATGTTTGAATAGCCCTAAATCACAACAACAGTTATCTCGGAGGACTTTGACCAAAGGATCAAATAGTGGCTGCTTCTCATATGCCATCTTTGAATGAGGTGGTGTTTGGTGAATGTTTTTATCTTGTTTAAACTTTAGGACCCACTTTCTATCTGAAAAACTAGATGCCAGAGACACTCAGAAGGCAGCTACACTAAACCCAGTCAATCTTTATGTATGTCTCTGTATTCCATATTATCTACTTCACATAGTATGTCCAAACTAAGGCCCAGGGGTCAATTGCGGCCCTCTGTGCTACGTCAGATGGCCCTCTGTCTTTCTAACCCAAATCAGCCATTAAGATCATGTCATCCAACTTCAGCTCCACCATTATAGACATGCTCTACCTCAGTGTGAAGGTCAGACTCTTTGGAACTCAGTCGTGAATTGTATTTGTGTATAGAGTTGTAGAATTGCAGATACGGCGCTAATGTAGCCATGAGAAAGTAAACACTAGTCTGTTTAATCTGTCAAATGTGAATCTATTTGGATTTATCATTCCTCATTTCAACTCAGAACAGCCTGATCCAGTCAAAGCTGTTATCTGTGTTGTCGGCTCCTTAGATAAGTCGGGTCAACTGCAATGGCTCTCTTATTAAAAAGTTTGGACACCCCTGATTCAAAACGTGATCTTGTTTGTGCTTGGTGAATGCTTCAGTCTTGCTAAAACTCACTCTGGGGCTTTGACCAGCAGTTTCCTGATGAAATCCACCGCGAGTTCGCTGACTCTGGAGAAGGACTCGCTGCTGTAGTCCACGTTGACCTGAGACACGTTCAGATACGTCTCCTGTTTGTCGTCTCCCACAAACGGACTCTCCCCGGTCACCAGCATGTACGCGATCACACCCACGCTCCTAAAGCACATGGTTAAGATTTAGATGAAGAGATCCTGTGTTTGTTCCACAGTGGAGATATTTCAGTGTTGCATCACTGGTTACGGAACAGTAGGAATGAGGACAATAACAACTTAAAATCTCTAGCTTTATTATAATAAAGAAGAAACCAAGTATAAAATCTGTAGCGTTAGTATGATAAAGAAGCAAGTATAAAATCTGTAGCGTTAGCATAACAAAGAAGCAAATCTAAAAAACCCTATATGTGTCAAAACATTGTAAACGTTTGAAAATGTGTCAAAACATTGTATCCTATAGCTACATGTATTGACATTGTTTGCTATTGGCAGTAAAATGGACTAAAATAGACTGTGGTGAAGAGTGACGAGTCTGGGTTTGAGGCGGTGTTCAAATATAAATATACAGTTTGGATTTGGACTCACCAGAGGTCTGTGGCTGTGGTGATGGGCTCGTAGTTCAGGATTTCAGGGGCTGAAGACAAAGCAGAAGGCATTACAGATCAGAGCTCATACAATGGGCTCAAATCTTAGTTGCAAGCCCCAGTTGTAATAATGAGTAAGAGAGTCATAATGATAAGATGACGACACTCAAGGACACTGTATAAAACTATCAGTGTTGAGGCATAAACACAGGACCATCAATGCCAGCAGACGTTTAAAGAGCTCAGACATATTACAATACAATGCCACGAGGGTAAAGAAAAAAAAAAAATCTCATCATTGAAGGACCAAAAGCTGCGGCTATTTTTATGTATTTTGAACCCTGCTTATAGCAAGGTGCATCTTATAGCAAGGTGCATCTTATAGCAAGGTGCATCTTATAGCAAGGTGCATCTTATAGCAAGGTGCATCTTATAGTAAGGTGCGGTTTATAGTAAAGTGCATCTTATAGTAAGGTGCGGCTTATAGTAAGATGCGGCTTATAGTAAGATGCGGTTTATAGTAAGGCGCATCTTATAGTAAGGTGCGGCTTATAGTAAGATGCGGCTTATAGTAAGATGCGGTTTATAGTAAGGTGCATCTTATAGTGAGGTGCGGCTTATAGTAAGGTGCCAGCTTATAGTAAGGCGCAGTTTATAGTAAGGCGCGGATTATAGTACGGTGCGGCTTATAGTAAGGTGCGGTTTATAGTCCGTTTGAGTCCGTCCCCTCCTTTTCCAATTTAAACATACTCAAAACACACAAAAATACAATCTTCAACATGTTTTGTTATTGGCAATAAATATGAAAGAATTTGCTCGAGATGGGGTGAAACTTTATCTGGACGGCACTAAAATAGATCTGAAAAAAAACCAGTTGGTGAAGGGAAAATTGTCAGCCTTTCAAATATTTGTAATGGTTTTGCAAATGAACTATCCAAACATATCTATCATCCTTATAAAATAAGATACACTTTGATATGTATTTAGCACCTTTTGACCTGATTCCCAAAGTTTCTTGGTTTTATCCCAGAAAAGCACTTGAGAAACTATTAGTATTAGATAGCAATATGGCCTACGTGCAGGACTGTACAAGGACTCTACAAGGACTCCATGTTATGACTATGATTTGACTGTCTCTTTGTGACACGTATGTCTTTCGATGTGTGACGTGACAATGACTATATAAACTGTGTACTGCCTTTATTCTGTCTGAGAGAAAGAAACAGAGTAAACCAGTGGAACTTGAGAGAAACTTAAATAAACTTCCAGAGTTTGGCACACCACGATCCGTCTCTGTCTGCTTAAATCCTAACAGATTGGTGGAGAATGCGCGGCTCAGTGTGTGCCATTCTCTGGATTGTTTTGGGGGAGTTTGCTCTGTTTCTTTTCCTCTGCGTGAGAGATCGGCATGCTGTGTCTGGGAGCGGAGATTCCAGCAGGCTGGAAGAGCTGTTCCTGGATGCTTCTTGTCGCTTCTGTCACTTTTGTTTTTTAAATTGAATATTCCGACGCGGAAAAGAGTTGGCAGACCTCTCGGACAGTCCGTGCGTGCACCTGTTTGACAAGAATAAGGTAAGCAGACACCTTTTTATATGTAAAGTCTGCATAATTGGATACTAGCTAAATTTTGGTCTGTTTTTGAGGTCTGTCGAACTCTCTAAATTGTGTTCAAATAAGTGAGGATCCATAAAGTGAAAAGGCCATAAGTGAGGATCCATAAAGTGAAAAGTGTTGGCCATTAAAGTGAAAAGGATCCATAAAGTGAAAAGTGTTGGCCATTAAAGTGAGGATCCATAAAGTGAAAAGTGTTGGCCATTAAAGTGAGGATCCATAAAGTGAAAAGTGTTGGCCATTAAAGTGAAAAGGATCCATAAAGTGAAAAGTGTTGGCCATTAAAGTGAAAAGGATCCATAAAGTGAAAAGTGTTGGCCATTAAAGTGAGGATCCATAAAGTGAAAAGTGTTGGCCATTAAAGTGAGGATCCATAAAGTGAAAAGTGTTGGCCATTAAAGTGAATAGGATCCATAAAGTGAAAAGTGTTGGCCATTAAAGTGAATAGGATCCATAAAGTGTAAAGGCCATAAGTGTTGGATCCAAAAGTGAAACCATGGTGTAAACATAAAAGCAATAAAAAGGGAAACGTGTTAAGGAGGCCTTTGTTACAAAAGCGTTGAAATTGACGAATTTCAGGCTGATAAATGACAAAAGTAAAGAATCAACAATATTTCAGTGATAACGGTTTAAATTACATACAGAAAAAGGGAGTTTTTGTTTTTTGGAGTGAACAGAGTTCACCGGAGAATACAGAGTTTTATCTAAAGTTGAGCTATGAGAGCTTTCGTGAGTTATTTACATTTTTTGCCGAGTTTTATCTACAGTTGAGCTATGAGAGGGTTGTATCCAACAGTTGTTTTTGTTTTTTAGAAAGAGATTTTGAGTTTAAATTAGTTTGCTACCTCGATAAAATAGAAGCGTAAACGTTAAAGACAAGAGTGCCTTTTGTTACAAGTGTGGAAAGTGATCAATTCTAGACTTGGATGACAAAAGTATAAACTACAACATCAGTTATATTTGCTTAAAAAATTAATCTTGAAAGTTCTTCTTCTGTGTCTTTCTGCCTGTGTGTGCGCGTCTGTGTGAAAGGAACCCCCCCGCCCTCGCTGCTGCTGAGCTGCTGCTCTGATTTAAAGGGGAGCTACTGCTTTAGGAATTTGGCTTTTCATAGTTGTTATTCCGTTAAATTTGCTAAATTTGCCATTGAACATTGTGTTATGACACAGTTAAACGTTTTTAAACACCATTAGTGAATAAGTTTTGAATTAGTATGTTTTTGAAACCCAAAGATTAGTGCTAAAAGCTGTGCAATTCTTTTTAGACCTAACATATTTCTAGATTCCATTCTTTTAAATCTGCTGCTTATTTCTTAACTTTTTGTGAGTTGTGTTTGTTTTTATGTTTTTATTTTAATTACAAAAGCCGTTTTTCAAAACATTTAAATTAGAATCCGTGTTAAAAGTGATTATTGATTATAGACTTCGTCTAAAAAGAAAGAGAGAATTAGGCTGTAAAAGTATTATATTATTAAGTTAAACTACCCAATTCACCCAATTCACATTCAAGTGGTGACTTTTGTTTTTGTTTTGACTATGCACCTGACCTTCCTCCTGCTGCAGATGCACGCAGCACAGGAGCCTGGTCTAAAATGTGCTCCAATTCATACTGACTTCATTTGAAAAATGCTGCAATTATTTTAAATTAGTAGAATAGATGCTGAGATAAATAAGTGTAAAAGGGAAAGTCCATAAAGTGAAACCCAAGATGTTCAAGATTAAAAACATCACACAGTACAAAAGTACATAATACATATTTTAAAGTTTGAAGGTTTAAGAGATTTGAGTCTTGTTTTTTTATATTGAGAGTTTATGGTTTTAAAATGTCATCATTAGTAAGATAATAAGTAATCTCAAAATTGTTTTGACTTCAGAGAGAAAAACAATCTCATTCACATATCTGTTGTTTTTAAATTGGCTGTGTCAAGGATTGTTTTTCAGACTCTGCCTCACTGTACGAGAGGTCACTGCTGGACACTGGACAGCGCAAAGCCCACCCAGCCACAGGTCACAGATCAAAGAGCAAAGGGAAATGCCACCTCCTTGCCCCTCCCCCCACTACAGAAGTAAGTGGGAGTGAGACCGGGGCCATGAAAGAGAGGTCTCTGGAGACGTGATGGGTGGAGCATCAGGGAAAGACCTGGATGAGAGTTGAAAGTGTGTCCAGTTGGTTTGCATCACCACAGTGTGACCTTTGAGACCTACAGGTGGTTCGAGGAGTCTGGAGAGACAACCCCAAAATTCATATACACACACACACACATACACACATACACTCACACATTCACATTTACATATAGATACATGAAAAAGCAGAACATGAGAAAAAAGCATTTTAAAAGTTTACTCCAATGTAAACACATATTTTTAATTGTCTATCACTTGAATCTTTACTTGAATCAGTATTTTTTTGAGACCAGAAATGTTCATTTGAATTCTATATTGTCATGGACATAATTGACCTCTGTCCTGACACTTTTGATTTGTTGATTTTGTACTGTGTGAAGTAATTACATTGATTAGAATTAGATCTGATAAAAACACAAATTAGAGAAGTAAACTGCGCTTGCTTTTGTCTGAGGGACATTAGCAACAGCATGAATAGAAATTGTGTTAAAGTAGAATCAAAGTGATTTAACCATAGAGAGTAACTACTGCATAACAAGCTGTGTACAGGAACTGAGACTGCACCATTGACCAGAAGTGCATCGCAAATGATCTGATGTGCGCTTCGACTGAAAAGACTGTATCTGGAGATCCGATGTCCAACTGGAGTGACCAAAACTATGGCTTGGACCCTTCTGATGTCCAAGATGACATCTCTCTATGACCTGACCTGATGACGACTGAGACTCACCCTCAGGGGACCTGAGGACCTGAGGACCTGAGAGAGAAAACTGGGGAGTGATGTTTATATTTTTGAAATCATACATTGATGAGTGCTAAATGAGAGAGATACTCATGATTCTTTCTTTTGTTTTTGTTTGTCCCTAGCTTCTGGACATCTGATGATCTATTGGACACAGCCATTTGCAGAACAAGAACCAGCCAATGAAAACGTCTATTGCCGATGCTATTGCTACAACCACAACTGTGACCAAATGCAATATACATGTTAAGTATTCAGACATCTGACAGACAAAAACTTTGAAAATGATAAAGTATGAGTATTGTAGCGTTTTAGTAGATGTTAAATAGTAGTAAAAAAGTAGAATTGTCCTTCCTTTGTTTTTCATAAACACATTTCCACATAAGAGTTAAAATAGTACCCTACAATGTTATCCTTTTGATAGATCAGCTATAATATTAGAATCAGAGTTATTTTAGAGATATTAAAAGTGACAGAAGTCACAAATTAGGAATATGCCTTGACTCAAGCTGCAACCAAGCTTTAGAGTCACAATAGTGTAGAAATAGAATTAGATAAATGCATCAACCATAGATGCTTTCAAAAATAGAGATTATTTGTAGACATTGCTAATATCAAATGGTAAAGGGACCATTTCACAAACATTTACTTCAGAAGTAAATCAAGTTAATTACAGTTTATGTACAGTTTTATTAGATACTTGCCAAATTCACTTGTGTTCACACATGAGTGAATGTTGACAATGCAAAAGTCCATATGAGTGTAGTCTAGATTAATGCCTAGATTAATGAGATAGATTACAACCAACAGAGATTCAAAAGCATTTAAAAGCATTTTGATGTATTTGTGTATAGCACAAAAACACAATAGTAGATATTTAGATATTGAGAAGTTTCCAGCACAAACACCATTGTAGAATAACTGACCCCAACCCCAAACCTGCTAAAACAGATTAGCTCTTGTAAGGATAGTTCCAATTTGATTAATGATGTTCATTCATCCCAAATTGCCTGACAATAATATCTTTAGATAATAAAAAGTAATAAATCACTGACCACTATAGAAGTGTAAATGTTGACCATTTGCCTTACTGTGTTCACAGTTTTATTCCTGAGAATGAGAATAGACATGGAGCAAAATCCCACTGATAATAAGCCACTGATAATGAGAGTATAATACCACAGAGAGATTTATTAGATTAAAATGTATGTTTAAGAATATGGCTCAATAGAAGCAAATATGCAAACATATTTGTGAATAGATTAGAATAGTTTTAAACTATAGTGAATAGTAAAAGTAAAGTACACAGTCTAAGATTAAAGTGAAATAAGTGAAGTGAAGTGTAAACAATTAGTATATAGAATAAAAGTATAGAGTAAGAAAAGTTAAATTAGCTTCTAATTTGAGACTCAGCTCGTTTTTGTCTGTGTTTTGACTGAATCTGCTGAGTTCTTGTGTGTCCAATAGTGTTTGTTTTTATTTTTTGATTTGTTTTTGTATTTGTTTGTTTTTTCCCAGGATAGAGGATAAAATCCACTGATATTGATTTGATGATTATGAGTTTAATGCATACATTTTCTTTGTTTTTAATAATTTTTTAAAGTTTTTTTAGGAATTTTTTTTTTTTTCTTCTTTTTCCACTTTATTGATTGATCAAATTGAGTGATCACATGTGATTATGTGATCAAAGGGGAGGGTATTAGTATTAGATAGCAATATGGCCTACGTGCAGGACTGTACAAGGACTCTACAAGGACTCCATGTTATGACTATGATTTGACTGTCTCTTTGTGACACGTATGTCTTTCGATGTGTGACGTGACAATGACTATATAAACTGTGTACTGCCTTTATTCTGTCTGAGAGAAAGAAACAGAGTAAACCAGTGGAACTTGAGAGAAACTTAAATAAACTTCCAGAGTTTGGCACACCACGATCCGTCTCTGTCTGCTAAATCCTAACAAAACATTATTACACTTTGGTATGTAAACGTATGTATTTTTACCACTTTAGCTTCTCTCCTGCTGAGCCCAGCCCTCCTGCTCGTCACACGGCGGTTCATGGTCCAGTGTTTGTATAAAGTCCTTACCCACGTATTCAGGTGTGCCCAGGATCTCTCTGAGCTCTCCCACGACGCCCAGCCGCCGAGCCAGACCAAAGTCCACGATCTTGATGTCGCCCACGGGGGACAGGCTCGTCAGCAGGATGTTCTGAGGCTGAGGGAGGGACAGTGGATTTACACATTAAAAAACAGATTTATGTTTTGACAATGATAGAGGTTAGAGCTCTGTATAGAATAGAACTACAGCAAATCAGAACAAAAGGATGATGCTATTTCTTTAGGCAGGAGAGAGAAAACCAACAAGCCTACATACATTACACTGCAAAAAATGATAAAAAATGAGGTATTGAATTGAGTGTGCTTTTTTCAAGAACTGTTGCTTATTTTTTCCTTTCATGGGAGACATTTCTGTATCTTTTTAAAATGAGATAATTTTGCTTTGTCCCATTGGCAAATCTTGTTTTGAAGCACAGTCAGAATGTGCACAAAAAAAGGCACATTTTATAATAATAATAATAATAATAATAATAATAATAATAATTATTATTATTATATTTTTTATAATATGATTGAATTAAAAAAGCGCCTTTCAAAACACCCATGAACACTGCACAAACATGGTTAAAAACAGAGTGCAAATAAAAGCATTAGCATTATTTAAAAACAGAAAACAACAGAACTAGTCAAAGGATTTACTTTTTTCATTTATTTTTCATCACTTTTTGCAGTGTACATTCATTTATCAACATTAAAGCCGAGCCTGACCTGAATGTAAGGGCTTCTTAAAGTAAAGTAAAGTATTAGTGAACAAAAAGGGGCAATTTCGATGGTGTCTGATGTAAATGATTCGACCCTAAGCCTTTGGGGAGCTACTTGGAAATGACAAAGATATACGCTTTAGCTTTTATTACACGTTTGAATGGAAAAAGCAAGATTTCAAAAGGAGCTGGTTTTAATAATAAATTCTTTGTGGGTGTATTTTCCATGAGTCTTTGTGGTGCGTGGAAACAGGATCTGTTAATATGAGTCAGTCTTATTACATATAATTTAACACAAAACCAATACAAAACAGACTGTAATCATAATATAATCATCACATAAATACCAGCTGTGATGTCATAGTTTCCTACTGTGTACATTGTCTTAACACTGTTCAAATCTATTACCTTCATTTTGACTCATCCAAAGAGAAAATTGTTCACGTTTCATTTAGAATATAAATCCATCCGTTTATCCATGAGGTTAAGTGACAAGTGTTGCCAATAAATTTTAGTCATCAATTATCCATCCATCCATTTTCTTCCCCTTAATCTATTTCTGGGTCTTGATCTTTCAGCGGGGGGATTCAGGCAAAGTGGGGTTAAGTGTCTTGGCCAAGGACACAACGACCGCAGACATCAGTGAGTCAGTGGAGAAGCTTTTGTGGGTGTGGGGGAATCAAACCCACGACCTTCAGGCTCTACCACCTGAGCCACTGTCGCCCCAATCAATTAGAATTCATTTAATTTAGACTTTATTTTGAAAAGGCACCGTTTCTGCCTGTTCCTTTTCGGGTTGCATTTCATTAGATCATATGTTTGAACTGTAACTTGGTTGATGTGATGATAAAAACCCAACCAAACTAAAACCAATCACTACTGTGCTTCTAATACGTATTTTTATGTTGACGTTTTAGCTAAATGCCAGAATTATAACGATGATTCAACAGTCATTGTGTTCGTTCTTTCCTCATTTCAAACTGAACTTGAACTTGTATAGCTTGTTTTGTTTTTTCATTTGCTTAATTTATTCAATGTATTTAAAGTATTTTTGTTGATTTTTGTTTATTGTGGACATGGCAAATATTAGTAGAAATGAGAAACATGAAAAGAAATCTTATGTTGTCCCTTTCTTTCTAAAATCAAACAAATAAGATGGACTTCAGCACTCCTCCTTCAAACTGTTTTTATGTTTTATTTTATACATAAATACATACTTCCTCACCGGGTTAGTTCATGAACCAACAATTCTATTCTTTATACATAAAACTTCATCGTCATACAAGTTATTCACATTTTGTATTTGTGAAGTTGCTTAGTGTTTTGTAAAAGGGAACTCCCAGGAAGCTGCGTTAGCTTAAAGGTGAGGCCCCAAAAAACAATACATGCAAAACAAATGTGACAATTTATAGCTTTATACAATCCTAAACCCATTTCTAAACATTTGACCCAGTGCAGTTGCTGTTACCTTGAGGTCCAGGTGCACCAGGCTGCTCTGGTGGAGGTAGTGCACTCCCTCCAGCGTCTGTCGGATCAGACGAGTGATCTGAGGCTCGGGCAGCAGCTCGTCTGTCGCACAGTGGTCAAAGATCTCTCCTCCTGCAGCGCTGGGGACACAGGACCACATTACAACTAGGACTGGGCAATATGGAGGAAAAAAAATATCTATGTCGTTTTTATAATATCTTGATATACAATATATAACGATATTTTTATAGGATAAATAACAAAAAACAAGTGTCACATGTGTTTTAATTTCCTGTTTTTGAAGAAATGACATTGCCTTCTCCTCATTCAAAACTAAAACTACTCAACTCCATCTGCATATTGTGTCTCTGCAGCATTTAATTCTCCGTCGGGTACAGTCGCGGGAGTTCTTATGTCACTGCATCTTCACAATGTTTACTTTTTAGAATGAAGTAAATAAATGTGAACTTGGAAAATGTATGGATATAAATGAGAAATGCCACAGCAGGTGAATGAAGTGTGTGTGTGAATTCTGCTCTCTGATTGGATCTTGTTGAACATCAAAAACATTATAAATATTATATTTTGTCTTGTGATTGCAGATCATTCCAAAAGTTATCAGAACCATTTCTTCAAGTTGTTTTTCAGCTCTGGTCATACATTATTTTAAAATCAATACGTCAAGACAAAAAACCATGTTGAACCATAATATTGTAAAAAAATTAATTAAAAAAATGAAGGCATGATAATGAAATGTTAAGGTAGATTACATTGAGATAGAAAGATAGAGGTAGAGAGATATAGGGAGTGTGTGTGCGTGCGTGTGTGTTTTCTGTAATATTCCACATTATTTCCGTTCATATAAATGAGTGTTTTTGCTACAAAGAGCTTTACAACATGTTCCAGTTGGATGTGGTTGAATCAGACTCTCTTCATATCAGTCATTTGAAAAACCGTCTGATATTGAGCAAGAAGGATCTGCTTCCTGGTGACTCACTCCTGCTTCATCATTCACTGAACAGACCTCCCTTTTTTACTGCACTTTCAGCTTTGCCAGTTTTGAACTCAACTGCAGGTATGACTCTAGGAGAATTGTGTATTAGAAAGTTTTAGTTTGGATTCTGTGAGAAATAAATACTTTATATTTTTACAAATTAATATCAGCTCTTTCTAGGGGGTAATGGCCTCTACTGCTAAATATTGGGCCGGAATAAACCCCTATTTTTGATTTCCTACTTAAACCAATCATTGTAGAGATATTGAAATTAAGATAAGATAAGATATACTTTATTTATCTCACAATTTACAATTGCAACTAGTAATAATTATCAAATTATAATCCAACAAATGTCATTATCAGAGGTATTGCCCTGTGATGGGAAATGCTTCAATTGGCTCAAAGTACAATGTGAATTTGTATTGTTTAGGAAACTATTTCAGAAAGATCAATCCCAAAGCACAAATCAGGCCTTTCACAAACATCAGTGTATTTTCAGTCTATTGAAGTCATGTCAGAGGATGTCAGACACTTTGACGAGATGACAAACTACATGTCAGACAGAAATAACAAGTAGATCAACAAAGTACAGAACAGGACAAAGTAATGGAAAGTTTCTGTTTAGTTTCTGTTGGACTCCGAGAACAAACAGGACTTTGGACTTTCATATAAAGAGGAAAAACTCAGGTAAAAATGCTGCCATAAGTTTAACATGTTCTGCCTTTAGGAATCCTTTAGTGTGAGGATTGAAAGTCTCCAGCAACGAACAGCTCAGAGACACATGGACAGTATCTTTTTCTGCTTTTCCTCTCACAAATGGCTCTGTCCATAGTCGCGGAAGTTGCTCCAGAAGTGTGAGACTAGAGAGACCAGAAACAAAAGAGAGAGATGGAAGTGGGGCCTCTCTGGCCGCTCTCTGGCCGCTCTCTGGCCGCTCTCTGGCCGCTCTCTGGCCGCTCTCTGGCCGCTCTCTGGCCGCTCTCTGGCCGCTCTCTGGCCGCTCTCTGGCCGCTCTCTGGCCGCTCTCTGGCCTCTCTCTGGCCTCTCTCTGGCCTCTCTCTGGCCTCTCTCTGGCCTCTCTCTGGCCTCTCTCTGGCCTCTCTCTGGCCTCTCTCTGGCCTCTCTCTGGCCTCTCTCTGGCCTCTCTCTGGCCTCTCTCTGGCCTCTCTCTCGCTCTCTGGCCTCTCTCGCTCTCTGGCCTCTCTCTCGCTCTCTGGCCTCTCTCTCGCTCTCTGGCCTCTCTTTCTCGCTCTCTGGCCTCGCTCTCTGGCCTCTCTCTCGCTCTCTGGCCTCTCTCTCGCTCTCTGGCCTCTCTCTCGCTCTCTGGCCTCTCTCTCGCTCTCTGGCCTCTCTCTCGCTCTCTGGCCTCTCTCTCGCTCTCTGGCCTCTCTCTCGCTCTCTGGCCTCTCTCTCGCTCTCTGGCCTCTCTCTCGCTCTCTGGCCTCTCTTTCTCGCTCTCTGGCCTCTCTCTCTCTCTCTGGCCTCTCTCTCGCTCTCGGGCCTCTCTCTCGCTCTCTGGCCTCTCTCTCGCTCTCTGGCCTCTCTCTCGCTCTCTGGCCTCTCTCTCGCTCTCTGGCCTCTCTCTCGCTCTCTGGCCTCTCTCTCGCTCTCTGGCCTCTCTCTCGCTCTCTGGCCTCTCTCTCGCTCTCTGGCCTCCCTCTCTCGCTCTCTGGCCTCCCTCTCTCGCTCTCTGGCCTCTCTCGCGCTCTCCTCTGGCCTCTCTCTCGCTCTCCTCTGGCCTCTCTCTCGCTCTCCTCTGGCCTTTCTCTCTCTCTCTCTGGCCTCGTTATAATTGTTATAATTACTAAATGTGACAGAGGGTTATTGTGTTGTGAACTCACTATTCCAGCACCAGGACAATGTCGTGGTCTGTCTCGTAGGCTCCGTGGAGGTTAACCACTCTGGCGTTGTTCCGGGTCATCTCCAGCACGGCCATCTCGTGCACCACCTCTGCCCGCGAGTCCCGTCCTCGCCTTCTCTTCTTCAGGAACTTAGCGGCAAAGACTTTACCAGAAGCTTTCTCCACACAGCGCTTCACCACCGCAAACTTCCCCCTGGAAGAGAGACAGAGGAGGAGGTCACCGAGGTCCGAGGAGAGATTTTTCTATTATGACAAATGTGTGAAGAAGCGAGTGCCCCTAGTCTGAAGCCTTTGGACATCACAGAAACATGTGGGAAGTATCTCGCCAACAAAATACAGTGTCTTATTAGATGAACCTCAAGTGAAGTCTATTCAGAAGAAAGTCATCATTCCAAACCCTTTAGGCGCCAGGTTTTTTTCCTAATAGGCTCAATCATGTTTGGAGCCCATCAAATTTTGCAGCATGGGTAAAAGCAACACACATTTTTAAAGATACATTGCCGACTTCAATATTGAAATATACTCCCAGTAAATGTAATGTTCTGTTAAATGACATGGTGAAAGGAAATACACAGAAAAGGACACAGGACATATAAATCCAGGACATTTATGGACGTTGGTCATCTGCCATGTTTTCTGTTCTCATGTGATTTGTGAATGATTGACTTCTCTCTCACTTTGATTGCTTCATCGACTCCAATCTTCACCTTGACAGGAACAACCACTGCTCTATACTTTGTTGGTTGACTTTCTTTTTCTGTGGGAAAACGTTCCCACTGAAGAGGGCGGTTGACATTCTGAACTTGTCTTCATGATCTTAAAGACTACTTTTGGGTTAGCGAAGCAGTTGCAATTAGGACATGCCTACTTTAAGTGATAACTGCTGATTCACTAGTGTAGATGTAGCCTGGTTTTAACCATCCGTACACTCCGCTCAATTATTTCCCTGCATGTAACGTCTGGGTCTGGTCCTTAGTGTTAGCGATTACAATCGGTTGAATTCCATCCAAGATGGCAATCATAACCCTAACCCATCTGTTAACGGAGCACCTCCAGACCTTAGTATGAAATGTAATTTGTACTATGGTGTGGTACGACCTGCCTAGTGTAGATGAGACATTTTGGCACAAAAAGACAAGCACCGCGCCCCAACATGCTCTGCAATTTTATCAATTTAGTTAAATAGTGAGATTAAAAATTTTAAGTAATTGTGAACTATAATAATTCATGAATATGTGATCACTCAATAATTCACCCCTGGGGCAAAAGCTCATAAAGCATCTCAGCAAGAACAAACATTAGTCCTAATTAGTTTAGTCATTTACACATAATTCTCCAGCTGCTTCAGTAATTTAGGGTCCACTGTATTTGTTTTCCCCGTGGACTGAACAAAGCCATGTCCCACATACTCCAGGGATTCCCATCTGGGGGGGAAGGGGCAGAAGTGGGTCAAACAGACCAGGGGGCTATGTCCAGCCTGATACAGAGATCCAACCATACGGGTTTCTGCGGCTGGTTTAAAATTGACAATAATAAGTTATTGCATTTTGGGATCATTGTGTAGAGCAGCCATTCCCAAACTCAGTAACACCGAGGCCCCCTTAAAAATCTGACGGGTCTGCGTGGCCCCCCAAAATAATAACCAAGAAGACAACATTAAGAATAGGCTCTTCTGGTTATTTTATTTTGGGGAAATAGCCTCTGCTACAAACATTGTAATACAAAAATTATTACAGTGGATTATTCAAGTCAAATAATGAACACAAATATTTTAATATTACAAACAAAACATTATAAATTTAACATTAAATAATTATATTATTTTTTTTATTTTTTTTATGACCTCCCGCGGCCCCCTTGCAGTACCCTCGCGGCCCACCAGGGGGCCGCGGACCCCAATTTGGGAGACATTGGTGTAGAGTAAAGCATATGGTGTGATAGATTTGTTTTTAAAAATTAGCTTTAAAATTAGGAATAACATGCCATTATAGCATATTGGTGGGATGGGCCGAAAGACAGTTGAAAATTAGTATATCAAAAATCAAAACTGCAGTTGTCTTGGAGGACCGTACAAAGCTGTTGCTTCACCAACAACAGATCAGAGAATCAAACAGAAAAAAAAAAATAATAATAATAATAGGAGCCATTAGTCCTTGGGGAGTGGGATTTATGAAATGTCCATAAATGTCCCGGATCATGACCAGTGTCCTTAGTCCATCCTGCATCAGCAAAGAACCACTCATAATATTGTCAGATCTCTTGTCAAATGGGGATAAAATAAATAAATAAATGTATGATGGGGACAGAGAGACAGACTTTCTCACAATTAATCACTCTAAAACACGGGTGTCAAAGTCAAGGCCCGGGGGCTAGATCTGGCCCACAAATGAATATTCTTAGCCCCGGGATGATATTTGATTAGTATTAAAACTGGCCGCACAGAGTAAATATTGGATTATTAATTAATTTAATGTGCAGGACGTGTGTTTTCCCTTTAAAGAAAGTTTGTTTTTGAGCCTGTTAGAAAACATTCACACTTGAAATGACAGAACCACAGAAATATTGGATTATTCATTTAAGAATTAAATAAAACTCGGTCCACTGCGTTAGGGTTGGTTCAACAGGTTATATGCATAATTTTAATATATTTTAATAAACATTGAACTAGTCCGGCCCTCGGCTTGTAGCAAACTTGTTTTTTTGCCTGTGATGTATTTGGCTTTGACATCCCTGATCTAAAAGAAGTGAAAGCAAACCTCACGATTGAAAAGTTGATTTAGTATGTTATGATTTAGTATGTTTAAACAAATGTCTCATGGAAAATATTTTTGCATTTTTGAAAAACAAACATAGGAAAGTGCAGACTTGTACACTGTAAAATATGACCTCACTTCCATTATTATGTAATATTTAGTATTAAGGCCCTAAAGCTACAACAGCACAAACAATAGTGTTTTCTTCATAGAAACTTGATATTGAGAGATCAGATTGTGCTGCTGCCAGTGCCTTGTTTTGATGGCATAATAGTTTCTGTTATGGTAACCAAGTGTGCAGATTAAAGTGTCAGTGAAAAACCTGAAAATCCACAATCCAACCCACTGAGACACATGTTTATGTCACATTATAGGCCATTAGCATGAAGTTTATCTAAGCATCTGTTTGCACGCAATACACAAAGAGTTAAAGATGCATTTGCTTCTAAACACATATTATTTTCCACATTTTAACTCTTTAACTAGACTTGAGACCAATCACAAAAACACCTGCAGCCTCTGTTCCATGTCCCGGAAATGTATTATACAAATATGAATAAATCAATAAAAGCTGTTAGCAGTCAATATTCATTTGTAAAGCACATTTACCAAAGTGCTGAACAGACAAGTGAAAAACAACATTATTTTTTGATTTTAATAATTCGAGCAGAACTATTTATTATAATTTTTTATAGGTATTTGCAATATTTACATTCTTTAGTTCACATGACTTTTTAAACATATTGCCTTCTCCGTTTACGGTATATACTTATGCATGCAAATATGTAAATATAAATATACAATACCAGGTGTAAACTAACTTCTTTTTAACTTCTACATTTCAGTTTCTACATGAGCGCACATCCTTCCTCAGGTTTTGAAACCATCAGAAGATGCCCAGAGCGGACCCGTCGTTCAGACAGTCCCAGGTGGACTGTGATCCCTGCAGACCACACAGAGACAAGTGCAGTGTCTGCCGCAACTCGAAGATTACAAAGCTCTAATGTAACAGATGAGCTCAGGCATTACAGCTCAGTCTATTGTTTACATTAAAGTGGAAAGAGGGAGAAGCCAGTTTTAAAGAAAGAAACACACAAGGTGAAGGTGCTTATCCTGCCGGTGTATATAACTTTACACTACAGATATGGATAAAGATAGAGATATCAAAATATATATGTAGATATTTATGCATAAACAGCAATCCAAGAAACATAGCAGCTAGCTACTTATTTTGTATATTTTGTGTGCTCCCCGTCTCTCCTACTAGTGTTTTGTATGTGCGCTGCAACATTGAAATTTCCCCAAAGGCTCTCTTAACTCATTATTTTTATTTTTTCTTGTGCCAGTTTTATGAGTATGTTTTCTGTCTGAACCTTCTGGTCCCGGTCTACATCCTAATCTCACTGCTTTCAGAGGCGTCTGGTAACTTTGCCTTTGCACTCAAACTTGGTAATTGCCATTATGTATAACGCGTAAGCACAATCTTGTCACTAATTATCATATTTTTTACACTGAGCAGTTGATTTTTGGACCGGCTCTTAAATTCTACAAATTTTCTTACCATATTCCCTGCTTTTGTCCTTTGTGATGATATCAAACAAAGCATGTTTGCTCACAATGATCAAAATGAGTGAGTTGTCTGCAATATAAAAATAATCCCCCAAGTACATTTGGACATGCGCAGTAAAATGTAAACAACAATGGCGGCAGGTCGACTAATGCTACGTGTGCTTTGCTAACGAAGGAGGATCATACCCCTTCGTCCAAACCAAACCACATCTGTAGTTTCACTTTCCATTTTCCAACCTTCTGGCCCCGGTGAATTGAGGAGCACTGTCAAAGACACATATCGTCTATCAAAGGCTTCCGTAGTGACCTGCAATATATGATCTCAACGCTAGATGGCAATACAAATTACACAGTGTATCTTTAAAAATAAGTACTTTCTTCGAATCAAATCCAATTCTAAAGTTCCAAAAAAAGTAATGTAGAAGGAGCATGTATCCTCTGAACCAGCAGATGTTGTGGGAGAATAGTTCTTTGATATAAAGTGCTTTGAGAGGTAGAAAAGTAAAGGCCGGTAAAGATACAAATAATTCTCTTTTAGTAAATTAATAATCATTCTTTTCATTCCGGGATGTGTTCCTAGAGAACCCATTCTCCAGTTATTTATCACTTGGATTATGTTCATATTTCTACTTTTAGTGAGTTAATATTGTTTTTGTAAATACAGTCACACAGTGAAGCCTTTGAACCTCCAGGATGACGACTGAGAGGCCAGATCAGAACTCAAAGAGTCCAGAGAAATGTGTTACAACTGGGAGTTGGCTAAATTATTTTGCCATGTTTTGACAGACACACACACATTTGTGTGTGTGTGTGTGTCTGTGTGTCTGCGTGTGTGTGTATGCTTGATCTTTGTTTTGTGTGTATTTTGAGTGTGTGTGTGGATTTGCTGGTTTTGTGAGTGTGTTTGTGTGTATGTGTGTTTTGTGTCTAATACCCCATGTATGTTCTAGTATCAAACTTGTATAGATTTTGTGGATTATCTATTTATTTATTTGATAGGGACAATGCACATTAATGAACATCAGTATAAAACAAATGTAAATATGCCGGATTATAGCTACCAAGCTAGTTTGCATCCGTAGTCCCTAGGCAGGAAAATACATGACAAGAGATGACAACATACAATACAATAAAATACAAAATAATAATACAATACAGACAGCACAGGGAAAAGTGAACCCTAACCCCCACATGATTTATTTTAAGCCATTGTTTGATTTGAGTTTTAAAGGTGACCAGTGTAAGACTCTCTCGTAAGTTCAGAGAAAGACTGTATTGATTGACTGATTAATTGCATTGTATTCTGTGGATTGTGTTGAATTGTGAGATGGGGGTTGGGAACAAATACACATCTGCTTCATCCAAACACTGCAAATTTAGACTAATAACATGGAGAAGTTCAATGGATTTCAGTGTATTTATCTAATCACATCAATTTGTGTACTTTTTTACTCATGCAGCTTAAGACACTTATGATAAAATGTATTGTTATTCTTATTATCCTTCTTGTTTCAAAGAGTCTTAACAACTGGAAACATTATGATCCACTCGGTAGGTTTGAAATGAATCTAACTTTCTATCTTCAAAAGCGATAGATATCTTTGTTGTTTTGCATAGTTTGTTGCTATGGCGTCGGTAACAAAGCAAACATTTCATCACCATCCATGGAGAGAGTGCTGGTCGGAGCCGTGGCACAGGACGTACAGTCAGTGCATATGGGTTTAAGGCTGTAATCCGTTTGAGGGTGTGTTGCATAGAAAAGGTATTAAGATGTATTTCCTGCTCCATATGACTGATTTTCTCATAAACCCCTGACCTTTGCACTGCCCCCGAGCAGTTTATCAATACAGCCCATTCACAGAAACCCAGTGGGATTATATCATCTGAGGAGGCATGAATGTAAACACAGAGTTAAAAAGAAATTAAATTAAAAACAAAAACATAGGAGCCATTGGTGCATAGGGAGCGGGACTTTTGACCAATGTCCGTAAATAATAAGAAATGTCCTTAAAGAATAAACCTGAGGCTGATAAACTAAGTTTTATAATTGAATCGGAAGCAACAAATAGTGATTGGTAATTTCCTAAATCGATGTCCTGCTTCTCATTGAGAAAAGTAGTTTTATGGATATTTGGTAAATCATATTTTGGCTCCATCACGGGTTCAAACACAGCTGTTGTCATGTGTTTTTTAAGCAGCCAAAGATTTCCACTTTCTATAATCGTCTTATTGTTGTGTTGAAACATCGATTTCCTGTGACTTAAACAAAATAATCAGATTATTTGAAAATAATATTATGTTCAGAGTGAGTTCTGAGTAAAACGTGTACAAGGAGCACATCACAGGCCTTTGCAAAGAAACTGTTATAACGGAACAATCATCCAGCCATCCACGTTCTTCCCCTTAATCCATTTCTGGGTGGTGGTGGCAGCCAATCCCCAGAGCACCAGCCCCTTAATTTATTTATCTATCGCTCTAAATCACAACAGCAGTCATCTAACACTACCACTACATGTTTTTTGTGGTAGGGTATACCTACCCAGACAACTCCATCCAGAAAAGCCTTGTTCTGACCGGGATTCAAACCCAGGACCTTTTTGCTGAGAAACAAGAGTGCTAACCACTCAGCCACCGTGCCAAATTCGAACCTCGGACCTTCTTGCTAACCACTCAGCCACATGTGACTACTCTTTGGACTGAGCTGATCAAACGCAGAGGGTCTGACACAATGAAGCTGTCATCACGAGTCGTGCTGATTAGAACATACTGACAGAAAAGTAAACACAGGGTTTGAAAAGGAACTGAAAAGCAACATTTTGACTGATACGATTAAATTGAGCATGATAACAAACTGAAACATCTAGCGGTGTTGTGAAATATGCAAATGTGTTGAAATGTTTTAAAACTGTGACCAATACACTGTATCTTGTATAAGATTAGTTTATATAATATTTGTATGTTTTTTGCAAACACATTAAACAAATACTGTACATGAATATGGTAAGTTTTTTGAACAGAAGCACAAACTATTTTAGTTATGAAATGTGCTAACGATAGATTGCTAGTTTAACACTATAACGCTCACTCCTTGAATAAAGCAATGTATTTTTCTTCTAGGATGTAAGAGAGCTAATAACAAAAATATTTTTTTTTAATCATTGATTTATTTTGAACACCTTAGATTTATTTTATTTTTTTATTGTAGGCTTTACTAAATGGTTGTCATGCAGCTTGATGATTAAAGTGCCAAAAAACCAAGTGATAGAGATGCCCCAAGTATATAAATACAGGTGAAGCAGACCATTAAAGAGTTAAGACCATAGACTGTAAATATTAAGACACTTTTTTGCACTCACATAAAACAAATACATTGCTGTGCCTTTTTCTTATGAGTCAAAAATGTAGACATATTTGTATCAATAGAAGTAAGAACTACTATTCCAATTACACATGACTTGTGCAACTATAGTATAAAATCTACTTAACACTGAGAATTCCAATATTTCAGTTCAACTAATGGAATAATCCGAAAGGTATTGATTACATTGACTTCAAAGTTCCCCATTCATTACATTTCACAATATTGACCAATAGTCCACCTTCAAAACAGAATACACACTTTTTAAACGGAATGCCCACTCACCTGCCCAGCTCCCCGGTGATTTCATACACACTCTCAAAGGCCTCGGAGAGAATGGGAGTGTGGATGTCAGTCAGGAGCCCCGTGGAGGCAGCGGCTCCACTGCGACACTCTATCCGCCTGCGAGACGTCATTTTCGGCTACGCTGTGGTCGTCGTCCCGGGGTCAGAAAAAACCTCCAGGAATCAAGTTTCTCTGCTCAATATCTCAGCACAGAGTAATATAAAACCTAAACTACGTACTAGCTAAAAGTAACATGTCTAAAAGTTATAAATGTTACATATTATACATATTTAGCCCAGCTGGGTTAGCACGCAGATCTGGGACAGAAAAGTGGATAAAAACTAACTTATTTTGCTTCAAAAAGCTATGCCGGCAAGGTTCAGGAACGCAAAACAATGTGCAAGTCTATAAAAAAATCATTCCTGAGTTAAAAAGTGGATAAAAATGCAGGTTTGGTGAGTTTTTTCCCCCCGAGTCTTTTCGCTCATCGCTGCCGACTGGATTGACTCCTGCACTGGACACGTCACTCACGGCGCATGCGCAGAGGCTGGTCCGGGTTTGAAAAGATTTGAAATGTTTTGTTTGGTTTATGCAGAGCCCTCAGTGATTGTAAGCAGCACTGGGCAGGCCCTTTCTGCGGCTGCTTCATGCCCACAATGTGACTCTGACCTATATAAGGCCTGCTGCTGTAGCTTTAGGCGAACAAAGAGTCCACTCAGAGTAAACAAAACACAGGCCATTACAGCGATGGGAATGATGTAGTGCAGTGTCTCCCAAAGTGGGGTCCGCGGCCCCCTGGTGGGCCGCGAGGGTACTGCAGGGGGGCCGCGGGAGGTCATAAAAAAAAATAAAAAAAAAATATAATTATTTGATGTTAAATTTATAATGTTTTGTTTGTAATATTAAAATATTTGTGTTCATTATTTGACTTGAATAATCCACTGTAATCATTTTTGTATTACAATGTTTGTAGCAGAGGCTATTTCCCCAAAATAAAATAACCAGAAGAGCCTATTCTTAATGTTGTCTTCTTGGTTATTATTTTGGGGGGCCACTCAGACCCGTCACATTTTTAAGGGGGCCTCGGTGTTACTGAGTTTGGGAATGGCTGATGTAGTGGATCTTCAAGTGCATGCACGTGATAGGCAGAGCATCCCTTGAGTACAAAGCAAATACAGAATACTCAATAATATCCACAAAATAATTTAACTTGTTCACAGCTCTTTAATATTTGCATTTTTCAGACATACATATCCATGCATACAAACATACAAAAAGACACATCTACACATTTCCATGATGGCTTTGAACTTTGCATCCCATGGTGTTAAATAAAGGTATATACAAAATAAATCCACAAGTACCTCCAGAGGGAGTAGTGAAATCTGTTTACATTTTTACTCTACTTTGAAAATTACAGGCTGCAAACACAGACACTTAATTTACCCGAGAAAGTACCAAAACAAATTCCTTGGAAATACTTGTTTTAAAATTCAGAAAACTTCTCTGAGTGTGATGTCACAGGTGCAATGACATCATACTATTACAGGACTGAGGCCCAGTCCCAATACCCACACTGCACCCTACACACCTCTACGAAGTGTGCATTTGTTCGAAGTGCACACCAGGGTTGGAGTGCGCAGGTTACAAGTGTGCAAAAAAGGCAGAATTGGGAGTGTGGATCAGGGGCGCAAAGGGGTCGGGGCCAAAGACCAAAGACCAATTGTCCAGGGAGGTCTTTGGCCCCGCCCCCTTTGCGCCCCTGATCCACACTTCGCCGTAGATCCATGCGTAGCCTGCATCTATGCGCACTCTGGTGAAGGATATTGCCCATAATTGTTTGCGGTACACACCAAAACGTCGGGAAAATGCAAATTTTGAAATATATATGCAGTATGTGTGTAAATAAGTTTTGCTATGTTACTTGGAAAGAAGCATAAACGTCTGATGAAGAATTACGGACATTGTGTTTTAACAATTTAATAACTTTTTAAAGCAAGCGTTTATATAACATTCAATTTAAACTTTACACTTAGTACAATAATCTTAGAATGTATAAAAACTGACCAGATAGTTAGTTACCCACATTTAACTTAAAATTATACAGCTATCTCTAATTAAAAACAACTAATATACATGTATTTTAACGTGTGTGAAGCAATTCATTTTGTTTCCCAAAGGGTCAGACAAAGTTACATTTAATGTTTATAAAGTTTAGGTCTGAAAATGACCATCTCTTGACGAGTCGATGACGTCACCTGCACTCAGTGCACTGTCCCAATTCTGCCTTTTTTGCACACTTGTAACCTGCGCACTCCAACCCTGGTGTGCACTTCGAACAAATGCACACTTTGTAGAGGTGTGTAGGGTGCAGTGTGGGTATTGGGACGGGGCCTGAGACTGGAGCTCCTAGAGAGAAAAGATGGTGTTACATGTTTGGGCCAGAAGTTCTTGATATTAGCGTGGATGGATCCAAAAACAACCCCAGATCTGTTTTTGATGAGGGAACAATGTCGCATTGTATATGGACATTTATTAATTTGTATAATTTTTGCATTTCCTGTAGAACTCTTTGATTTTCTGATCTGCATTAACTTATATGACAACTTTGCAAAAACGACTGCTGTTGTGATTTAGTGTGTGATTTAGAATATTCTCCAAACATATATTGATTGTGAAAGTGAGCAGATAATAACCGTAATTTCATGTAAACTAGCTTTACCTTCTGCCTATTTTTCTTTCAACCCTAATTTTGACCTTTTTAAATTGTCAAAAATGTCTGAAATAAATGAATAAACTCAAACTAAATTTGATTGAATTTTCATAATAAATGTCGTTTAAAATGATCTCAAAGAAACCCGTTCTAATGCTCCCAGTGCACCATGACCTGGATGCCTGTGAAAAGACTACATGGTTTAAGTGGAAGCTCTTTACTCTAAAATCGTCCTCAATGAGGTCTGAATAAGGAGGATTATCAAAAGCATTGTTTTCATGGATGCAACCCAAATACCAAAGTGTAAATGACCCAAATCAATATGCAAAGAGGCAAAATGTATTTAACAGATTAGGACCAGGAGGGGGTGGGAGAGGCTTGGAACGAGGGTCTATCTGAAACCATCCAGGAAGTAGTCGGTAAGTAATGATAATTTACTGTACTTACCGCTTTATTTGGCCAATCACACGGCGTTGTTCCATGGGGGACACAGAGCTGTTCAGGAAGACGGAGCCCGGGCCTAAATATTTGTCTGTATGTGTTTTTATTCTTTATGTTTTGCTTCTTACTTATTCTTTATGTTTTTAACTTGCTGTAGTACCTGGAGATGTGCCTCTGCAAGGTGTGTTATAATTTAACTATAATAGGCAAGGCAAGTTTATTTATATAGCACAATTCATACACAAGGCAATTCAAAGTGCTGAACAAAACAAGAAAGCATTAAAATCATAAATTATCACAGAACATTAAAAAGAAAGATAAAAATATAAAATCCCTCAGTTGTATGCACAGTTAAACAGAACTGTCTTTAACCTGGTTTTAAACATTGTCAGAGAGGAGGCCTGTCTCACATCTTCAGAAAGACTGTTCCAGATTTTAGCAGCATGAATCTGAAAAGCAGCCTCCCCATGTTTAGTTCTGACTCTGGGCACTAACAGGAGTCCAGTCCCTGTGCTCCTCAGAGTCCGGGCTGGTTCATATGGGACTAACATGTCACTAATATATTTTGGTGCGAGGCCATGGAGAGACTTGTACACAAGCAGAGCTGTTTTAAAGTCTATTCTCTGAGCCACAGGAAGCCAGTGCAGAGACCTCAGGACTGCACTACTACGGTATATAGCGCATTTTTACAGGTCACCCAAAGCAGAGGAACTGGAGCACCTGTAGGACACCGAGGAAAATCAGGACACCTGGAGGAAATCTACAGCGTAATCTCCGCTCATAAAGGACTTGTTCTAGGGTTGGAATCAAACCCAGGACCTTTTGTTGAGAAGCGAGAATGCTAACCACTCAGCTGCTATTTAAACAGTTTTTATCAAAAAATTTGATCACTTTCGAACCACTTTTGCTAATTTGGTTTTAGCATTTGATAAACATGCACACTCTCCTTGATCCTCTCCAAGTATAAACAAAGAGAAGTGAATGATTATCATACAGCAAAATCTCAATATTCGTCTAAAACAACGTGGTCCTGCCGCATGTTTCTGTGCACTGCCCCTCCATGTGACACTAGCTGAAAAATGGTCACATCAAGGCTCACCTCAGACCTAAGAATAACAAGGGATTACATGCATTTTAAGGTTTTTTAATTAAATAATAGAAATGTAGAAAACACGAGGACCAAAAATGTTACTATACTCGACGGTACGTTGGTAAAACATCCCATAATACTCTCAATGATGGAAATGGAAAAAAATACACTTCATAAATCAGTTAAAATTAGCCATTTCTTCTCTTTTATTACAATCATCTGTGAATGAAGACACACATACAGGAGCGTTGCATAGGTGGGATCTGAGAGTTCAAATGTACAAGAAAAGACAGTGAATTTTTGACTGTTTCTTAGTGTGAAAAGTGAATTTGAGGAACCGATTTAGGTGAAAAAAGCCATGTTTGTTGATTTCATTGTGGATTTTTGAAGTTCTGGCATGTGTTTTAGGAGTGAACGTCAGCCTAAATGTGGTTGCAAGCCCCAACCTTTGGTACATTCAATGCAAAATATAATATTGACACAGACTGCGACTGACATGTACAAGTATATACACAGACAAAGAACTATGTACACATACATGTCCAAGGATCCAACAGCCCGATTCTTTACCATTGGTCCATTCAAGAGATATGGACGCGACCATCCTCTATTACTAAGATAGGCGGACTTGCACGTGTAAAACTAATGAGAAGCATGCTGCCATAGAGACTCGTCGATAAACACAGCCAGTGGAAATTCTCAAAATATCAAAATGTTTTCTATCTTTAGACGAGGGGAAAAGAGACGAGAGTTTACATGGGTTGAAATAACATTATAGTGGATTTATCCATGATGTGAAATGATGAGCAGGTTTGTTCTGGTTCTTCTACAGTTCGACGAAATTTGGTAAAGTTGTGATTCTATTCTGCGGTTGGGACGTGAGCCGATGATTACAGACAGTTTATTCCTTTTGTATATGAGGTTCTGGGGATTGGTGTAATGGCAAATGTAGCTGCCATTTTAAATAAGGAGAAAAAGAGTTCTCTAAAAAAAAAAAATTTGACGTAAGTTTTTAAATGGGCATATTATACTATATTATGGCGCCATCTTCAGGTGAAAGCCAGATCCTGTTGGACCTCTGTAGCTAAGCAGGGCAGGGGGTGGTTAGTACTGTGATGGGAAAGCTCTGAGAACACCAGGTGCCACAGTGGGGCAGCTGCCAAAACTGTCATTTGGCACAGACTGGTTGTCTCGCTTCTGTCATTGTGTCCCAGGGGAACTGTGGCTACAGTATTAGTTTATCACCGTCTTTGAGAAACAAAAAATATGAAACCAATGCATTAAATTTGTCATAACAATGTGAGATCAGAGTCAGAATATTTCTTCTCTGAATTATAAAAATAAATATTAGTTCTAAATACATTGGTTTCATACATAAATACATGTGAAGGTGATGGAAATGTTTGGGAAAGTGTGTAGAAAATATGGATCTGGAGAAGATTCTTTTCACATTTGGGTCAAATTATTTTCTAACAAATTGGTGACTTTTGTTGTTACCTTTAAAATCATTGAGACGAACTAAAGTCTCTCTCTGTGACCGAGTGACAACTGAAAACTAAACACAAAACTGTAGGAACATACAAAATCATGATATAACACAGTGGTTCTCAACTGGAGGGTCAGGGCCCACATATGCATCTGCTTCACTGAAAAGTAGAAAGATGTCACATTTTCCTTTAAGAAAATCAAGCCCTTGTTAAAAAAGTGACGTTAACACGTGTGTTTGTGATCAAAGATGTAATACTTCAATATGGAATGAATAAATACAAATAAAATTAAAAACATTCTATCAGATTAATCCAAATAAAAAGTAAATCTTTCCCCAGTGGAAGATAACCTGAAATGGGTTACTTCGGACAAATGTACTTTTTTCAAGTGGTTTTCATGTATTTCCTTCATTACAGTTTGTTAATCAATGTTTACAAAACAATACTATGTGAAATTATACAATATTTAACTTATTTAACTAATTTATACAACATAATTGAGTTGCTTCTTGGTTAGTATGTCAACGCTGGGCTGGGCACCTCCAGTTGAGAACCACGGACAAACTGTTGACATTTTATTTTATGTTTTTTTCCATATTTTTGTTGTCTGTTTTTGTGTTGTATGGACTCTTTATGTGTCTGAATAAAATATTCCATAAACACAAATAAAAAGGTTGATCGATGGCTCTTCTTTGGCAGCAGCTTCAATAGAAAGTGACTCACTATGACCTGCATTTGCTCCGATGGACAGCGATATCCTCATGCAAAAAGCTAGTAAGGACACAATTTCAGCATGCAAATATCGAGCTATGACACAACGCCACCTAGTGGAGTGTTACTGCCACAGGCCAACTCACAGAGCTGCCCCGGCCGACCACCGTAGATTCACATGCACAAGTTTTGGGCTAAAGAGGAAATGTTCAGGTAATTTTGTTTTTTTAACTAACCATTTCCAGCCCTTTCTGTGGTCGAGCTCAAATAAGACTTTGTACAGAAGGTGATCTTGCATGCACCCCATAGAAAACACTGTGTATATGTGTGTGTGTGTGTGTCTTCCTGACAGTGCACATGACAGGTTCACACACAGATTTGACTGATATAATTCTAGTTTTGCCGTTTCTGTGTGTCTGATGTGAAATGATGACATCACATTGAGGATTCCAAAAGCTCCTAAATATCGTTACTCTTCCTCCTCCTCTTCCTCCTCCTCCTCTCCCCAATTGTTCCTTATCCAAGCAAAGAAATGGAGAGGAGCGGCCGGGGACATGTCTCTTGAATTTTAATATACTGTGGGCGTCATTGGGTGTCTTGAAAGGCACCATGAAATAAAATCAATTATTATTATCATTGACATATTTTAGTTCACAAAAACGTTCATAGATTTTGGTTGAAGTCTGCACCTCCCAAGTATAATGGCATCGGACATTTGGTTTCTAAACAATTCTCGACTATTTCAGACAAACTTCTTCCTGATTGGTGTAAAACAATCACATTGACCAAATCAATAAAACCTGTCATATGCACTTTTTAGGCAAGTGTTGAAAAGGTTACTCTTTTTTGTGAACAAAAATAAAACTCTTGTCCATACACATTCTTTGAAACAAGCTTTCTCTAAATATATTCCATTAAATATATAATAATGTGATAAAGTCTCAGTAAGATAATCTCTGTAGGTTGCATTCATGTGACGGCACAAGGTGGAGATTGTCATTTAGTGAAAATAAACTGTTTCTGCTGTTAAAGAAGACGTACCGTGACGAGAAACCAGAGAGAGACCAGAGAGAGACCAGAGAGAGACCAGAGAGAGACCAGAGAGAGACCAGAGAGAGACCAGAGAGAGACCAGAGAGGCCAGAGAGAGGCCAGAGAGAGGCCAGAGAGAGGCCAGAGAGAGGCCAGAGAAAGACCAGAGAGAGACCAGAGAGAGACCAGAGAAAGACCAGAGAGAGACCAGAGAGAGGCCAGAGAGAGGCCAGAGAAAGACCAGAGAGAGACCAGAGAGAGACCAGAGAAAGACCAGAGAGAGACCAGAGATAGACCAGAGAGAGGCCAGAGAGAGGCCAGAGAAAGACCAGAGAAAGACCAGAGAGAGACCAGAGATAGACCAGAGAGAGGCCAGAGAGAGGCCAGAGAAAGACCAGAGAAAGACCAGAGAGAGACCAGAGAGAGACCAGAGAGAGACCAGAGAGAAAGACCACCAGACGTGGCACCGTGTAAAAGTCACATTTGAACGCAACCTATTATTCCTGAAATTAACACTATTTGCAAAAGTATTCCAATGTAGTTTTACTGCAAATGGCAAATAGAATTTATATGAATCGATTTAAAACTATTTATCCGATTGTTTTTACAGTGTGTGTTTCTGTGTGTTCACAAAGATATCCAATACAATATTACCACATTCAAAAAACATACTTTAGCAAATTAAAGGGCCTGCACCAAATTTTGGAATTGTGTCCCAGAATGAGCCCCAATCCCAGACAATAGCCCAGTGACAATACTCAACATTTGCATAACACTAACATGATTTTTGTGTAAAAGCCCATTTTGTTGGTATGGAGACTTGAAATAACTAAATAATTTCAGGGTGTTGTGTTTGGTGTTATAATACTGAATTACGATTCATGAAATTGGATTTAAATCTGAAAATTGTCTCATTTCAAAACAGGTCTTTCCCAGGACTTTTTATTCAACATAGTCCCTGGTATTGCGTCTATAGGCTTCCGTTTCTTTGTAAATTGACTGGCCACTTATTAAAAACATATTAAGTGTCAAACTAAAAGTGTGTTGCAAAAAAAGTGTATGTGCAAGAAGACGCATGAAACAAATATATCTTAATTATGTAAATTATTTGTATTGTCTTCTTTACAAAGGCAGGCAAAACAGACCACATTTCTTGTCAAATTAGTGCATGGAATAAAGGTTTGGTTCAGGCCCTTTAATGCAAACACCGGATTCCAATCAAGTACATTCAGTCATGGCTTAAGTACAATCGTCTGCATCACCATCAGTCAAAGAAAGCAACCATTACATTTGATTAGAAAACCAAACAATGAACCCGTTTGCTTCTCAACATTCGTCTGGTTACACCTTAAAAATAAATGCTTTTGTGTTTTTTGTTTGTCAGTGTGTGTGTGTGTGTTCATAGTTCTTTATTCCACTGCAGCCCAAAGGAGGACATATAGGACACAGTTTTAAGGTCCGAGGGGGGGGGGGGGGGGGGGGGGGGGGAGAGACACTGTCTTTTTGATGACGAGGACGAAAAGAAGAATCGTAAATCCAAGGCCGTTAACTCAAAGCACGTGTGGTTTGAGTTGAAATAAACTAAAACAAAAAGTCACTGTCTCTTTTCAGTGCGAGAGTCAAACGTAAAAAGGCAAAAGACGTGAAGTGGTTTTGGTGATTTTGGCTGAGAAAAGTCAGTCTTGAGTATGAGTTCTCCTGTGAGTTTACCTCCACCATCTACTCCAGGCCAAAAGTGCTGGTCTCCTCCACGGCCGTCACAAGTTTCTCGTAGAGCATTGAGAACGAGGGGTACGGGGGGAGGTCCAGGCGGTTAAAGCAAGTGTGAGCCCTGTGCAGAGGGAGACACAAGGGAGAAAGACTATAATTCTTCAATGCGAAAAGCTAGTAAGGATACAAGTTCTTCTAGAGTCTAGACTAATAAAACAGTCTGGAGGAATAATTGAATCGCATGAAAAAACACCTTGTTAACTGATCAAATATACTACTACTGCTACTGCTACTGCTGCTGCTACTACAACAACTGCTACTACTACTGCTACGGATACCTCTGATACTGCTACTGCTGCTACTACAACTACTGCTACTACTGCTGCTACAGATACCTCTGATACTGCTACTGCTACTGCTGATGCTACTGCCACTGCTGCTACTAGAATTTTCAGAATACAGAAACTACTTGAACTACCGGGGCAGTTAGCTTGATGGCTAAACAGTGACCATAAACAGTGTGTTGCTATGGTAACTAGCACTTGCTCTTCTCTGGTGGACAACCAGACCAGGACCAGACCAGGACCAGAACAGGACCAGAACAGGACCAGACAAGGACCAGTCAAAGACCAGACCAGGACCAGACCTCAATCAGTCTAGAACCAGACCAGGACCAGACTTAGATCAGTCCAGGACCAGTCCAGGACCAGTCAAGGACCAGACTTGAAAGAATCCAGGAACAGTCCAGGACCACACCAGGATAAGTCCAGGACCAGAGCCAACGCCTTAGAGAAACAGGGTGTTCCAGAAGGAGGCCGGAGGGCCACATGTCTTGTGTGATTTCAATGTTTCTTTTCTTGTTTTGAAGAACTTTGAGTTGCCTTAAATATTACCTGTGCTATACAAATACATTTTGTATAGCACAAAATAATCAACCATAATGACACTATCAGCATTTAGAGCAGAAGTCACTACACATAAAGACACATTCCACTGTAGATATTAAAGCATCTATAGATTTGGTTGGTTGAATTTCCAACTTGGCAATGGCAGCTGATTTAAAGTAATTTGTACCTGGGTAATGAGGTGATCTTCCCCCATTTCTCTACACAGAATCGCCGAGGTCCGTTACTGCCGCGAAGTGATGCAAAGCCCTCGTAAGGAATACTGGACGTACCCGTGACGAACTGCAAAACAGACAAAAACATGAGTCCTCACTATTTGCCAAACTTTGCCAGGAAGCATTTGCCCTGGATTAAGTCTTAAAAGCTTTTAAAAAAAAACACACACACACAGAACACAAAGAACATGACAGAACAAAATTACAGTTGTTTGAGAAGTATAAAAAACATCAACAATATATATGATAACAAACCCAACAAATAAAGACATTTTAAAAACATAGAAAAGATCAAAATATATTTTAAAAAATGGAAAAGATTAAAATATAAAAGAATAATTATTTCCAAAAAGATCTAAACATTTCAAAAAGATACAATTATGAAAAAAAAATCATATTACAAAAAAATATATACAGTATCTATTTAACAAAACTTGAATGGAACTTGGAGTTTGGCCAAATAGTCTGATATAACAACTAACAATGTAAGACACAGAATAATAACTACACAGTATGAAGGAAAAAAACTGTTGAACTTTTACAAAAAATGCACCAAAACAAGTGGGATCAACAAAAAAAACTGCATCTGAGCGTTGACATGCAGGACCCGGTCTGTCCACAGGGGGGCAGCCCACGTCCACTGCAGCCTCAGCCTTCATCAGGACACGAGGACGATACCTGCAGCAGCCTCAGTCTCTGCTCGTTGTTGAATCTCTCCACGGCCGCCCAGAACCAGCGGATCACTATGTGGTTGTCATGGTAACCTGATGGAGAGAGGAGACGGAGGAGGAAGAGGAGGAGGAAGAGGAGGAGGAGGAAGGAGAGAGGGAGGAAGAGACGGAGAGGAGCATGAGTCAGATGAATAACAAATCAGGCCTTCTGTCTTAGCTCTAATTTCTGAACCAGAGATATGGACCCCGTGATTGCCATTTAGAAATCATAACTGGCCTGGGACAGAGAGACAGAGGTGAGACAGGGACCAGAGAGACACCAGAGAGAGACCAGAGAGAGAGACCAGAGAAAGAGACCAGAGAGAGACCAGACATGGAGACCAGAGAAAGAGACCATAGAGAGAGACCAGAGTGAGAGGCCAGAGAGAGAGACCAGAGAGAGAAACCAGAGAGTGCAGAGAGAAAGACCACAGAGAGGGACCAGAGAGAGAGGCCAGATAAAGAAACCAGAGAGAGCAGAGAGAGAGACCAGAGAGAGAATTTTCACAATCTGTGCATCCTTAAAAACTAGCAATAAAACCGTGAGAAACAACTGGATCATACTACAGTACATAGTTCATTTATGTTTGAAAAGGAGGTTCACCAGCTCTCAGTTTGAAATGACAGCTAAAAGTCTGTTAATTCTAACTCCATCGACAAAGAAGTGGTTCTGCCATGATCCTCACAGTGATGCTCTTTAATGTTTGATGCTTAATGGCAGAAGCGGCTGTCACTGGGTCTCATTCATCAAATAAAGAGTCTCTCGTGGATCCCAGACCAGCCCTGAGTCCTTTGTCCCTTCATTTTGGCCACGGTTCAAACGCTGAGGCTTTGGCTGCAGCCTCCGAAAACCTTTTAAAATGATAAACGGGAAAAGGCTGTTTTGTTGTGACTGTGGCTTTAATTTCTGCCTAAATGACAGAGCGATTGCCTCGACCCACCTTTTCTCCAAACTCACGATTCATATTTACTTCACTGTTATGTAATGTGGAAATGGTCTGGTTCCTGAGGAAGTAGGTAGTTGTTGATGGGTTGAGTAGATACAGTATATAAAAATACTGCTTGTTTGGTGTCCTCTAGATCTACTCAATATTGGAAATAAGTGTGATATGCACGGATGTAAAATAATATGTGGATCTATGATAATAAGTAAATCTATAATAATAAGTAGAACTGTAATCATGTGGATAGAGTAGAGCTCTAGAGTAGAGAACTCAATGTAAACTCAAACAGACCTCAGCTGACAGAGAACCTGAGAGAACCTACAGCTTTCATAAAGGAGGAATCTGTGGATTGTCTTGTCATTAAGAGAGACCAGAGAGAGAGAGAGAGACCAGAGAGAGAGAACAGAGAGAGAGACCAGAGAGAAACCAGAGAGAGATACCAGAGACAGACCAGAGAGAGAACAGAGAGAGAGGCCAGAGAGAGACCAGAGAGAGATACCAGAGACAGACCAGAGAGAGAACAGAGAGAGAGGCCAGAGAGAGACCAGAGAGAGATACCAGAGATAGACCAGAGAGAGACCAGAGAGAGATACCAGAGAGAGATACCAGAGAGAGACACGAGAGAGAGAGAGAGACCAAGGAGAGACCAGAGAGAGACCAGAAAGAGACCTGAGAGACTCCACTGAACTAATCCAAAGTGCACACAAGCCACATAAGTTTTCTTCTGGCTGTAAATAAAGGTAACTGTTGTGTTAGTACTGTTAATACTAGTGTTTATCTGTGTCTGTGAGTCCGAACCTCCTCTGTTCTGTGCCTGTGTCTGTGAGTCCAAACCTCATCTGTGTCTGTGTCTGTGAGTCCAAACCTCATCTGTGTCTGTGTCTGTGAGTCCAAACCTCATCTGCGTTTGTGTCTGTGAGTCCAAACCTCCTCTGGTCTGTGTCTGTGTCTGTGTCTATGAGTCCAAACCTCCTCTGGTCTGTGTCTGTGAGTCCAAACCTCCTCTGGTCTGTGTCTGTGAGTCCAAACCTCCTCTGGTCTGTGTCTGTGTCTGTGTCTGTGAGTCCAAACCTCCTCTGGTCTGTGTCTATGAGTCCAAACCTCCTCTGGTCTGTGTCTGTGTCTGTGAGTCCAAACCTCCTCTGTACTCGGTGTTGTTCCTCCAGTCCGACAAGTCGATCTCAGCTGTTCCTGCGATCACCAGCTCCAGCTCCCGAGCGTCAAACACCGACACCAGCCGCACGTCCACCACCTGCACCGGCACAACACTCACATTCACTGACCGTCTGCATGACACCGTCTGCATGACACCGTCTGCATGACACCGTCTGCATGACACCCTCTGCATGACACCCTCTGCATGACACCGTCTGCATGACACCGTCTGCATGACACCGTCTGCATGACACCCTCTGCATGACACCCTCTGCATGACACCGTCTGCATGACACCGTCTGCATGACACCGTCTGCATGACACCGTCTGCATGACACCGTCTGCATGACACCGTCTGCATGACACCCTCTGCATGACACCCTCTGCATGACACCGTCTGCATGACACCGTCTGCATGACACCGTCTGCATGACACCCTCTGCATGACACCCTCTGCATGACACCGTCTGCATGACACCGTCTGCATGACACCGTCTGCATGACACCGTCTGCATGACACCCTCTGCATGACACCCTCTGCATGACACCCTCTGCATGACACCCTCTGCATGACACCACCCTCTGCATGACACCCTCTGCATGACACCCTCTGCATGACACCCTCTGCATGACACCCTCTGCATGACACCACCCTCTGCATGACACCCTCTGCATGACACCCTCTGCATGACACCACCCTCTGCATGACACCCTCTGCATGACACCACCCTCTGCATGACACCCTTTGCATGACACCCTCTGCATGACACCCTCTGCATGACACCACCCTCTGCATGACACCCTCTGCATGACACCCTCTGCATGACACCACCCTCTGCATGACACCCTCTGCATGACACTCTCTGCATGACACCCTCTGCATAACACCACCCTCTGCATGTCACCACCGTCTGCATGACACCCTCTACATGACACTATGGCCGCTCACAAGAGTAACCGTAGCAACAGGCTAATATCACTCCGCTCTTGTGGTAGTTAGATAGATAGATAGATAGATAGAAACATTGTCTATCTTGATTCTTTCCAAGCTGAAATCCAGTGTGTACCTCGTAGAAGCCTCGGACCAGGCTCTCGGTCTGCTGGGCCACGCCCCTCTCGATCCTCCACTTCACCATCCTCTCGATGTATTCCTTCTTGTTCTTCTCCGACACAGGGATCCCAGCTCCCCCCGGCTTCAGCTCCCTCTCTGTGATCTAAACCATGTCAAAGGAAGATCGGTCAGTCTGATGAACGACAAAAGCCTTTGTGTGTAATTTGATTCTATTTCTTTGTGAATAACTTTGTATATTATGTGCATGTTTAGAAATGAATAAAATGAAAATAAAAGTTATTGTTGTCTGTGACTGATGGTAAAAAGTACAAACATCTTTACGTGTTAACAAAGTGAAAATATGGCAGCATTAGTTTGGAGCTGCAGTACCTGTCCGAACACCTCCTCGTTGACGGTGAAGGTGAGATCCAACATGTCTTCGATGTCGTTGTCCTTCATCCACTGCAGACTCTGGTGAAACTCCTCGTCCAGAAACTCCAGGTCGCTCAGGTCACATGGACTGAACCAGAGCAGAAGGAAGAGAAGAAAGAAGCCATTTGCAAAACTGTCAGCGGTTTTCTTGGAGACATTTCCAACAGCTGTTAAAGCTATTTGAAACGTCAGATTTTATGTCAGGCTTAAATCATTTATGTATTTTATCATCATGTAAAATTAGCATGGTGCTGCTGTCAGACTGTACAATAAACAATGAGGGCTAACAAACACTGCCGATCTGACCATACGATATAGAACCACATCTTACTGCTGCTATGTTCCAGAGCCTTATGCTGCTAATGCTAACACGTGCAGATGCTAACATACTGCTGTTAACATGTACAGATGTAAGCATACTGCTGCTAACATGTAAAGATGCTAACATACTGCTGCTAACATGTACAGATGTAAACATACTGCTGCTAGAATGTACAGATGCTAACATACATCTGTGCAATAGAATATACAGTAGTTTATACTTGCTTCTTATTTTGCTTAAGTCAGAGATTTTGAACTTTTCTTTGATACTAGAGTTTAAAAAATTATTTTTAAAATATAAATTACAAAAATATTTTTTGTTTTTTTTAGGGTAGCGTTATTGTTCATTTATCTCATTCCTATTGTTCTGTAAATTGCTAATGCAACACTGACATTTCCCCACCATGAAACCAGTGATCATCTTGATCGTTCCCATGTGTTTTGTCTGACAACATTGGACTGACCGGTGCAGCTTGGTGTTCAGACGACGTGTGCGGTGTGTTGGGGACATTTTGTTGTTTGCAAAATACTTTTGAATATACATTGTTTGCCGTTTCCCACTTGCTAAATGCATCCATTAACTCATGTTTATTGTTATTTCTTGTAGCCCTGAACTGTGATCCAGACACCTGTGTGCAGGGAGACATGAACAGATGAATATTTTGTGGCTTACATTCTCAGGAGTCCTTTGTAAAACGGTCGTGTGAAGAAAGCATCCAGCAGATACTGATGCACAAGAGCCAAGCCCAGGATCCTCCCACTGAACCTGAACCTGGAGCGAGGAAACAGATATATGGACTCGTTTTGATAACAAAACATCGAGACAGTCCTCCAGCTTAGTCTGCGCTTCTAAACTACATAAACTACAGACTTATATTGTTGAAATATCATGAACACCTGAGTGGCACTTATACACACTACCAACCAGTAGCTTCAGGTAGCTCCCCATAGGACTTAGAATTGAACACATAATCTTGAATGATCTGCAAAAAGAAGTAGCTCTCTTCCTCTTTTGTTGTATAAAAGTAGCTCTCTGATTGAAAAAGGTTGGTATGGAAGCCCGTTTCCGCCATGAAAAAAAAAAGCCTACAGAAAGTCAAAATTACGACTTTAAAAGTCAAAATTACGAGTTTTCAACTGCTCATGTGCGCAGTCAAAGTCATTGAGCATCAACTGGTGACATCTGGTCAGTATCACGGCTATCGATGGATGCACCAGAAATGCACTGAATGATATTGTGACTGACAGAGAGACCGTTCACGATTACAGGACAGTGAGGGAGGTCCGCAAACAGAGGCAGGAGAACCACAGTCACGGGCACTGACACCTTTTGGAATTGCGATCAGTGCATTGAAGAGTATGTGACGTGAGTGTGTGCGTGCACGCGACCGAAACGTGAGCGCGCTCTGGGGTGAGCTGATGGAGCGAGCGTGAGGGTAAAGTTGTTGGAACCTAGAGACATTTAGGGAATAAGTTCCTTGTCTAATTATTTTATTGTGACAAAATAAAGCCCATGACTCTTAGCAACAATCCGGAGAAATAACTCCGCAGATAACAGTGAGGGTCTTTGAAAAGGGAGTTAAACCCATTATAGATGCATGAATAAAACCCCGTCCTCAACACGTAGAAAGCGCATCCTTTCAGCCGTGGAAATACTCGCTCCATGTGGACCCCTCTCAGCGCCATCGTCTGGTCAGAGTGGTCTATAGCAGATTGGATTGGAATGTCTCGATGGCTCATTTTCCTTTGATTTATTATAAAAAACATATTGCTCACATTATTTGTTACTATGTCAAAATAAGAAGTCGTTTGATTTAAATGTTGTATATATGTAAATTGAATTTAACATAAATAAATAAAAAGACAGCTCCCCCTGCGTCCTACGACCGCGGTCTGGGGCTTAAACAGGAAAGTTTTACAGAATCAATCAAACAACATTATTTCTGGCTACTTCAAGGATGCAGTGGTCACTGTAGGCAATATCTTCACATAATCTGCAGCTGAAGGATGTCCAGAGACCGTTCCAGACAACAACACATACGAGTTTTCAACTGCACATGCGCAGTTGAAAACTCGTAATTTTGACTTTTAAAGTCGACATTTTTACTTTTAAAGTTGAAATTTTGAGTTTTAAAGTCGTAATTTTGAGTTTAAAACTCAAAATTTTGACTTTCTGTATGCTTTTTTTTTTTTTTACATGGCGGAAACGGGCTTCCATAGGTTGGAGACCCCAGCACTATGATAATAAATATTCTGAAAATCAATAAACCAGTGCAGATTACCAGCCTCTTCTTGAACTATTTGGACCAAACCAGATACTAGGGGTGCAACGGTTTGAAAAAATCACGGTTCGGTTCGTACCTCGGTTCAGAGGTCACGGTTCGGTTCATTTTTCGGTTCATTTTTCTAAAAAAAAGTTTTGTCTTTTTAATAAACACAGCTCATGTGGACTCGGCACCTGCTCTGACTGCCCCCCCTGACCTAGAAATGAATTAAGGGGAAGGAAATGGATGGATGTCTATTTAATGTCTATTATGTCTATTTAACATAATTAATGAAAAACAACACAAAGTGCAACATAAGAAGGCACTTTATGAGGATATTTACCCTCATATATTACACCACCTTCCTGATTCTCCCGAGGAGGCGCTCCATTCTGGGCCCAGCCTCATTCACTGCATTTATTTAATTTTTGGCATTATCAGTTGTGACTGGGATATTAGTACTGGGCCTTTGTCTTCCATTCCTCCGCTGCTTGTGTCAGAACCTGCGCAGTGTGACTGTGTGACTGTCGTAGAGGGGGCGTGTCTTCAGCGCCAGACTTTTCATCTCCCAGTCTGCGGTGATGAAGTGAGCGGTTCCGCTCATGGATCTATTATAGGTTCCGCGGGACGTCCAAGCGTCAGTCGTGAGCGCAGCTGAGGATGCGCGGGAGAGTTGACTTTAGCCCGGTCTGACTGTGCGTAAAGGAGCTGCTTAAATGCCGCGGCAATAAGCGGTCGTTGAGACGCTTTTTTCACTCATGTCTTTCTTGTGCCACAGTGCTTACACATCGTGACAGTTTTGTCGAATATTAATCATCAGTGTAGTTACAGTGAAGCCAAAATGCTCTCATACTGGGGATTTAAATGACGCAGGGCTTTCAAGCATCTCCGTTCCTCCGCTCGCAATGACCGCGCTGTGTGTGGACTAAACAACGTGCGCACACATTTTTTTTCATAAATCAAACCGCGGATCACGTCTGTACCGAACCGAAGACGTTGAACCGAACGGATCACGGATCAGTGATGAACCGTTGCACCTCTACCAGATACACAAACAAATATCAATTTTTTATTATGATATTTGCTGCTAAAAGGCCAGTAAAAGGCAAAGGCTGCTCCTGAGTATTTTGAGTGAGATTTATACAACAAATAAAATGACCTAAAATTTGGCAATAATTGACCCACAGGCCTGAGTTTGGACACGCGTGGTCTATAGTGTCTGTGGTGCAGTGTCTTACCACTCGTGATGGTTGTCCACGAAGGCCGACATGGGGCTGATCTGGACCGTGTATGTGTCGTTGGCTGAATACTCAAACAGGCCGTAGTAAGGATTAAACAGCTCCCGAGAAACGAGGAAGAAGAACTCTCTGGACGGACCGCTGTAATCCAGGCTGCACAGAGACAACGTCAAGATTCATTAATTGCAGAATATTCAGGGAAATAGAGCAGTGTTTTATAACCAATGTGTTGTGGTCCATGGTTAGTGCCTTGGAAATGATCCAATATCACCCATATAAGCTAGAGCAGTTAGGTAAAAAGACTGCATTTTAAAATCTGATTATAAGGCACTGCTGTATACTGTTTATAATCAATCAATTGTGCATTTTCATTTGGAGATTTGGATGTCTTCAGTTGTGGGTGGATTAGTAACCCATACACTCTTGGGTAACCCATACACTTTAACTGCTTGCTTTCAGTCTTTCAACATAATCTATAACCCTAACCCTAGAAGTTTTAGATTTGTTTGCATCAAGCTTATAGTTATTTAAATATTGTCTGTAAAGTGATGCAACATCCATCCATCCATCTTCTTCCCCTTAATCCATTTCTGGGTCGGGGGGGGTGGCAGTCAGAGCTGCACCCAGTACACACAGCACCAGCCCCTCACTGATCCTCCAGCAGGTGGTGAGTCCACAGGAGCTGAGATCTTTCAGTGGGAGCTTCAGGCAAAGTGGGGTTAAGTGTCTTGCCCAAGGACACAACGACAGCATGTGATGCAACATTTTGAAGTATTATACAGATTTATGTGTACTAGACTAACGAACTACTCACCCATCCTCTCCCACAAAGCTGACATAGAGTTTACTTCTCTGTAGATCCTTCCGAGAGTAGCACATGATCTGGTTAAAGGCGTCTTCCAAAAGGTGGTCTCTCCGGATGATTAGTCTGGAAACACAGGAAATAATCACAAACAATAATATATATAACACACAAGAAAAAGTAAACTATTGACTTTCACAGCATTCTGTATTAGCCAATTCTGTGATCAAATCTAAATGAATCATTCCACTTGTAAACTGGGGATAAAAAGTACCTTTTACTCAAATGCAGTCAAGATAATACAATTTCAGATTTTCTTTGCTATTTCTCTGGGTAAAAATGTGGCCGCAACTGCTACTACACGTAATTTTGTCAAGTTCTTTTAAACCTTTTTATTGTGGTTGAGTTTTTGTAGCTACAGGTCGCACGTTTATTTGCAAAATAGACAGGTGAATGAGTCCCGGCATTCAAGCTAACAGTTAGCCACAGCTAACCATGCTAACGCGAACTAACGTTAGCCTCCTCTGTGCTCTAGATATTTGTATTATTTACCGTTAGCTGTTCAAGGATTCATTTGTTGTCAAAATAGACAGGTAAACAAGTCTCGACCATAGACAGTGTGGAAGCAAACAGTTAAGCTTAGCATGCTAAGGTGAGCTAACATTAGCCTCCTCTGAGTTCTATTTGTGAAATTAACCTTCGCCCACAACATCTCACACTTCTTAGGATTCTTTGTTGTAAACCATGGAATAACTCCTAATGTAACACATACATTCATATTGAGCAGATAAAGTAAAAAAAATATATAACAAAAATAGAATTGGTATTTAAAATGGCAGAAAAGATGTTGTTGTATTTGTTCTGTAAAAAAATACATTAAAAATTAAAAAGGGGAAAGAGCAAAGTGTTGTGAAAAATTACAACCACATTGTGCAGTCTTTTTTTTAATACTTGGAAGAAAGAACCCTGTGAGTCACTATTTGACACTTTGGGTTGAGAGCTGATTGGCCGAGCAATAGTGATCCTCTCTTCATCACTTTCTGAAAAGATTATTTAAAGATGCGACGGAGGCCGAAAAAACTAACTAATTTGAAAACAAACAATGATATTAATACATTTTATCTGTATGGCAACTTTCTAGGCACTCAAGTGGTTACATAAAATATATATATTACAGTTTTTGTGATTTTAAAGTTGTGTGCCCCAGCTTAAAGCAATACAGTAGGAATAATAGAAAATACAGAAATATATATTGTGTGTATGTGTTGTGTATATGGTTTGCAAACTTACTTCACTTTCCCCGGGCCTTGTCCATAACCTTTCGTCTCCAATTTGCGATAAAAGTTTCGGAGTTTGGCCTCAAAGTCTCTCTTGTACGGAGCTGGGGCGCGCGCATTGGCTCTTTGGGTCCCTGAAACACAAACCAGAACCACAGTCACATCAGAGGCCCCTGAGCTGCGTCCTGGACTGAGGTGGGGATGGAGATATGATTCTAAATTTACACATTTATCCATAACCTTTCCATTCATTGTGTGTGTTGTTTTAGGTCAAATAGGATTTTAAACTGATGCTAGCAAACGTTTTTTGACTTTGTTTGATTTTTTTCTTCATTTTGAGGTCCATACAAGCAGCTGTTTTTCTTTCTGAGGTAATCCTAGTCCTTAAAGTTACATATCATGACATATTTACATTTATGAGTGAGTAATGTATTCACCAGGGTTGGTTTGTCTGTATGTCTGTTAGCAGCATAACTCAAAAAGTTAGGGCTGGATTTTAAAGAATTCGGAAATTAGAACAAGAAACAAATTATTTGATTTTGGAGGCGATCTGTTCCACTGTCTGGATCCAGGGTTTTTTTATGGGAATGAACTTTGCCTCTTGGCAGAAGTCTGTGCTCTACAAGTGCTTTTCGAGTAATTTAATTTTAATTGACTTTTTCAAAATGTGTAAAATATCTAATTCTTTCATAGATGATATAATATTACATTTTATTTTTCTAGTGTATGATAAAGGTTTCATGAGTCGTTGGACAGATGGAGGTCCACTATATGTATTTATTTACTTCCACTTTATCCATTGCCGGAACATAGGGGCAGCAGTGTGAGCAGATACACCCATCCCAGGACATTAGGTTTTTGTTTTGATTTTATTAACGCATTGATTGAGTTAGAATTTGTTTCTTGTATGATTATTTTATATTGTATTATGGATTCTGTCTTTTTGGTGCTGTTTTTGATGTTTTAATGTGTTTTTAATTTGTTTTTGAACGCTTTTTGTATGTTTATTTGAATGTGTTTTTATGTGTCTTTGAAAGTGTTTTGAAAGTGTTTTTTGAATGTGTTTTAATATTTTTGGCCAAGAAGCAGGTGATAATGGACACTATGATGTTTTTATCAGTATTGTTTGTTTCTGCTTCTTGTTATTGATTCTTCCTGGACCTGTGTATATGTTTGTGTTTTAATACTATGCTAACTTTTTGTTGTTGTTGTTGATTTTTTTGTTGGAGTCTTCCACCAGCTATTTGTTCCACATATTTCAACTTGGAAACATTGAATTAAAAAAAAAAAATAATCAAATAAAATTCTGCTCTAAAAAATATAGTTGGAATAGAAATACAACTTTGTGTAAATGTTTATGAAGGTAATGTGAATCTCTTACGGTTATTTTTGGACTCTTACTTTTACTTTTTACTAAACATACAAGCTATCGAAAAACGCAATTAGATATTTTGATATAATTGTGCAGCACCATATTCATTTAGTCTCCAGAATGGTAGAAAAGTACTGTATATATATATATATATAGTATTGTTATGGAGATGGGCAGTCGCACAGCACACACAGACAGGATTACCAGGGGAGCTCTGAGGGGACGAGAGGGAGTAACCTGGATGGAGCAACGGTGGCACGTAAGACATCACCTCCTCTTCAAACAAACTGAGACAAAAGAAAACAATGGTTAGTGTTTGCTCTTACTTAAAGATCAACTAAAACTCTGTGCTCAGCCTGACTCCGCCCACATTATAGGTTTGAAACAGCTCGCTTGTCAATCACAGCCCACACAAAAAACAGACAAATACTTTATACATCAGAAACTCCCATTCCCTTGTTTACACACTAAGATAATTCTAGCTAGACACCTGAACATAAGCCACAGAATTCTCAGCAATAGTGGCTGTCAACTGATGTCATTTCATTTTAAACCACTAGATGTCAGATTCAGATTCATTTATTTGCCATTTGCAGTAAAACCACATTGGAATACGTTTGCAAAAATCCCCAGTGTGCACTCGACAAGTACATAACTAAAACATAATACTCCGATTCACTACGGCGTGTATGAGACTTGGATGGTTTTATACCACAGGCACAAAGTGACATCACATTGCACTCTAGAGCCTATGGAGAAGCACCACATTCAAATGTAGTGCCACCGAATGAAGAAGAGGGCGCCACAAAGACGGTTCTAGGCTTAAAAGTCAGATTTGATCGAAGCTAATTTGCACTAAAATGTCAAATTGACCAGGACATGTAGAGAGGACTGTAAAGAGGAAATTGTTTAGTTGTCCTGTAAAAGGCAAATAAAGAAACGGGGGAATTCGGAAAATTAGAATATTGTTCAAAAGTTCATTTACTTCAAGCCTGTCTTTGTTCAAATGTTGAGAATTGGTTCATAGACTGTACGCCATAACCATCATCAGTATAACATGACTCTGTATCCAGTCCACTTTATTTATATGGCACATTTCAACAGTTTCAATGTGCTGCATGATAAAAAACTGATTTAAAAAAAAAAAAAAACATCATTTAAATTAAATACATAGACTGAAACCACCACTTCTACTACTACTGCTAATATTACTGCTGCTCTGCTTGTACTACTACTACTACTACTATTAGTGCTGCTCTGCTAGTACTACTACTACTGCTACTGCTATTGCTACCACTACTATCACTACTACCACTATCACTACTACTACTATCACTACTACTACTACCACTATCACTACTACTGTACTACTATCACTACTACTACTACCACTATCACTACTACTGTACTACTATCACTACTACTACTACCACTATCACTACTACTACAACTACCACTATCGCAACTACTACTACTACACTACTGTTGCTGCTATTTCACTTTGTTCCAACCTTCCAGAATCTATCAGAAACAGGGGGAGTGAGTGCCACAGTGTCCAAAAGTCAATGACGTAATTAAAATCAGGTGCTCTTCAGGATGAGAAATAGCATAGCAAAACAAAAATACCCTTTACTATGGGAAAGTAATGACAGGGTGAAATCCGAGGCACTCTGATAAAAAGTCCTTTAATGAGGAAAGGGACCAACGCGTTTCGGCCACGCAGGGCCTTCTTCAGGGCAGTGTTTAGAATCAGCCAAGACTCACATCAAAATACAAAAAACATACACTTCTCTCGAGTTTGCGAAGCTTTTTCCTAAATGTCATGTGTTATAATTGATCACAAACATGCATCAATGCTCACCTCAGCAGCATGACGAGATCAGCGTCACTGGAGAGACGAGCGAGTCCAGTCACACCTTCACTACGAATGAACTGAACTTTCTCTCTGAGAAATGTGACAACATCCAAAGTTAAAAAAGTTAAAGGTTGAGGTTTTGAAGTGAAAAGACACAGAGAGAGAGAGAAAGAGGGAGAGAGAGAGAGAGAGAGAGAGAGACAGAGAGAGAGAGAGAGAGACAGAGAGAGAGACAGAGACAGAGAGAGAGAAACACAAAGAGAGAGAGAGAGAATAAAACTCGTACTTGAGAGACTGGTTTCTGGCGAGCTCTGGCTGTCTCTCTTGTAAAATCTCTAAGATGTTGGGTTGCCGTAGAAATGCAACTATTTTGTCGTTGTAGGCTGCGGGGGAAGAAAATAGAAAAGGAATATGATGGAGAATAATAATGGATGGATTTATCTAGAAAAGTTACATATATAATGTGAACCAGAACGTAGTAATATTTCAACCATGTAGGATTTAACGTTTTAATGCCAGAGAAAGTACAGTCCACCACTGGAATAGGATAAAGCTGGGGAACCTAACTTCATTTTCATGTTGATATGCACAGGTTAATATCCATTATCTTTATCCTTTGTGTTTTTGTTTGCATTGTGTGCGATTAAACTCACAACAAATGTTAGCTGTAAACGATAATAATATTGATATAAAAATGATTATAACAGGAAACAAAAAAGACGAAGAAGTAGAAGAGGACGAAGTAGAAGTAGAAGAGGAAGAAGTAGAAGTAGAGTAGTAAGAAGAAGTAGAAGAAGAAAAAGAGAAAGAAGTAGAATAGGAAGAAGTAAATCTTTTTGAAGAGCACTTCTCAAAAACTATGTTTCTAAAGGTCTGCACAGTCGGCATAAAACAATACGAAGACGATAAAACCATTACTATAATATATAATCATTACAAAATCAAAAATCAAAATGAACAAGAAAATAAAGCGGACAGAGGGATCTATCTATTTAAATTTGTATCTATGTATTCCATTGTACTTTTATTGTTGCTACTTTTAGAACGATTTATTTATTTGCTTTGTTTGTTTGGATGGATGTGTTTCTGCTGCTACTGGACACCTGTATTTCTCCTACAGGGATCTATCTATCTATCTATCTATCTATCTACAGTATCTATCTATGTATCTATCTATCTATCTATCTACAGTATATATCTATGTATCTATCTATCTATCTATCTAAAGTATCTATGTATCTATCTATCTATCTATCTACAGTATATATCTGTCTATATCTATCTATCTATCTATCTATCTATGTATCTATCTATCTAATGTATCTATCTATCTAGCTATCTATGTATCTATCTATCGAATGTATCTATCTATCTATATCTATCTATATCTATCTATGTATCTATCTATCTATCTGCATCAATGTATCTATCTATCTGTCTATATCTATCTATCTATCTATGTCTATATCTATCTATCTATCTAATGTATCTATCTGTCTATATCTATCTATCTATCTAATGTATCTATCTATCTATCTGTCTATATCTATCTAATGTATCTATCTATCTGCATCAATGTATCTATCTATCTAATGTATCTATCTATCTATCTAATGTATCTATCTATCTATCTATCTATTGTATCTATCTATCTATTTATTTATGTTTCTATCAGTGATGCTGAGTTTCAAACAGAGGTCCTCTCACCGACAGGCACCAGGTCGTGTTGACTGCGACTGGATCCGCTGAAGGTGCTGGAGGGCCGGGGCAGGAGAGGAGCGGAGGTCTGCCGAGAGTCGTCCACCACCTGAGACAAGTACACACGTCTTGTTCACTCATCAGTTCAGAATGGGATTGTTTAGGAGCCACAAGGTTCAGGGAAGAGAGAAGGCAAGATTTTAAAGAAGCAGATTTAATTATATAGCGCAGACACTAAACCGGCATTGACACTCGATGCTCATTTGAGAAAGTGTTGATATTGCTTTGTTAGAATGATGAATATAACAAAATATTTGAACGGAATTTCTATCAATCCATGAAATGAATCCTAATCGTTTTAACACCTAAACACAACTTACAATAACACTTGTTCATGCTTTTAACTTTGCCTCTTTGTATTTTAATTTTTTCATGATTTCTTTACTGGAAATTTATATTTTTACTCATCCCTTGGAATGTGTATAATTATGTAGTGTTACTTGTCCCAAAGCTTTTGTTTCTTCTCATATTTTTTGCAGCTTTTTGTTTCTGTTGTTTAAAATTCTGTCCATGTGTTTTGGAGAGGATTGAGAAGACGATGGAGCAAGTTTGTTTTAATTGTGTCCTGTTTGTATATTGGACTGAGTTTTGTTAATTGTAATTTGTGTCTTGTGTTTATATCACAACGGGCATTCCATTAAAAAAACAAAACTAAATTAAAGAAATCTTAAAAGTTGTTTCTGTATTAATTCGAGTCTCCCTCATCTAGAGAGGGTGAGAATGTGCAAAGTCCCAGGTGGAGGACAAAGAACGCTGCAGTCCGATTCCACGTGTGCGTCATCCTCACACCTGGGCCTACAGTAGGATCTAAGGACCGAGCAAAACCTGATGGTGCAGAGTGAGAGAGACTTTCTGTTCGCAATTATCATAAAAAACACACGCTAATTCAATATTCCAATAATGATGGATTTGACTGTGAGGTTTTTACTGATACGTTTGTAAATAGAAATGCATTTGTAAAACAGTACATATTATACATTTACAACACATGGTGAAACTACTGTAGGGCAAGTACTTCTGCTCGTTATATATATGATGTATACTGTAAGCACAGAAGGTTGTGGAAACATGGAAACAAAGGAATGTAAATATTATAAATCCTTGTTTTAATAAAAATCAGTTAATCAATCAGTTTTAAAGGAACAGATTCTACAAATAAATCCAGGTAACCCCCTTCCAGGTTCACAATGCCGTGTGAACAAATGTGCGAATATAAAAAGAGTATTGATTCTGTGGCTGCTTCGCGGCAATTTGTTGTGTGTCTAAACTTAGAACGCTTACTATGGAGTTTGTAGTGGATTAGTATTGACCTGATCTCAGCGAGTGCAAGCTGGCTTCTGCGTTTCCCATTCAACTGAAGACCAGACCAGTGACACGATCCTATTCTTCTGACCAAACACAGTGGTGATAAGGTTCTATGGTAGCCACAGTTGCCCTGGGGCAACCAGTCTGTGCCATTGGCCCCTCCCACCCCCAACTAACATGTACAGATGTAAACATACTGCTGCTAATGCATAGATGTAAACTTACTGCTGCTAATGCACAGATGTAAACATACTGCTGCTAATGCACAGATGTAAACATACTGCTGCTAATGCACAGATGTAAACATACTGCTGCTAACATGTACAGATGCTAACACATAACTACACATTGCTTGCACTAGAATACACAGTACTTTATACTTGCCTCTTATTTTGCCAAATTTAATACTTTTAGATTTATTTATTCATCCCACAGTGGGTAAATTTCAGTGTTGCATCACAAGTCATAGAACAGTAGGAAAGAGGAGCACAAGAGAAGATTTAACACTTCTTATTTATTATTATTATGTTCAAGATAGAGACTTTATACTTTTTATTTGATGCTAGAGTTAGGGATTTTGTTTTATTTTAATGAGTATAGTTATTGTTCATTTATCTTGTGCTGTGTGCTCCTCATTCCTACTGTTCTATAACTTGTAATGCAACACTGAAATGTCTCCACTGGGACCAATACAGGATCTCTTAATCTTAATCCTAACCATTCACACACACACCAGACTCATTGTAATGTGGGGGAAGTGTCTTGCCTCAGGACACATCCACAATTTGGCACTTTACAGCCGCAGCCGCCCTGCTGTGCCCTGCCCTGCTTGGCTTCAGAGGTCTGGCAGGATCAGTCTTTCACCTGCAGGTGGTGCCACAATTTTTCTCTGACTTTTAAAAGAAGACGTTTCAAAGATTAAACTATGTAGAATACCTGCTGAACAGAGAGTGGAGTAACAATATTAGTAAGTAAGTAAGTCAGTCATCTGTATTTAGTGCCTTTAGTGCCTTTCATGGACCAGTCACAAAAAGCTTTACAATTGTCGTGACCATTTGTCTCTCGCTCCACACATGAGGGCGGGGTTTTCTTTGCCATCATTTAACACTAAAATACTAATGTCTTATTGTAAAATTTATAATATCTTCAAATGTTCATAATGACCATAGAAAGAAACTACTACCACTCATTCAGGAGGCACAGGCCAGACTTAGTGTACAAGTTTTTTGTGGTAAGATTAAACCGTAGCACTTGAAGGAAACCTATGCAGATATTTGTATTGTATTTGTATTTATCTGTTTATTTGCAGGAGCTGTAAATACATCAGATTGTAGCTGATTTCCATCTGTATTCCCACAGTCACACTCCCAAACACACACTCAACTTTTTAGTGGTAGGGGAAACCAGAGCATATGGGGGAAACCGGAGCAGACACAGGGAGAACATGCAAACTCCATACAGAAAGGCTCTATCTGGATGTGGAATGAAATCATAGGAGTTTATTGAAAGCTTGAAAACTCCCATAGCGCAATAAAAGTTAAAAGAAAACAAAACTGTAGTGAAAGAATGTTCTGCTACTAACTCCAAACTCCAGTGGTAAATACAACAATCACATACTGTATAGTTTGAAATCTGTGTTTTGGTGCTGTCAGACGCCTCACCTCTCCGGCGCTGTGGCTGCGCTGGCGGCTCAGGTGTTGGCGATGAGCCAGGAGGCCGGTGGAGCGCGAGCTCTGGAGGGGGAGCCGCGGGTCGATGAAGGTCGTGGAGCGACAGTTGTGATCCACGAAGAAAGGCTGAGGAAGAAGTAATGAAGTGAGAAGATAGAGTCAGACAGCTGCTTTGCTAACGGCAGGATTATGGCCCTTTAGACAAGTCGCATTTAACATTTCATTTAACTTTGGGCTTTTTAAATTTAGCCTGAGTTTATTGTAGCAGTCAACCACATACTGTACATTATTAGGGAAATGACTAATTATGACCAATAAAATGTATACACTCACACAAAAACACTTGCAAGCATACTTATTTAGACCACTAAACTATATCTTCCTTGGAGGACAAGCTAGAACAATTCTACCACACAGACTTAAAGTTGTGTATTCTGGTTCTTGTCCCCAATAGTGGCATAAGCAAGTACCACAAAAACATGCGCGCGCACACACACACACACACACACTGGACTCTACTCCACTTTGAGGCCCCTGTTACACACAGACTTACTGTTGTGCATTCTGGTTCATGTCCCCAAAAGTGACCTAAGAAAGGACACACATACACACACACACACACACACACAGACACACACAGTCATACGCATATACACACACACATACACACACTAACACACACACCAGACTAATAAATGTCCACTTTGAGTCCCCTGTTACACACTTTTGGGGACATGGTCTGTCTCCCCCAAAGTGGCCTAAGAAAGGACACCCACACACACCCACTCTCACTCTCTCACACACACACACACACACTCTCTCACACAAAAACACACACATACTCAGGCAAACACACACACACATACACACACGCACTCACACAAACACACACACGCACTGTCTCTCACACACACACTCTCTCTCACGTACACACACACGCACTCTCTCTCACACACACACAAACACACTCTCTTACACACAAACACACTCTCTCACATACAAACACACACTCACACACAAACACACTCTCTCACACACACACAAACACACTCTCTTACACACAAACACACTCTCTCACACACAAACACACACTCACACACAAACACACTCTCTCACACACACACACACAAACACACTCTCTCACACACACACAAACACACTTTCTTACACACACACACACTCTCTCACACAAACACACACATACTCTCACACAAACACACACAGACAGACCTTTCCCGTGTGGTCGTGCTTCATCTCCCAGCCTCGGGGCAGCTCCAGTTGTTTGTTGGAGAACGTGTTGAGGAAAGTGACCAGGTCGCGGTTGTGCTGGTAGCGCTCGAAGTAGTGAGCGTCGCGCCGCACTTTGCTGATCATGTGCTTTAGACACGTGTTGCTCGTAAACATGCGATAGGCACTCTGTACACACACAGACACACAACTCAACAACTCAGGGAAAACACACAAACTGTTTATAATGCATTTTAACCGTCTTGCCATGAATGAATATTTTTGATCTAACACACACATACTAGTTTTGCCACACACACATACACCCAGAGTTAAGAAAGTACACTATTTGTTCACCATCCATCCACTTTCTTGCATTTTATCTGTTGCCGGGTTGTGGGAGCAGCAGTCCAAACAGACACTGACTTGCCACTCCTTTTATAATTATTTCTTTTTTCCATTTATCTGCCAACTATTCTCTTTTTTAATGATCACCTTTATCAGTACACAACCACTTTTTATTTGTCATCATATCAAAGACTGAAATTATTAATATCATATATGAAAAACAGATGATTCAGTAATGTTATACAGGCATTTTGGCCCAAATGAATTAATATCTTCTACTCCATTAACACCTAATACTGTTGTGATTTAGAACTATCCATCCATCCATCCATTTTCTACCCTTTAATCCATTTCTGGGTCAGGGGGGTGGCAATCAGAGATGCCACCCAAGTCACAGAGCACCAGCCCCTCACTGACCCTCTGCAGGTGGTGAGTCCACAGGAGGACGGCTGCTCTCTGAGTGTGAGCATAGCCTTGATCTTTCAGTGGGGGCTTTGGGCAAAGTGGGGTTAAGTGTCTTGCCCAAGGACACAACGACAGCAGTCATCAGTGGGAGTCGGTTGAGAAGGTGTAGAGGTGGGAATTTAGAACTGGTGATTTAGAACTAAACAAAAATAAATTGAATTGAGGACGTTGTCGTCGGATTTTCTCACAAACTATTACTTAAACAAGACTAACAACTAGCATTTATGAAACACAAACGTATGGACTTCTGCTTTAACTTCAACTGTCTGTAACATTTGATTTACATATTTATTTATAAAGTTAATACATTCACGATATCTTGGTGGTGATGACAGCTGGACGTAAGCCTCTGAACGGTTTATATATAGCTGTAACTAATTATGCCCTGAATGTCACTTAGTCCCTGTCTCAGCTCTCAAAATAGAAAGGACATTTTTGGTAATTACAGTGTGAATAATATATCAGGCTGATGAAAAATTCAAAGACACTGACGGGGTTTGAATGCAGCACGGTAAAGAAGTCGGGGCTGCACAGGAACTTGGCGCTGGGCGACTGAAGCAGCAGTGAGAGGCGAGAGCGAGCGCTGGACTGGGCCACGCCACTGTCCCGCCGGTACTCTGCGAGAGACAGTAAAAAAACATAATAAACAACAAAACACATTCATGTACGTTTTAGATTGTTTTGTTCAAGGGGCGGGGCAGCGAATTAGGGAATTAGTAGAGTATTATCAAAGAGAGTGAGTGATGATGAGAGAGAGTGTTGGGGTTTGTGAGTGTGTGTATCTGTCTGTCTGTCTGTCTGTCTCTGTGTGTGTGTGTGTGTGTGTGTGTGTGTGTGTGTGTGTGTGTGTGTGTGTGTCTGTCTCTTTAAATTTGTATACTGTATGTGTGTGTTTGTGTGTGTCTGTGTATGCCATCAAAAACGCAATTATAAAACACGTTGCACACTGCTGATTAACAACCTCTGCTGTGGGTAATGTTTTCACCAGGGTTTGTCTATTCGTTTGACGGTCTGGGCCGATCCGGAATAGTATTTTTCTAGATTCCCAATCTTTAAAAGATGTACTTCGTTGTTCAGTGTCTACAGATCAAACCTGCGAGTGAATGTGGCAATAGTTCTGTTTCTGGTTCGGGGATCAGTTCCGCGGCGCTCTCCTCGGTTCTGTCACTGTTGGTGATGGTTCTCCTGATGCTCTGGTATCTGAGGAATACACAAAATAACTTGCGTCACACAAAAACATGGTCAGAAATGTAGATTGATAGTTTGATTATGTTGACTTAATCTTGCTTAAACAACTTTTCAGAAAAAATAGGATAGCTTATAAAACCTTATATATAAGTCAACAAGGAGAGAGTTGGAGCAAAACTTTATCCATGAACACTTCCCTATTGGGCTAGCGGGTGAGCATCTTCCCTCTATGTACAGTCTATGGTAAAAACCCTTAATATAACAATAAAACACCCATCCATCCATCCATCCATCCATTTTCTTCCGCTTTATCCGTTGCCGGGTCGCGGGGGCAGCAGTCTAAGCAGAGACGCCCAGACTTCCCTATCCACACACACTTCCTCCAGCTCGTCCGGGGGGACCCCTAGGCGTTCCCAGGCCAGCTGAGAGACATAGTCTCTCCAGCGTGTCCTGGGTCTTCCCCGGGGCCTCCTCCCGGTGGGACGTGCCCGGAACACCTCCCCAGGAAGGCGTCCAGGAGGCATCCTGAACAGATGCCCGAGCCACCTCAACTGGTTCCTCTCGACGTGGAGAAGCAGCGGCTCTACTCCGAGCTCCTCCCGTGTGACCGAGCTCCTCACCCTATCTCTAAGGGAGCGCCCAGCCACTCTGCGGAGGAAGCTCATTTCGACCGCTTGTATCCGCGATCTCGTTCTTTCGGTCATTACCCACAGCTCATGACCATAGGTGAGGGAGGGAACGAAGATTGACCGGTAAATTGAGAGCTTTGCCTTTCGGCTCAGCTCCCTCTTTACCACAACGGTCCGATACAGAGACCGCATCACTGCGCACGCTGCACCGATCCGCCTGTCAATCTCACGCTCCATCCTCCCCTCACTCGTGAACAAGACCCCGAGATACTTGAACTCCTCCACTTGAGGAAGGACCTCTCCACCCACCTGGAGAGGGCAAGGCACCTTTTTCCGGTCGAGCACCATGGCCTCGGATTTGGAGGTGCTGATTCTCATCCCAGCCGCTTCACACTCGGCTGCAAACCGTCCCAGTGCATGTTGCAGGTCCTGGTTCGTTGGAGCCAGCAGGACGACATCATCCGCAAAAAGTAGAGATGAAATCCTGTGGTTCCCGAACCGGACCCCCTCCGGCCCCTGGCTGCGCCTAGAGATTCTGTCCATAAATACAGTGACAAAGGGCAGCCCTGGCGGAGGCCAACATGCACCGGGAACAGGTCTGACTTACTGCCGGCAATGCGAACACAGCTCTGGCTCCGGTCATACAGGGACCAAACAGCCCTCAGCAGAGGACCCCGGACCCCGTACTCCCGGAGGACCCCCCAAAGGACACCCCGGGGAACACGGTCGAACGCCTTCTCCAAATCCACAAAGCACATGTGGACAGGTTGGGCGAACTCCCATGAACCCTCGAGTATCCGATGGAGAGTATAGAGCTGGTCCAGTGTTCCGCGACCGGGACGAAAACCACACTGCTCCTCCTGAATCCGAGATTTGACCATCGGACGTAGCCTCCTCTCCAGTACCTTGGAGTAGACCTTACCGGGGAGGCTGAGGAGTGTGATCCCACGATAATTGGAACACACCCTCCGGTCCCCGGAGGGTGACCGGAGGGACCACCACCCCGGTCTGCCACTCCATTGGCACCGCCCCCGATCGCCACGCGATGTTGCAGAGACGTGTCAGCCAAGACAGTCCTACAACATCCAGAGACTTTAGATAGTCAGGACGGATCTCATCCACTCCCGGCGCCTTGCCACCATGGAGGCTGCCAACCACCTTGGTGACCTCGGCCAGGGAGATGGAAGTATCCGCCCCAACATCCTCAGCCTCTGCCTCCTGGACGGAGGACGTGACGGGGGGATTGAGGAGAACCTCGAAGTATTCCTTCCACCGCCCGACAATATCCCCAGTCGAGGTCAGCAGCCCTCCACCCGCACCATACACGGTGTTGGCAAAGAACTGCTTCCCCCTCCTGAGGCGCCGGACGGTTTGCCAGAACCTCTTCGAGGCCGACCGATAGTCATGCTCCATGGACTCTCCGAACTCCTCCCAGTCCCGGGTTTTTGCCTCTGCAACAGCCCGGGCCGCGGCACGTTTGGCCTGCCGGTACTGGACAGCTGCCTCAGGAGTCCCACGAACCATCATTGCTCGATAGGACTCCTTCTTCAGCCTGACGGCATCCCTTACTGCCGGTGTCCACCACCGGGTTCGGGGATTGCCGCCGGGACCAGCACCAGAGACCTTGCGACCACAGCTACGAGCCGCCGCATTGGCGATAGAGGAAGAGAACATGGTCCACTCGGACTCGATGTCCCCCTCCTCTGCCGGGACCTGGGAGAAGCTCTCCCGGAGGTGTGAGTTGAAAGTCCGTCTGACAGGGGGCTCACCAAGACGTTCCCAGCAAACCCTCACTACACGCTTGGGCCTGCCAGGTCTGACCGGCCTCCTGCCCTGCCAGCCGGATCCAACTCACAACCAGGTGATGATCGGTTGACAGCTCCGCCCCTCTCTTCACCCGAGTGTCCGAGACACGCGGTCGAAGGTCAGATGATACGACTACAAAGTCGATCATCGACCTCCGGCCTAGGGTGTCCTGGTGCCACGTGCACTGATGGACACCCTTGTGCTCGAACATGGTGTTCGTGATGGACAGGCCGTGACTGGCACAGAAGTCCAACAACTGAACACCGCTCGGGTTCAGATCAGGGGGGCCGCTCTTCCCGATCACCCCTCTCCAAGTGTCACTGGCATTTCCCACATGGGCGTTGAAGTCCCCCAGGAGAATAACGGAGTCCCCGGGCGGTGCACTGTCCAGTACCCCTCCCAAGGACTCCAAGAAGGCCGGGTACTCTGCACTACCGTTAGGCCCGTAGGCCGTCACAACAGTGAGAGACTTGTTCCCCACCCGGAGGCGGAGGGACGCGACCCTCTCATTCACTGGGGAGAACTCCAACACGTGGCGGCTGAGATGGGGGGCAATGAGTATGGCCACCCCAGCTCGCCGCCTCTCCCCGCGAGAAACACCAGAAAAGTGGAGCGTCCAACCCCTCTCAAGGAGTTGGGTTCCAGAGCCCAAGCTGTGTGTGGAGGTGAGGCCGACTATCTCTAGTCGGTATCACTCAACCTCCCCCACAAGCTCGGGCTCCTTCCCCCCCAGTGAGGTGACGTTCCACGTCCCAAGAGCCAGATGTTGGGTGTGTAGACTGGGTCGTCGAGGTCTCCGCCTTCGACTGCTGCCCAGTCCTCTCTGCACCTCGCCACCACGGACCCCTCTGCAGGTGGTGAGCCCACAGGAGGGACTGCCCACGTCATCCCTTCGGGCTGAGCCCGGCCGGGCCCCGTGGGCTAAGGCCCGGCCACCAGGCGCTCGCTTGCGAGCCCCGACCCCAGGCCTGGCTCCAGGGTGGGGCCCCGGCTGCGCCATGCCGGGTTCACGGTTCTCATTGTCGTGGTGTCCATGGTTGGCTTCGGACTGCGCTTCGTCTGACTCGTCACTTGAGACCTGTCTGCCATGGGAGACCCTACCAGGGGCATGAAGCCCCAGACAGCATAGCTCCCAGGATCATCCGAGTGCTCAAACTCCCCCACCACGTTAAGGTGGCTTTCCAAGGGGGGACAATAAAACACCTCAGAGAATTTTGAAATGGACTGTAAGCCATAATCATAAATCACTTTGCACGTAATGGATCTGTATCATATATTAATTTCACATTTTAAATTAAATGAATTTTGAAAGAGTTTTCTGAGTTGCGTCTGAGCTTGTGTTGCCTCCATAGACTGTAAAAAAGTTTAAGCAAAGACTATCTTCTTCTTTCTGCTTATTTTCATTTGTGTGACAGGACAATAATAATTTGAAATGTAATCATGATATGTGATGTATTGTCATGTCCACAATTGAAATTAATGAATAAAATAAGAGAAGATGTTCTGAGTGCAGCCTGGTCTCATCGGTAACACTAGTCTATTATCATTTCCTACATGTACGTCTGGGTCTGATCCTAGTGGCTGCAGTTTCATCGGTTGAAACCCCTATGACCAATCAGCGAGCGGGGGAGGCGGGTTTTGTAGGGTCGGTGACGTCAAGAGTATGCGATAGTAAAGTAATCTGTTCTGGTTCAGCTCCAAATATTGAGAATCCGGAACAAGAATAATGTTTCGCAAATGTCACTGCTGCAAATATGTTTTGGCTCTACTCCGCACAGGCTCCAATAGTGGTAAAGGAGATGGCTAAAGCTAGGCTAAATGCTAAAACTACGCTTAATGCTAAATGCCTCACTCACTCGGGCACATTACATACGCAACAGTAAACTCAGATTGAATCGTTTCAATCTGCAAGGAGTTAACCCCTCCCACCTGTTATCGGCACTCAATGGAGCAAATCCAGACCTTAGTAGGAAATGAAATGTGCACAATGGTGTGGTAAGACCAGGCTACATCCACATACAATGTTTGAGTTACCAACTCCATTAGTGGGAATTTAGAGCTAAAAGTTGTCAGAGCGACCAGATAGCAAGACAAGAAGCAATCAGGGCCATGGTCGAGGCTGGTCCACAAAACAAAACAACTGCAGGGTCGTGTCGTCTTCCAGTCGGACTCACAGACCTTCGATTGAGCTGCTCCATCTGCTGAATGGAGTTGGAGCGGGTCAGGCCCTGGGGGGCAGGGGGGCCGGTGGGGCGCTGCCATGTGGTGGTTCTGTTCACGTGGTCCACAAAGAAAATCCGTCCGTGACTGTCGATCCGGGCCTCCCAGTCTGCAAGCAGCAAGCAGCACATGAACACGCAGACCAACCGTCACTGAGGCAAACACACGTGTATCTTCTATCTTGTTTCGTTAAGTACTTTGAGTTGCCTTGTGTATGAACTGTGCTATACAAATAAACTTCCCTTGCCACACTGAGATTTACACAGTGAAATAGTCACTAATGAAACGTTTTGTACTTTAAAACATTATCAAGATTTCCAATGGTAAAAACCTATTAAAATCTTGCACAGACTAATCAATCTGCTTTAAGATTGGGTCAACAAACTAGAGACGGTGACAAAGAAAAACAGCATTCACGCGGCTCTGACGTAAGCTAACAAGAGCTAACCTCTTTAGCGACAATAACAGCACTTAAGAGGAGTTCAATAGCGATCCATTTTTTTTTTTAACCCAAATATTCAAAGGTGCTTAGTTTAGTTTAATTTTGCATACAATAAAAAATCATACTACTACTGCTACTACTACAGCTAGTACTGCTACTACTACTACTACTACTACTACTACTACTACTACTACTACTACTACTACTACTACTACTACTACTACTACTACTACTACTACTACTACTACTACTACTGCTACTACTCCTGCTACTGCTACTGCAACTGCTACTGCTACTGCAACTGCTACTACTACTACTAAATGGCACCAGTTGGGCAAATGGCATTAAGTCATTGAAATCGAGACACACAAACACAAACAGAAAATGTAACTAAAGTTATTTTAATATTACTCTATCACGTGTAGTGAGTAGATGCAGTAACAGACAGAGCATGCAGACACACACACTCACTGGGAGGCAGCGGCTCGTCCACTCGCTGGTATCGATGGATGTCCTGTCGAACCGAGGGCAGGGAGCGCACAGGGTGGCCGTTCACGTGAGAACCTGGAGGACATACAAGTATTTACAGGCAGAATATTAATGTTGGGTCTTCTACCTGATCTCCAGAATATTTACGTCTGCTTTACAGTGGAAAATGGAGAACATGTAAACTCCACTCAGAAAGGCCCTGTTCCACCCAGTATTTGAACCTAGGGCCTTCTTGCTGAGAAGCAAGAGTGCTAGCCGCTCATTTTAGAGGAAATTTTAATTTTTCCACAAAAAAAATTGTGTATTAATAACAAGTAATATCATCATCATCTTAATGATGAACTTAATTTATGAACTTAAAAAAGTAAAAAAACGGAACGATTAAATAAATACACTGAAATCAAGTGAACTACACAAGTCTATATTTTCCCTTTTTGCAGTGAAGATGTGATAGAGATGGGAGAGCAAATAACTAGTTCATCAAAAACTAAACATTCACAGATACTGTCCTGCACATAGATAGATAGATACTTTATTGATCCCCCATAGGACCCCACCTTCGTCTCCGTCGGTGTCTGCGTTGGCGTCGGTATCTGTGGTGGTGTCCTCTCCTCCAGCCGCCTGCAGACTGAGCCTCCTCACGGCGATGAGCTCCACCTGCTCCAGCGTCACTGGGGAATCCTCTGCAGCAGCCTCTGGGACCGGCCCAGGCTGGTCCTCCGCATCTCCCCTTGTGACCTGAGGCTCCGCAGGGGGACGGGACTCACGCTCTCCCCCTGGGTCTATGGCTGCCTCTGCTCCCTCCGCTGTCTCCTGAAACCACAACACAAACACGTACCATTCATACTTAGGTTACTAGCTTCTTTATTATGCTAAAGCTACAGATTTTACACTGTCTTCTTTATCATGCTAAAGCTAGAGATGTTATACTTACTTCTTTATTGTGATACAGGTATAGATTTTATACTTGTTTCTGTATTATGCTAAAGCTAGAGATTTTATACTTGCCTCTTTACTATGCTTGTTTGAGGTTTTATTTAATTTCAGTATAGAGTTATTGTTCATTTATCTTGTGCTGTGTGCTCCTCATTCCTACTCTTCTGTGACTGCTGATGCAACACTGACCCCCACTGTGTAACAACTAAAGGATCTCTTAATCCTATGTGGAAAATACTATTCATTTTTCCAAATATAATTTATTATTGAGTTTTTTGCCTTTAGTATTCCATTGGTAAAAAAAACATAATTCAAAAACATAACAAGGCAACAATAAAAATTCTAGGGAAAGTCCAATGAATTGCATTTTGTTATAGTCTATTAATATTGCTACTAATGCAACATTGAATTTCCCCACTGTAAGACCACTGTAGCAACTTTGACAAGAATAAGGTGCTCCCTTTCTCATCAAAGTTGCTTCCCTAAAATCTCCACCACATTTACATAGCATTTCTGTAATTGTACATAATGAAAGAAGAGTCCAATGCCAAAGAAGCTTCTGAATAATGTCTCTAATCATGTAAATGTTGTTCTTGACTCGTTTCCAAAAGAGGAACATTCAAAGACAGTTTGCGGTCTCCTCCAGCAGAGATCTCGTCTTCATTATGAACTGCTGCTTTCTCTAAAGATATCCCAACAGGGTACACGCCACCGCTCTGAATAAATATGAATTACAGCCAGTTTTAACCTGTGTCGGGAGGTCCCGGCTCAAAAAGATCAATTGCGCTGATATGCTACAATGCCACTCCGTGTACCCGAAAAGAGAATTACCCAATGCTTGTGTAAGGCATCTTCTTTTCTCTTGCAAATGGCTTTACAGGATGGTCCAAAACTTGCTCATAAGGACACAATCACAGTTTGGCAGCCGCCCCACTGTGGCCTTGTCCCGCTGAGCTCCAGACGTCTGACAGGATCTAGCTTTCCCCTGCAGGTGACGCCACAGTAAATATTGCGACCCAAACAGATCTCATCCCCAAGTCTTATGAGTTTGAAGAGTGAATCCGGCTTTAACTAATTACAACTGTAAAAGATTCTCCAAAAACTAAGCATTTGAAAGTGAGTCACATCCAAACTGTGTGAACGCTGACACAGTGGATTATCTCGACTGCAATGACAAAGTACAGCAGCCTCAGAACTCAAAAGTCCCTGTAGGTTTGCAAAGGGCAGATCGTGACGCTTTTTAGCTTCCAACTAGTCCAAGGTTTTAAATGAGCAGCACCGCAGACTAAGAAACACCTAAGTCCAGATCCATTTTACCTTTATTTTTAATCAATTTTACTCATTTACACATCTGGTCAGACTGCAGCCTCTGCGTTCTGGCAACGGCTAAAGTAATGGATGGAAGCTTTTTTACAACAAAGGTTCAATAGTAAGTATTACATAATATTCAACAACATATATGGATATGGGTCTCTGCTCCTTTTGGACCAATACCAATGTGTTCAAACACAGAGATAACTCATGGTATTGGACCATAGGGACCAATGTCCATGAATGTTGTAGAATGTAGAGTGTCCTGGATCATCATCACAGTCCTTCTTGTCAGACACTAACAGTCTAACAGTCTCCTGCATCAGAGGAACTCTGTCCTACTGTTGGATATTTAAGTCGATACAAGAATTCAATTGAATTGAAATGCTTTTGCGATAATAAAAACCCCATTTTGAACACGCCAGGACAGGAAATCATATTCTGCTATTCTTTGATTAATCGCATAGTAATGATGAGTTAACTCACGATTAATCGCATTTTTAACATTGTATTTCAAATCCACTCCAATTGAAGTTAAATGAGATTTTCAAATGACACATTATTATTCATACCAAATGTACTTCAATCTGTTTGACTTGCTCACAACCTTCTACTTTTGGGTACAACCAACAAGAGCTGTTAATGAAAGGAAAAATGTAGGTACCCCAGCTTTAATTTTGCGAGTTTGGTTGCATTTCAGCGTGTCTCCTCCTCTCCTGCATCATCAGAGAACATCAGAGAATGGCCCCTGTGCGTGATATATATGCGTGTATTATATGACCACGTTACCGCTGTCATTATCACACACGCACGTGTCCGTGGCATTCTGAGTGATAAAATTATAAATGGGCGGGTCATTCGGACATGCGATTGACTGCCAGCCTATTTCAGAACAGGTACCCACAGAATATTGTGTACTATGACTATCTGAAATCCAAAACCAGATTCTGAAAGAATGGACTGTCTACTTTCATCAGCAAAAATAATTTTGTTTCTAGCTTGTTTCGTTCCCCTGTAATCCCCAGTCGAGTAGAGGTCAGTTTTATGGAAGCCCGTTTCCGCCATGTAAAAAAAAAAAAAAGCCTACAGAAAGTCAAAATTTCGACTTTTAAAAGTCAAAATTTCGACTTTAAAAGTCAAAATTTCGACTTTAAAAGTCAAAATTTCGACTTTTAAAAGTCAAAATTTCGACTTTAAAAGTCAAAATTACGACTTTAAAAGTCAAAATTTCGACTTTAAAAGTCAAAATTTCGACTTTAAAAGTCAAAATTATGAGTTTTCAACTGCGCATGTGCAGTTGAAAACTCGTGTGTGTTGTTGTCTGGAACGGTCTCTGGACTTCCTTCACCTGCAGATTATGTGAAGATATTGCTGACAGCGACCACTGCATCCTTGAAGTAGCCAGAAATAATGTTGTTTGATTGATTCTGTAAAACGTTCCTGTTTAAGCCCCAGACCGCGGTCGTAGGAGGCAGGGAGGAGCTGTCTTTTTATTTATTTATGTTAAATTCAATTTACATATATACAGCATTTAAATCAAACGACTTCTTATTTCGACATAGTAACAAATAATGTGAGCAATACGTTTTTATAATAAATCAAAGGAAAATGAGCCATCGAGACATTCCAATCCAATCTGCTATAGACCACTCTGACCAGACGATGGCGCTGAGAGGGGTCCACACGGAGCGAGTATTTCCACGGCTGAAAGGATGCGCTTTCTACGTGTTGAGTACGGGGTTTTATTCATGCATCTATAATGGGTTTATCTATTTCTAACCCTTTTCAAAGACCCTCACTGTTATCTGCGGAGTTATTTCTCCGGATTGTTGCTAAAAGAGTCGTGGGCTTTATTTTGTCACAATAAAATAATCAGACAAGGTACTTATTCCCTGTATGTCTCTGTGTTCTTGCTCATACGCCAACAACTTTACCCGCACGCTCCATCAGCTCACCCCCGCATGCACGCAAACACGTCACATACTCTTCAATGCACTGATCGCAATTCCAAAAGGGTATTATTGTCAGTGCCCGTGACTGTGGTTCCCGTCTCTGTGGTTCTCCTGCCTCTGTCTGTGTTCTCCTGCCTCTGTCTGTGGTTCTCCTGCCTCTGTCTGCGGACCTCCCTCACTGTCCTGTAATCGCGAACGGTCTCTCTGTCAGTCACAATATTATTCACTGCATTTCTGGTGCATCCATCGATAGCCGTGATACTGACCAGATGTCACCAGTTGATGCTCAATGACTTTGAACAGCCACATGTGTTTTATTATTAATCTTCCACAGTCCGTTTAGGATAAATTAAATAGAGGCTTCTGAAGCGGATTCTAATCATAAACGGAGAGACCGTTTGCATTTTAACGCGATTACTACCACAACATTATTGCTGCTACTTCATGGATGTGGTCACTGTCTGTAGGCAAAATCTTCACATAATCTGCAGGTAGAGGATGACCCATGGTCATAGATCTATAACAGGATGACCCATGGTCATGGATCTATAACAGGGATGACCAGAGACCGTTCCAGACAGCAACACATACGAGTTTTCAACTGCACATGCGCAGTTGAAAACTCGTAATTTTGACTTTTAAAGTCAAAATTTTGACTTTTAAAGTCGAAATTTTGACTTTTAAAGTCGAAATTTTGACTTTTAAAGTCGAAATTTTGACTTTTAAAAGTCGAAATTTTGACTTTTAAAGTCGAAATTTTGACTTTTAAAGTCGAAATTTTGACTTTTAAAGTCGAAATTTTGACTTTTAAAAGTCGAAATTTTGACTTTTAAAGTCAAAATTTTGACTTTCTGTAGGCTTTTTTTTTTTTTTACATGGCGGAAACGGGCTTCCATACAGTTTTATTGAAATCACCAGAAAGCTGAGAAAAAGGAGGCACATTTGCATCTAGCTGTTTTCAAACCATTCATTGAGCAATGTTGCCATCTGCTGGCTCGATAAAATATTGCCTCAAGCCTTACATATTTGATACAATAGACATCTGGGAACGTGAAAATAGCGGGAAACGCAATTGACGTGTTAACACGTCAATGGCAGTTAATGCGTTAATTATTTTTAACGCGTTAATGAAAACGGTAATTAACGTGAATTAACGCGATAATTTTGACAGCCCTAATATATATATATATATATATATATATATATATATATAGATGTTAATCTCACGTTTGTTTTTTTCCAGTGATGCACCGATGCTAAATAACTAATACGAATACTAATACGAGTATAAAAAATGTTTTTTGTGCTTGATGTGACGTGCTCTATTTTGACACCTGCCTGGTATCCCTGTGTAAATCGACCGATATTAATATTTTATTGTGCATCACTAGTGCATCACTAGTGCATCACTAGCATGGTCCGAACCAATTAGATCAAGCATGAATGAAAGAATCCAAATTATTTTTTCAAATAATTTCACTCTAAACCAGAGCAGAGAAATGGTTCGAACCAAGCAGACTTTTCAACCATAGGATAGGAATGTCTGCTGGACATGAATGTCTGCTGGACATGAAAATCAATAAAGTATCTACATCTTTGATCATTAGAAGTTCAATCAACAAGCAACAATCCAAACTATACTTGTCTAAAAGAAAAACTCACTGCAGCCGTCGTCAGCGTCACTGGGCAGCTTTCGGAGGTGGAGAAGACCGTCTGATGAGCTGTTTCCATGGAGTCCATATCTGAAGACTGGTCCTCTAACGGTGCCCTCAACTCTTCCTGCGTCACTCCGCCCTGTTGCAAAGCATTCTGGGACACCGCCTCCGCAAAGGGCGCCTCCTCCGCCTCCGAAAACACGTCAGCATCAAGGCCATCGTCCATATCACCGATGGCCGGGACCAGCTCCAGGAGAGGGCTCGCACTCCCCACGATCAACCCAGGACTCAGAACCTCGTCTTGGGGTATGGACATCTCCAGCTGGTCCGATTCCACGTCTGGGAATGGGTCTTCCTCCTCTTCCATGATGGTGACTTCAGGCGGCACCCCGTTGAGCAGGAGAGGGGACAGTGGGACGGGGGGGATATCGGTAGCTCCGGATCTTTCCTCGTCCTCATCAGAATCGATATGTAGCATTGCGCTAAGTCGTGTGTGTGTGGGGAAGCTAGAGTGAAGTTTGGGCGAAGCAGCTCCCAGCGGCCTCTCTCCAGGACCTAAGACAAGAAAATTATTCACATTTTTTACATCTAGGTTCAAAGCTGCGTCTGATCCATGAATGAGAAAATAAGAATAGGATATTTTGATAAAGTAAGCTAACAACATGCTAACATTAGACAATTAAATCCTCTGTTTGTTATTTAAAGCTTTACAAAAACACACTGAATAGAATTTTCGGACCATGTTAGATTGTATTGGTCCTAACATATTATTCCTGTGGGAATCACGCTTGATACATTCATGTGACATCACAGATGAACACAGACCTTTAGGAGCTTCGATAGCGTCCAGTCCTTCTGTAAACGACCTCTGTAAAACCTCAGGTAGTGACCGGGTCTTGGGGGCCGCGTATCTGCCAACTGCACCCAGCAGAGAAGGGTCTTTCTCGGGGTAGGCTGAGGCCCCTCCGCTGTCCCAGGGCCCCGGAGAGCCCTGAGAGCCCTGAGAGCCCGTGGGGGAAAGAGCCACTGAGGAGACTCCGGGAAGATGGTGAGGCAGGTCTTCATCGTCGGAGGGAGTTCCAGGAGCTCCGTTCAAAGCAGAAATACCAATGATGGACTCCGGGGAGGCACCTGGACCACAAGGAATACCTTCACAATAAAACTGATTTTGACTGATTTTACTGTTTTGAGTGGCTTTTTCAATACAATCATTGGTCTTAAGTTGTAAGACTTTTTCACATTTTCTACAGTTGCTCCAAATGAAAAAAAACATTTTAACCAATAACCAATGTGACCTTTTTAAAAATATTTACCTCCACCATGTTTTTGAATCGTATTCATAGGTTTAGAATTTGACTTATACATGTCCATGAGAGCTGGAGGACATACAGCTCTCATGGATTAAAATACAGTGGTTGATAAGGGACAAAAAGGAGTTTGAGCGAGAGTTGGGGAGCACTGTCAAAGACGACATATTGTTCTGCAAAGCTTCCGTAGTTCCATTAATTACAATATACTGTAGGATCTCAATGCAAGATGGGAGTAAAAACTACTGTGTGTACCTTTAATAAGATGTCTTTGTAAACCATAGAGCAGTGCACTTCCTGGTTCTTGGACAAAAATTGGAAGGTACATTGCACTGAGGAAAACATGATTTCTCGTTCACAGAGATAACTGAGCCAACCCTAATAGTTTTTGTGGAATTTGTTTTACTATCGCTAGCACTGTTCACTCTCCACTGCCCCCTACAGGTATCAGTGGGGAATGAAACTTGTCAATTTTGCTTTTTAGCTGATTTTATTTAAGAGAGGGGCCTCTTTCTCCCCATAAATAATCCTGCTCCTGCCCCTCAGTCTCCTCTGCAGTCGTGTTTTACAGTGTATGCACGGATTTTGACAGCTGCAACAGCACTCAGACCTACACCCAACAGGTTTAATACTCTCTGGTCTCTCTTTCTGCTCTCTCTCTGGCCTCTCTCTGGTCTCTCTCTGGCCTCTCTCTGGCCTCTCTCTGATACCTCTTAGGTCTCTCTTTCTGATCTCTCTCTTGGGTCTCCCTCTAGCCTCTCTCTCTGGTCTCTCTCTGCTTTCCCTCTGCTCTCTCTGTCCTCTCTGCTCTCTCTCTGCTCTCTCTGTCCTCTCTGCTCTCTCTCTGCTCTCTCTGTCCTCTCTGCTCTCTCTCTGCTCTCTCTCTGTCCTCTCTGCTCTCTCTCTGTCCTCTCTGCTCTCTCTCTCTGCTCTAATAAACAGGGACCACACAAAAACAAATACATATATCATATATCATACGAAGTCGAACCTGTGGTAGTGAGTTCCACCTTGAACTGAAGTTGCCCGCTCACATGTTCAGTCGGCAACCGTCGGCACAAAGAGAAACTAACAGGCTGAACTCTGGGAAAACAAAGTCAATATTAGTTTATCCTAATCATCGTTCAGAGTCAGTGGCAGCAGTGTCGGATCACAAACCCTGGGATTCTCTCGATGAGGCGTTGCACTGGTATAGTCAGCTGACCCAGGAAGCGTTTGATGATTGGTCGACTTTTGGCAAATTTGTCTTTTACCTCTATGTACAGGATATCCGTCAATAGAGCCACAAAGGTATATTTCTGAAAAGAGACAAAACAGACGTGAAGAGAAAAAGCAGTCTAAATGATCATTGACAAAAATGGAAGAACATTCATATGATCACAGAGTAAAGTATGGAACCTGATAAATACGATCTATGCTTTTATCAGTTTAAGAAACGATTATTTTAATTATCTTTATTTTGGAGTTGTTGTTTCAAAAATCCACTGGAGGAATGCTAACTTTTTGAAAAATGCTAATGAAGCATTTAGCATTTTACTTTGGACTAGAGCAGAGAAAATGGTCCGAACCAAGCGGCTACTCCACCTTGTGACCCGTCCTGCTCCACCCAGAGCCTACTCCACCTCTGCTGCTGTGACCCGTCCTGCTCCACCCAGAGGCTACTCCACCTCTGCTGCTGTGACCCGTCCTGCTCCACCCAGAGGCTACACCACCACTGCTACTGTGACCCGTCCTGCTCCACCCAGAGCCTACTCCACCTCTGCTGCTGTGACCCGTCCTGCTCCACCCAGAGGCTACTCCACCTCTGCTGCTGTGACCCGTCCTGCTCCACCCAGAGGCTACTCCACCTCTGCTGCTGTGACCCGTCCTGCTCCACCCAGAGGCTACTCCACCTCTGCTGCTGTGACCCGTCCTGCTCCACCCAGAGCCTACTCCACCTCTGCTGCTGTGACCTGAAGGGCTTTTGCTGATTATTACTATTGTAAGCTTTTTAGAAATATCAATTTTATTTTTTATTTTTACTGCTACTGGACACCTGCGTTTCTCCGACGGGGATCAATAAAGTATCTATCTATCTATCTTTAATCGTCTTCAGTTGGTGCAAAATTCTGCAGCTCACATTTTAACAGAGACACCCAGACGTCAACACATCACCCCAGAACTTTATTTCCTACATTAGCTTCCAGTTTTGTTTTGAGTTGATTTTAAAATGTTCCTTTTGGTTTTGAAGCCCTCCATGGTCTCGCCCCTCTGTACTTGTCCTCACTTTTAACTGTTCGTGACTCAGGCAGATCTTTCAGGTCATTTTCTTAACTCCCCCTGGAAGTACCAAGGACTAGGTCTATGTCACAGGACCTAGTCTGGTTTGAAAGTTAGGTACCCCAGCTTGAACACATGATATAACATTCTGAAACATGAAAGTAAAGACCCTCACCCTTAAAGGCAAGTTTAATGGTCAAAAATCAACACAGACAATGCTATATTTTAGTTTTCACATTTCACTTTTGTTTCTCCCTCATAGTTTGAACTAAAGACATATAAAAATGTGAGAAAAGGAATACAAAATGACTGATGTGAGTGTTGTAAAGTCCCACCTCTCTGTGCCACACTGGGTTGGTGGTGTTGGCGATTATTGCCGACCGCCGCTCCTGTCCGTGGTGACTGAAAACTGGGAATACGCTCCTCTTTCCGGGATGGATGGACATTTTCAGATATGGGTCTGGGTTAAAAAACATTCCCTTTTTCAGACCTGTCGCTCGAAGATCTGGGGAGAAACAGCGTAACAGAGTAAACATTAAAAACAAAAATCATTTCAGACATTTTTAGTTTTTAGTCTAACTACATAAAGTAACCTCAGTTATTGTTTTAAAGATTTTCAAGATGTCTCTCTAAGTTTCACACATACTGTCTCACTTACTGAAAACATGTTGTTGAAATGACTTATTCCTACTCTCACTTACAGCTAAAACTAAAGCTCAAAATGCCATAAAATCAAACAGTTTGGTTCCATCCCTAGTTTTATGTTTACTTCTTGCTACTTTAATCCAGGAAGTTTAACTTAAAGCAACACTAAACCTCGAGGCCTATTCTCGCCACAGGAATAGAATGGAGGTCTGTCTCTTTTGTTTTCACCACTTTGCTAGATCCAGAAGGAAGTAGAATACAGTAAACAAATTTTGAAGTCTATACTATGGCCAAACATTTTTCAAGCTGGGGTTCCTTACTTTCAAACAACAAAATATTTCTACCTTAACGTCACTTGTTCCTTGCTCTCAAAACAGTTTGATTCTATCGCCAGTTATTACATCATGTGTTTCTGTCTCATCTTCAGATCAACTTTTTCAGACAGAAACGTGAAAAAGAAGACCACCCTCACTCAGCCAATCAGCTCTCAGCCCGGAGCAATAAATAGTGTTAAAATAGTGTCAATTGTCTAGTTTGCAAGAGAAAATATGTTTTTCTAAGAAGATGCAGACGGCCGTTGTCTGATTAGTGCTTTTGGCTTTTATAAGACACTTGGATACACTGCATGTAAACTTGATGAAATATATGTTTTGGCTTCCATGCAAAAGCCAGATCCCATCAGACCTCTGAAGCTGAGCAGGGCAGGGCCTGGTTAGTGCTGTGATGGGAGACAACTGTAAAGCAGGTGCTATAGTGGGGCGGCTGCGGCTGTTAAGTGCCAAACTGTGGGTTGTGTCCTTAGGCAAGACACTTCCCCCACATTAAAATGAGTCTGGTGAGTGTGTGAATGGTTGATGGTTGTCGGAGGGGCCGATGGCTGGATGCATCGCTTCTGTCAGTGTGCCCCAGGGCAGCTGTGACTACAGTAATAGTTTAAGAAAATGAATATATTCAAATCATTCACACACACACAAAAATAAATAAATAAATACAACATTCATGACATTTTTTGATTTTGTTTTTGAGTGACAACAATGCCTCTCCGTACTTTACAAACCAAACTATGGATCAAATGTCTGTTCACCTGTCAAAGTAAAGCTGATCAGTTTCCGTGGGTGTTCTATCCCCACCTGCTCCGCCAGTCCCTCCATCTGAAGGAAACACCATTTCAAACAAAGGGATTTGAGTTATTGCGGCACATGAACCAGTGATGCTAAAGTTCAAAAGCAGCCGATACGTACGAACGCCGGCACAGACGGGTTCTTGACGGTGATGCAGGGGGTGGTGGCTCTGAGGGCTCCGCTGACGCCGTGGTAGTATTTAAAACATATCTTTGTCTCCGCTGTAGAAAGAACAAAAGAAAGAAAACGCACATTAAAAGGTTAATATTTATCGGCAGCTCAACTCAACAAACATGTGGGATTTGAAAACATAGACTGAAGGTTTAGTTTGGAAGAGTTTTCAAGTGTTTTAGGGCTGTACTCCAATACATTCACTGCACAAAATGATTTAAAAAGAGACCATAATTGCTTGAATCGAGTGTTTTTATCATATTTGTTAAAACTAGATTCTCCAATGGGACAAATATATTTAGTCTTATTTCAAGAACTATTGGTTTATATATTGTTTAAAAGAATTGGCAAATCTTTTAAGCCTGTAAGAATGGGCTCAAATGAAGATACATTTTGGCATATTTTTGACATATTTTTCATCCCTTTTTACAGTGTTGAATTTAATTGAGAAGTCAGTGACAAATGGAGCATGATTTAAAGACTAGTTGTTTTAAAGCACTCTCAATCTATTTTGACATTAAAATTCAAACTAAAATAATGAGCATAAATCATAAACCCTGCTCTGACTTTAGCCTTAATCACAGAAACGTCCCCTGCTCTTCCTTGTGTCTGTCTGCTGTTCACATAAACACACTGAAGCAGGAATGCTTTGTCATCAGCTCTGGAGATCAACAGCTGTAGACAGAGCTGTGTCCAAATCTCTTCTTACACACCACGTCAGGAGTTAAAGAACGTGATAAAAGTTGTGGCATTTACTCAAAGGAGTACTTTTCTCTTTTAGGTGAAAAACTAAATTCACAGTTTTGGATTCACAGGATCCAAAGATGCTGTGATAATGACAAGTAACTTACGCTCCATGAAGTAAGGTCCAGCCTCCAGTCTCCAAACGATCTGTCCTTTCTGAGTCCCATTGACGCCTCTGTTCTTACAATCCCACACATTCGACGGACTAGTTTCATCTGAAAAACAAAGTCCAATTTAGACCAAAGACATAAATAATAATAATAATCATCATCAGTTTATACAGCACTTTTCTGGACCCCTTAAAGACTCTTCACAATATTATTCTCTCACTTCATACACAGTGGTGATAAACTACTACTGTAGCCATAGCTTCCCTGGGGCACAGAAGCGAGACAACCAGTCTGTGCCATCGGCCCCTCCCACCACCACCAACCATTCACACACACACCAGACTCATTCTAATGTGGGTGAAGTGTCTTGCCTAAGGACACAACCACAGGCACAGCCGCCCCATTGTGGCATCTGGTGTCACAGAGGTCTCCCATCACAGCACTAACCAGGCCCTGCCCTGCTTAGCTTTACGATGTATTGTACCCTAACCCTTACCCTAACCTTAACCCATGTATTTTTTACCACTCATTCAGATTTTTTTCCTCAAAAATGTCCAGAATTTTAACTCTGATGATTTATTTGTTTTTTCTTGTTTTTTCTAAAGCTGAATTACGCATGACCACAAGTCTCTGTTTTCCTAAATGTATGATGTCACTTTGTCTTGTGTACAATATTTATAAAACTTTTACTATATTTTGAGTAAATTAAATAATAAAAATTAATGATTTATGTACTTACTCCTCACTGTTCCCTGGGACCTCAGTTGAAAACATCTTTGTGATAAAACTTGCACTTTGAATGTGTTACTAGCTTATAGCTGAAGGATCCATGTGCTCTGGGGATTCTCGCGGTACTGCAGACTAAACATGACTAAATTCACGTGATCTAGAAATGTTCCCATAGAACTCATTGTAAACTAAAACAGACCTCAGAAGGCAGAGAACATGACAGAGAACCAACTTTCGTACAGGTCGGATTTTGTGAGGATTTTAGTGTCTCTTGTTAAATCTTTCGGTTTTCTTTAAATCCACACTTTCATGCAACAAACTCTGCTTGATCGTCTCCCGCTCTTATCCGCTCTGACACACACGTGTATTTGGCGCAAAGCATCATGGGAGCTCGTCCACTGCGCAGAACCGGGAAGACCTGACGAGGCCCAAATATGGACGAGTTCCGTTAATCTTCCCGTCCCCACGGAGGCACATGCGCTACTGAGCACAAGCCATTCATCTGAATAGGATGCCATTATGGATCACTGGGGCTTGGTTAAGGTACACTGTTTTTGAACTAAAATATTCATATGCAGTAACTCAATAATTGATGACATTCAGACATATCTGTACGGGGAGATTACCTTTTTTCTCAAATACATGGGACAAAATCTAAACAAACTCTTTCTGTTGTGACAAAGGTAGAAGCTAGTTACCCCAGCTGTGACAAGACCAATCCATACTAACAATAGTTTTCAAATTACAACGTACGAACCAAACTTCTAACAGGAAATGACAGAAACAATTCAAAAACATCTCCACCCAATAAACAGGACATAACTTTCTTTCAACAAATCCACAGTGTTTACTTTGCAGACTCCAAAATACAAGTTCTGCTTTTGTCAGAGATACATCCGTTTCTAAAAATAGCCCAAACAGCAGCAAATTTCAGACAGAGGACGGACGGGGACGCAAACTTCCTGAGCTAAATGTGGGAGAGGGAATCCGCTGTGAGGGGCATTTTTAGGGAGGAGCAGGAGGAGGAGAGGGAAGAGGAGAGGGCAGAGGAGAGGGGAGAAAGAGGAGAGAGATGAGGGGAGAGGAGAGAGGAAGGGAGAGGAGAGAGGGAAGGAGAGGAGAGGGGGTTAAGAAGGAGAGAGGAGGGGAGAGGAGAGAGGAGGGGTGGAGAGAGGAGGGGATGGGTAGAGGGCAGAGCAGAGGGGAGAAAGGGGAGAGAGATGGGTGGAGAGGAGAGAAGAGAGGAAGGGAGAGGAGAGAGAGAAGGAGAGGAGAGGGGGGTAAGAAGGAGAGATGAGGGGTGAGGAGAGAGGAGGGTAGAGGAGCGGAGAGAGGAGGGGGGATGGGGAGAGAGAGGGGATTGGAAAGGGCAGAGGAGAGGGGAGTAAGGGAAGAGAGATGAGGGGAGAGGAGAGGAGAGAGAAAGGGAGAGGAGAGGAGGGGAGAGGAGAGAGGAGAGGAAAGAGGAGAGGGGAGGAGAGAAGAGAGAGGGGAGTAGGGGTGAAGAGAGGAGATAGAGAGAGAGAGAGAGAGAGACAAACTGCTTATCATAGAAAGTGCTTAGTAAAGCAAAGCTGGATCTCCTCTTGGGTATTAAACCCAGGGACAGGTGATAGAGTCCTGGAACCTCTGTGATCAATAACCAGTGGCCTCTTCTCTGCACTGGCACCAGCCCCCTGTCTCCTCCCTCCTCTCTCCTCCTTCTTCCCTCCGGTCTCCTCCCGTGCCACAGACCTGCTAACTTATGCACGCGCCTCAGTGCTGGAGGTCGCACTTCTGAAGGCTATAAATAATACTGTATGACCTGAAGAAGGAGAGAGCAGGGGAGAGTGGAGAGAGCAGGGGAGAGAGTGGAGAGAGGGGAGAGCAGGAGAGCAGGGGAGAGAGCAGGGGAGAGAGGAGAGAGCAGGGGAGAGAGGAGAGAGCAGGGGAGGGAGGAGAGAGCAGGGGAGAGAGCAGGGGAGAGAGGAGCGAGCAGGGGAGAAAGTGGAGAGAGGGGACAGCAGGAGAGCAGGGGAGGAGAGGAGAGAGCAGGGGAGGGAGGAGAGAGCAGGGGAGAGAGGAGAGAGCAGGGGAGGGAGGAGAGAGCAGGGGGAGAGAGCAGGGGAGAGAGGAGAGAGCAGGGGAGGGAGGAGAGAGCAGGGGAGAGAGGAGAGAGCAGGGAGGAGGAGAGGCAGGGAGAGAGCAGGGGAGAGAGGAGAGAGCAGGGCAGGAGAGGAGAGTGCAGGGGAGAGAGGAGAGAGCAGGGGGGAGAGAGGAGAGAGCAGGGGAGAGAGAGAGAGAGGGAGAGAGGAGAGAGCAGGGAGAGAGGAGAGAGCAGGGGAGAGAGGAGAGACAGGGGAGAGAGGAGAGAGCAGGGGAGAGAGAGAGAGAGGGGAGAGAGGAGAGAGAGAGAGGGGAGAGAGGAGAGAGCAGGGGAGAGAGGAGAGAGCAGGGGAGAGAGGAGAGAGAGAGAGGGGAGAGAGGAGAGAGGGGAGAGAGAGGAGAGGCAGGGGAGAGAGAGCAGGGGAGAGGAGGAGGAGAGCAGGGGAGAGAGGAGAGAGAGGGAGAGAGGGAGAGAGAGAGAGAGCAGGGGAGAGAGGAGAGAGGAGAGAGCAGGGGAGAGGAGAGAGTGGAGAGCAGGGGAGAGAGGAGAGAGGAGAGAGCAGGGGAGAGAGGAGAAGCAGGGGAGAGAGGAGAGAGGAGAGAGCAGGGGAGAGAGGAGAGAGAGAGAGAGAGAGAGAGGGGAGAGAGAGAGAGCAGGGAGAGAGGAGAGAGAGAGAGAGAGAGCAGGGGAGAGAGGAGAGAGAGAGAGCAGGGAGAGAGGAGAGAGCAGGGGAGCGAGGAGAGAGCAGGGGAGAGAGGAGAGAGCAGGGAGAGAGGAGAGAGCAGGGGAGAGAGGAGAGAGAGGGGAGAGAGAGAGAGAGGGGAGAGAGAAGAGAGCAGGGGAGAGAGAAGAGAGCAGGGAGAGAGAGAGAGGGGAGAGAGAAGAGAGTAGGGGAGAGAGGAGAGAGCAGGGGAGAGAGTGGAGAGCAGGGGAGAGAGGAGAGAGGAGAGAGCAGGGGAGAGAGGAGAGAGCAGGGGAGAGAGAGAGAGAGAGAGAGAGAGGAGAGAGCAGGGGAGAGAGGAGAGAGCAGGGGAGAGAGAGAGAGAGGAGAGAGAGCAGGGGAGAGAGGAGAGAGCAGGGGAGAGAGGAGAGAGCAGGGGAGAGAGGAGAGAGGAGAGAGGAGAGAGCAGGGGAGAGAGGAGAGAGCAGGGGAGAGAGGAGAGAGCAGGGGAGAGAGGAGAGAGCAGGGGAGAGAGGAGAGAGCAGGGGAGAGAGGCAGTGGGGGCGGGTCTCGGCTCAAAAATGTCCAAAATGAAGTGCGCTGACATGCTTGCAATACCACCCCGGGCCTGTGGCGGTGGACCCGGAATAAGAATTAGCCAATGCTAATGTATAGCATCTTCTTACTTCTTGAAAACAACTTTACAGGGTGGTTCAAAAGTTGGCTCTTGGCCCAAAGATTTTAAGAGTTGCTTCCTTGAGACGTAGGCAGTGATCTGGGCCCAATTCAACTGGTGACAATGTGTGGAATTTAAAGATGCATGACCAGATATTTAACTAGTCCAAACCAGATGGATATGACAGATTTTGGCCGTGTTTTAAAGATCTGATCCCTTGAATATTGTGTCTCAAGTTTGCCCCAAGTCTGATTTGTGAAAGGCCAGAATCCATAGTTTGAAAGCTTAAAGGAGCAGTACGTAATAATCTGGCCAAAAGTGGTACTACAACCTCTCCCACTCTCCCTGAATCAGGTTGCCAGATATGAAGACGAATACAGCTGGGACCATAATAACTGAAGAGACAAGAGTTTTGTCGACAACAAATCTATATCCCACAAAGATAGAAATTCTGGTTTCATTCATTGTTTTGTCGTTAATGATTTGAGAATCGAAACAAGACCTTTTTTTTCTCTGGCCACATGGTACTTTACCAGTGAGATTAGCTTGACACAGTGAGTTCTGGCACCTGGATTAAAGACTTTCGAATTGGTGAAACGGTGGAGGGCGGGACATCAAACCCAGACCCAAAACTGAAAAGGGGGAAATCAAAGCAAAAGGTGCGAGAGACTGTTTTCAAAGCAATATGGGAATATAATAATAATGCATCAGTTATATATCGTCAAAGACGCTTCACATGTCATTATTGATTCACTCCAAACACAGTGGTGATAAAGTTCTTGTGTAGCCACAGCTGCCCTGGGGCACACTGACAGAGGAAAAATTGGCCAGTAATGAAGAACTTTGGAAACTATCTAAAGATTGTTGAAGATATTGTAATATGTTTTCAAACGGCCATCGTTCTGACCGTTTCAGTGTTACAGCATGTAGCCTATGTCTCAAGCAAACAAGAATCAAACCCAGAACCTTCTTGTTGTGAGTCGCGAGCCCTAACCACACCTGTGAGACCGCAAACCCGATCTTTGCAGCCCTCTTAACATCGATCAGGAGCAAAAACAGGTCCGTTGTGGCCTCTCTTTGTCCACGTCTCTTAAGTGGGAATCATTACATTTAGAAATATTTTGATGGATGCGGAGGCGTATCAATGCCGGTCTATTTGACTATTATTTTTCAGCGTGATGGACAGTTTGCGCCCGGCCCCCACCAGATCAATGCATCACTATCCCCTCTGTGAAAGTGTTCCTCTAAGCAGGATTGGCGTGTATTATTGGAGAGAGCACAGTTTCTCCTGCAGGGCCCTGGTTTGTGATGGCCTGTGTGTTATCGTACACCGGGGCCAACTCAGCCCTCAGCTCTGCGTAAAAGGCTCCGGTTTCAGGGTTCACTTTGAGACAGTGGCACTACATCCCGGGAATACTCAGCTTAGGGTACGAGAGCAGAGACAGGGCAGGGTGAAGGAAGACACATGTAGACTTTTTCCTTCCCAAAAACATGTCAATTTCTCCATTGTGAGATCAATAAAGTTGATCTTATCTTATATACATTCAAGCTCCTCACTCTGTCTCTTTAAATAGTCCTGGTATGTAAGAAAACTGAACAGGACTGGACTGTGCTTTCACTGGAAACAGACATTTAACATCAAAAACTCTTCTAGGCAGACGACCAATGGTTTGTCTCCTTTTGCTCAAAGTAGACTTAATAATAATGCATCTCAGTGTTATATATATTGTGTTATTTGGACACTTAAAGACGCTTCATATGCCATTATTGCTTCATGCAATACACGATCGTGATTAACTACTACACTAGCTGCAGCTGCCCTGGGGCACACTGACTGAAGCGAGGCACTCAGTATGTGCCATCGGCCACTCCCACCACCACCAGCCAAAGATCCCAAAGGTCTTCCATCACATTACTAACCAGCCCCTCCCCTGCTTAACTTCAGAGGCTTAAGGATCTGGCCTTTCACCTGCTGCAGGTTTGATCAAAACTCAATGCTTTGTGGGAATCCTTGTCCTTCAACAACAAATGACCGGGTGAACCAGTGTGGGCGGGTCCAGGCTCAAAAACGTCCATAAGCACACACGCTAGAATCCTTGCAATACCTCCCCGGGCCTGTGGGGGTGGACCCAGAAAGAGAATCAGTTAATGGTTTTGTATGGTGTCTTCTTTCCTTTCTAAATCATCTTTACAGGATGGTCCAAAAGGGCTGAGGGGAGTATAATATTTTTGGACCAGCTTCGTTTAGCCGCTCGTTTTTCGGCTGTCCCCGGCCATTTTGAAACAGCCCCATAGAGGAGTCATGGCCCATTAGTTTCAACGGTGGATATAGGAGTGACTGTTTCTGTAATATTCAAAGTCTATGGGGAGGACAAACTCAGGGGTAAGAGCTGAGTGAAAGCCCAGACTGCTGGAGTCCAGTGGGGCTACTCAGACTCTGGTCCTGTTCAGACTGTGGTCCTGTTCAGACTCTGGTCCTGTTCAGACTCTGGTCCTGTTCAGACTGTGGTCCTGTTCAGACTCTGGTCCTGTTCAGACTGTGGTCCTGTTCAGACTGTGGTCCTGTTCAGACTCTGGTCCTGTTCAGACTCTGGTCCTGTTCAGACTGTGGTCCTGTTCAGACTCTGGTCCTGTTCAGACTGTGGTCCTGTTCAGACTCTGGTCCTGTTCAGACTCTGGTCCTGTTCAGACTCTGGTCCTGTTCAGACTCTGGTCCTGTTCAGACTCTGGTCCTGTTCAGACTCTGGTCCTGTTCAGACTCACCAACCTCACCAAGGATCTCGAATGGATCATTGCTACAAAGATATAAAGGATATAAATAAACTACTATTACTGCTGCTGCTACTGCTGCTGCTACTGCTACTTCTACTGCTACTTCTTCTACTGCTACTAATACTGCATGTTTTCTGCAGTACTATGAGGTATAAAACCATGAGCATAGAATTATCCACATATCTCACCGATGTGGTAGAGTCCTATCCAGTCGGTGGCGTCCACTTCCTCTTTGATGTCCCAGGAAATAACCAGATTCTGACCCCTGTTCAACGTAAACTCGAGGGTGGAGGCCGTGAGCGAGGAGCGGCTCTGCGACGTCACCAGGTCTGTGTCGCTGTTGGCTCTCGTCAGTCCGATCGGCCCGCTCACCACCGACGCATTGTCCACAGCCGCTGCGGTCGCCCCCCTCTCGGTCAGAGTTCGTAGGTTCTCTGGGCTCAGGGTGTGGCGGAGGTGGGGGCTGCGTCTCCTGGGGGCCGACAGATGCTCACGGCCCCCCACCGCCAGGTTGGGGGTGTTGTGCGTACGTGTCCGGGGAGGCAAGACCGCAGTGGCGAGTGATGGCCGCATGGTGGTGCCGAGAGCAAAAGCAGCTAGCAGACGATAAGAAAACAGCAGCTAGAGGATCCGCATGTTGCAGTGGAGGTGAGGTGGGTTTGGGGCCATCGGGACGCAGCGGCGAGCCTGGAGATGAGGGAGAGAAGAGAGAAATCAGTTTAATATGTTCATTCAATTTTACGTTTTAAAAAGGTTCGTATGGAAAAAAGTACAAACTCAAAAATCCCAAACCTCCCCATCCCTAAAAATTGAAGAGGAGACATAATAGACATTTGAGATATGAAGCGTTTACAGCTAGCTAAGAAGCATTTACAGCTAGCTAAGAAGTATTAACAGCTAGCTAAGAAGCATTTACAGCTAGCTAAGAAACATTTACAGCTAGCTAAGAAGCATTTACAGCTAGCTAAGAAGCATTTACAGCTAGCTAAGAAACATTTACAGCTAGCTAAGAAGCATTTACAGCTAGCTAAGAAGCATTTACAGCTAGCTAAGAAACATTTACAGCTAGCTAAGAAGCATTTACAGCTAGCTAAGAAACATTTACAGCTAGCTAAGAAGCATTGGCAGACAGCTAAGAAGCATCTGAAAATAACAGATGAGATTATTTTTTTAAATGCTATATTCTGCAAATATCCGAAGTACATAATCAAAAATCCAAACATTCCCACCCCTAAAAGGAAAAGAGGATACATCAGATCTACAGTCAGACGGTGAAACAAGTCAACAAATGTGTAGTATACATTACAGAACCATGTTATTGCACATTTACAGATGATAAAGATAATAATAATAACTTCTTTTACACTCAAAGACGCTTCACATGTAATTATTCATTCACTCTATTCACAGTGGTGATAAACTACTACTGTAGCCACAGCTGTCCCGGGGCACACTGACAGCAGCGATGCAAACAGTATGTGCCATCGGCCCCTACGATCACCGCCAACCATTCACACAATGTGGGTGAAGTGTCTTGCCAGATAAAGATAAAAAACACTTGATTCAAGCTTTTATTACCTCATATTTGATCATTTTTTGCAGTGTTGTTTTAGTCCACAGTCTTTGTCCTGTCACTAAAACATGTGGTTTGAGTTCTGACCATTGAATTGTATTAAATGTGAGTGATTTAAAACATTTCTAGACAAAATACACAGCACAGCAATATGTGATTTATTTACACGCTTTATGAATGCATTTAAACAGCTGTATTTTCCACACACGGGTTTGTGAATCAATGCATTTTGAGCAGCCTAAGGAGCCATGTCTACTGCTGCTACTGCTGCTGCTACTGCTACTGCTGCTGCTACTACTGCTGCTGCTGCTGCTGCTGCTGCTGCTGCTGCTACTGCTGCTGCTGCTGCTACTGCTGCTACTGCTGCTGCTACTACTGCTGCTGCTACTACTGCTGCTGCTACTACTGCTGCTACTACTGCTGCTGCTGCTGCTACTGCTGCTGCTACTACTGCTGCTACTACTGCTGCTGATGCTGCTGCTGCTACTGCTGCTGCTACTATTGCTGCTGCTGCTGCTGCTACTGCTGCTACTACTGCTGCTGCTACTACTGCTGCTGCTACTACTACTGCTGTTACTGCTGCTGCTGCTACTACTACTGCTGCTACTACTGCTGCTACTGCTGCTGCTGATGCTGCTGCTGATACTGCTGCTGCTACTGCTGCTGCTACTACTGCTGCTGATGCTGCTGCTACTGCTGCTACTGCTGCTGCTACTGTACTACTGCTGCTACTGCTGCTGCTGATGCTGCTGCTACTGCTGCTACTGCTACTGCTGCTGCTGCTACTGCTGCTGCTGCTGCTGCTGCTGCTGCTGCTGCTGCTGTTGCTGCTGACAACACACAGAGCCTTTCTGAAGCAATGGCTCTTATTAAAAACGCTGCTGCCGCTTTTGACATGACCGCGACTACAGCATCTGAGTGGACAAGATTAGCAGAGCGCGAGCCGATCACGCACGCCGCATACCGGATTTACGGCAGAATAAAACCTTCATCACAGGAATTCATAAATCCAGTGCAGCAGCAGCAGCAGACTCCTCACATGTGCCCAGTCCTCCTCCTCCTGCTGCAGTCCCAGAGCAGCAGCTGGAGCAGGGACAGTTTTGGGAGAATAAATAGAAAGTGCTTAGTAATACTACAGTGCTATACTTAGCTGCTGCGGTGCTGAGGATTTCACATTTTGTGTTACAATCCTACAGTACGTCTTCCTATTCCAATTAAAGAAATATGTCAGATTTTCATGTCAAGTCATCATTAAAGGGCCCTAATCTGTCAAAACAAGGCATTAATAAACCATGCTCTAAATTAGTTTTAAAGCCCCTAAATCATATTATTGTTTTCACTTCGATGTCCCGCCCTCCACCGTTTTACCAATCAGAAAGTCTGTGATCCAGGTTGTTAGAACTCACCGCATCAAGCTAATCTCACTGGTACCATGTGGCCGCAGAACTAAAAAAGGTCTTTTTATGATTCTCAAATCATTAATAACAAAAAAGTAATTAAACCAGGATTTCTATCTTTGTGAAAAAGGTGTTGGTTACGGATTGTTGACAAAACTCTTGTCCACTCAGCTATTATGGTCCCAGCTGGATTTGTTTATATATCTGGCAACCTGAGTTAGGGAGAGTGGGAGAGGTTACAGTATGACTTTTGGCCAGATTTGTACATACTGCTTATTTAAGGCTGCGCGATTCATCAAAATCGCTGTGTTTGTGATCGCAATTAGCAGCTGGCCAAGACTGGGACCAGACGAAGGCACCATGGGTTATAAATGAAATATGATTGATTGACTTTTACTTGCAACAATCTCCCCAATGGATATGGTGAGAATCAACAGATCAAAAAGATATTGATTGAATGAAATAAAATGAAATGAGACACTGATTTGTTTTACCTTTTAATTGGCTAAGAATAAGCTTTGGTTTTCTCATGTACAGTCGTGTAATCACTGCAAACATTTGAACCCTCACAGATAAAGACTTTCAACCATAATATTATAGGTTTATCTACAGCATTTTATACTTTGCTTTTTTATTAAGCCAAATACGGAGTATAGAAATGTGAGAAAATTCCTTCTGACTGTAAACTTGTGATGCAACACTGACATTTCCATCCAGTCCACATCATTACGGACGTGACCCATGCCTCTTGGACAGAGCAGGATCAAAAGTTTAAACCATAGGTGTCAAAGAAAGGCCCATATAGTATTAGTAATAGTATTAGAACTGGCCGCACAGGGACATAAGAATATATTGGATAATTCTTTTAATGTTCAGGATGTGTGTTTTCTCCATAAAAGAAGTTTGTTTTTGAGCCTGTTGGAAAATGTTTTAACTTGAAATGACTGCCAGAGCCATACAGAAATATTGGAATATTCATTAAACCATTAATTAAAATACGGTCCACTGTGTTAGGTCTTGGTTCAACAGGTTAAATGCATCATTTTAATATGTTTTAAGAACCATTGAACCAGTGCGGCCGTCGGCTTGTAGTAAATTAGTTTTTTTGGCCTCTGACGTATTTGACCTGTATCAGACCTACGCTGACACTGCATGAGTTTGTGTGAAGAAAACCTACGGGGGCCACACATCAGGAGCCATTCGAAAACTACTACGAGCAAGAAAAGTATTCCTGAGGATCTGTATGGGGCCACAGGTAGATAAAACAATTGCCCAATAGATTTATTCATATATTTATTTATTATAGTGACTGCTGCATGACCTCTATTGTCAGAATAAGGGCGGCCCTCACTTTTTCTATCAAAAATAGTTGCTGTAATTAAAATGCTAAAAATACATGAATAAAGAACCAAACGTCTGAGCAACAAGCTGGTTGGATGGATTTTAATGCATAGTTAGAGTTGTTAGTGGTTTCAAAGTGGTTTGAAAGGAGCAACATCCCAAACATATAGAAAAGGAGTATGTGAAACAATATAGTAACTTGGAGTAACCAACCTGCCTATTACACACTTAGATAACACACAAAACAAATCCAAAGTCATATTAATCTTCTTTTCCAAATCCACACCGATACTTTTTCGCTATAAAAATATATTACAATCTCAGAAACACAACTGGCCAAGATGTGGCCTTTCCAGTAGACGGTGCACAGTAATATACTATTTTTAAACTCATTTCTTTCTGAACATAATCCAGTTTTAGCTGCAGCGTAGGGCCTGACCTGTGGCGAGATTACGATTGATTCTCAGAGGATAAAACAGGAGGACGGTAATCTCACTACTGCACAAAAGTACTCCCAAAAATACAATTATGCACAAACTTGGAAGCACTTGACGTCAGCCTTTGAGCCTCGACGAATGAGGGATGTTGTTTGAGCCCTATTATAAATTTGTCATCATTCAATCAATTTACAACTTTCTTCCATCGATCTGCTTAAAATGAAGATGAAAAGATCCTTAATTCGTCTCAGAGGGTAATGTTGACGTTGCATCTGTACGTTACAGAACAGTGCATTAAGTATGTACTGTATGTGAGAGTGCGAACCAGTCAGCCACCGTGCTGCTCATGCTCTACCTGATGCTACACCTCACGCTGTACCTCATGCTCATGGATCTATAATAAATACTGGATAGGGTATTACTAGCTTAAAGCTGTCCCACCCATGGGCACAGGGGGCGCCCATGGTACTGGAAACTAAATTCACGTGGGCTACCCAGAAAAAAGTCCCATAGAACTCAATGTAAACTAAAACAGCTCGACCTCAGCTGACAGAGAACCTACAGCTTTCAGAAATATCGGATTTTGTGGGGATTTTTGTGTTCCTTGTCATCCTGAACTTTTTTTCTTCTTAAATCCTTCGGTTTTCTTTGAATCCACACTTTACTGCCACAAACTTTGCTCCTTTCCTTCCCGCTCTGATCCGCTCTGATCAGCAGCTCTGATTGGTCAAAGCGGGGCCGAGCTCCTCTGTGCATGTGCATGAGAGCGCAACGCATCATGGGAGCTCGTCCACTGCGCAGAACCGGGAGGACCAGGCGATGCCC